AGTTAGCGTCCTTGTCGGCCTGTGACCATTTTTACACTGAAGTCAACTAAATAAAAGGAATTAGTCTACCAAATGTCTGCTTTTTGACAAGTTTAACGAGTTATGACGTTGGGTCGCTCTCTGTGTAGCATAACATCAAATGCAAACCATCAATTATCTTGGTGTGTGTCATAGGATAAAAATAACTGGAATAGTCATAAATCAGTCATTTTAATTCAAACCACTAAAGCCGTGACTTCATTTTCATTCGCGACCCTCTTGGTGTGAGGGAAATAGCTGTGGGCTGCATTCAGCACTGGAAGTTGAAGTCGTGTGGCCTTAGGGTCGGATGGCGACGTCCGTTTAAAGCTTGGCCTGCTTTACCCATTTCAAACTGGTTTTTCATATGTTTGAAAATACCGTCCTTGTGGATCAGCCAGCGACGTCCGAGGTTCGACCACAAACCCAAACCATCCCCTAAGTCGAAAACAAAATGGTCAGAATGAGCAGAATTAGCCCAGCAGCCAGTGGAACCTGCTGGTGTCTGTTCTGAGTGGAGACAGTTTCACACGGCGAAGGACTCGGACGGTGCAGAAACTCTGATCTAAAAACACCTTCAGTCTTGTCAACATGGATGTTTTAGAAAAAAACTGCCAGATTTTTCGAGACTATAAGCCGCTACTCTTTTCCCACGTTTTGAACCATGCGGCTTGTAGCCCAGTGCGGCTTTTCTGTGGGTTTTTCTTCAAACCCCAGGGGGCGCTTTAGCAGGAAGTGAATCATTGGAAGAAGACAGTGCAACGAGACGCTTTTTTGTCCTCAGTGCAGCTCTGTGTGCAGAAAGATATTCACCTTCTAACTCTTCAAGTTCCCATTAGCACTGGTGGCAGAGTCTGTTGTGGTGAGTTAGCTGTAGCTTAGCGGAGAGCAACGGAGCGGCGTCTCCGCTCAAATGAGAGCAGCTCAAATTGTTTTTGTTTCTTTTCACAAAATAAAAAGTTTCGACATGTGAGCTTTGACAAGAAGTGACTGAGTGAGCGACTAAAACATCCCAGGTGTCTTTGTCGAGCGCGAGGACACATCCGCTACCTCACATTTTGAATTTCACATGCGAGAAGTCGGCCTTCCGCTGAACGAAAACGCGTCGCTCGACGCCAGGACTGTTCTCTTCCCTCCCGAATCTCACAATTTAAAAGACAAAAAATTTATGTTTAAGAACTCTAACCTGTAAAATAAAAAATAAACAAATAAATGAAAATCCCAGCTATTCCCCACCCCCTGAGGCTCTGGTTTCACCTTTATGGGCAGCGAGTCTGTGGGTGGGAAAGCTTGGGTCAGAAATGTGGGCGACTCTAAATGTCACCCGGCGCTTTGTTGTGATGAGAAAAGAGGCCGCGGCCATGAGGTGAGTCAGGAAGGCGGCTGGCGGGCAGGTCGGCCCGTGGGAGGAGGAGGGCGGTCGCTAAAAGTCCTGAATCTGGACTTCTTGTCGTTTGGTTTTGTTCGCATGCTGCAGACATTATTTGAGCGGTTTAACATTTAATGATACACACAAACTGCTCTGCAGGCCGAATGTATTTTTACTCCTGTCTGGTGTGGAAAGAATAGGGTTTTTTTTGTTGTTGTTGGTTTTTCTGGATAATCTTTCACCAATCTTTTGAAATCCCATCAATAGCAGGTGCTGTTTTTCTTTTCCAGCTGGATTCACGTTCGTCCTTCAACGGAGCCAAGGCGAAGACGCACACGTCAAAAGCGAAACGCTCTGCTTTGTTTCTCCCCCACCCCGTCCCCACTTACTCACTGCGAACAGCTCATATTTTAGTTTCACTCTCGGCCCGTTTGACAAGAGCTTGTCGTCCTCCTCCCGGACGCCAAGGCCGGAATCCTCCTTAAAGCTCTGGCTCGTTCTGGGCGCACTGTTCTGGCGACCGATCCCGGCTGAAATTTCCCTTCGTTCTTCTTTTTCTAAACATGTCTGTAGTTGAAGGACTAACTCTGGCCAACAGGAGTTGGAAATAGGCAGAAATTTGTGTTGGGAACATTTTATCTGCCCCCATGCTGCGCTTCACTGTCGCTCGATTTCATCTGGCAGATCCTGCACCTCTTGTATCTCCTCTTTATTTCAGAAAGAATCTTATCTGCGTTTCAGCTCTTTTAAAGTCATTGCACGCAGATTTCTCCCCAACAGAAACACAAACAAAACTTGTGCCGTGCCGCCAGCGCCTGGAAGGGCCTCGCTTTTAATAACGCGGTAAAAGACGCAGCAGAGAAAGTGCTTTTATTTATTTATTTATTTTTATTTTTTCCAGACATGATGAACAGTTTGGCTTCAAACAATGGCTGATCCGTTTGAGGAGTTTCTTTGCTTTGTTTATTTTTATTTTATTTTATTTTATTTGGTTTAATTCCACCACATTGAAGGGTTTGGGAGCACAGCACAACATCTGAATCAGATTTATGTCTAGACTTTGACTAGACCACTCTAAAATCTTCCAACTTTAAATGTAGGCACTTGTTTTGATGGAGGAAGCGTCAAATCCAGGGACACGGACATATTTTTCTTATGACTTACAGAGGCAACACAATTTGCCTCTGTATAGTATATATATAAATGGCAATTAATTTTTTTTTTTTTTTTACTGAAACTCTGTAAACAAGAAGTATTTAAATACGATTCCACATGCAGACGTGGCTACCTGAATAGCTAGTTTGTTGATTCATTGTGAATTATTTCTGAATTTACTCATTAGATTCTGGGTGAAAGTGTAGCCCAGATACATGTGGAATATAATCAATATATATTGAAAATGATTGAATCTCTGATAAAACAGTGATGTTCCACATATTGAAATGATGAGACTATTTGGAGTAATTTTTTGATGAATTATACATACATATATTTTTGTTTTTACACTTTAACCTCTTTGGTCCATGGTATAAAATGGCAGTTTTTTTTTGTTTGTTTCTTTTTTATTTTTTACAGAGGAAAAAAAAGACAATAATTTATGGACATGGTAAAATTTAGATTCAATTCTACATCTACACGCGACTGTCTGGCAATAATGTTCATAATTTCTTACCGAATCATGAACATTTCAGAAATATTTCACATTTGTGTCTACGTTGTTAAAAGTGTTGGTCAACATTTATTGTGAAAACTAATGTAAAGCCATTGTTGCTTAAAACAGAAGCCGTTTCTTTTTTTTTTTTTATAAACAACGTCTAACCTAGGTACATGCAAATATTGCAGTTCAAGCACTTAAAATAAATTTAAAAAAAAGTTTTTTGGCAATAAGTCCATGTTTCTTGGTGTCTGGAAAATGAGCCGTTTCAAAAACCTTCTGCAATGAAACGTCACAAATCAGCAGGCACGGCCCGTCACCTAGTAACCCAAGTTGAACACCAGTATGTTTAGCCAGCTGGTTTTATGGCTGTGCAATGGCTGCTGGGAAAGACAAGCATCTTTTTTGTTGTTTTTGTCGACTTACTGTTCAGAAACCACTCGCTGAACGTCTTGTTGGCTGCGCAGGAGGCTCCGCATCTGCTTTTCAAAGGTGTACTGTTGTGTGCGAGTGCAAAAATTGAATTAGGGGACAACAAAGTAGATTCAAAGAGACAAGAGACCCTAAAACAGCGTGTTCTGGAAGAAGCTCGAAGCAGGCAGAACAGAGTGGACTGAAACCTCATTATCCCAGAAGGATTCTGTGAAAAACATTTGTAAAATGAACATATTTTGTGTAGCCCATAGACCTACTCTATTTAAAACTGCCATGCTGAATGAACGGCGCTCCTAATGAATCGGCTCCTAACTTTCACACTGGTAAACCGCGATGTGACGGTTTTCGCACAAACTGATGATCTGACACATCTAATGTGATGGCGGATCGGAGCAGATCGTCTTTAAGAGCCGCTCGCTGCAAACTCAGAGCGTCTGAAGACTCTCTGGGAATCGCTTGTGTATAAATTCCCCGTCGTGCGCCAACTCATTCGTGACATCTGTGGTTTGGCATCACTTCGATCTAAACCGTCCGATATCTCTTTTTGCATGTTCAGAGAAAATCCGTCTCCCAGCAACAATTTCAGATGTTTTTCCAAAACACGGCGTCTCGTGTTTGTTTGGCGCTTCGGGCCCCTGAAGCAGGGGGACCGTCTCGCAGCCAGAGCGGAGGCAGGGCCTTCACATGCGCTCCTGTAGCACATCGTTTCTTTCTTCTCCTTCTTTTGCAAGTGTCTTCAGATTATCTGATAAGATAAGAATGTTACCCTTTTCTCGTTCTTTTTTTCCCCTTCTTTTTCTGCCTTTCATCTCTTTGACATCTTATTTTCCATCACCTTCTTCCCTCAGTACTTGCCCTTCATGAGATCTGCTGTCAGATCCAACCAGCGCTGCAAATCCATGCAGACGTTTTCAAACGCAACATTTTCCCACGGGAAAAGACAACAGCAAAAAAAAAAAATCCTGTTGCTTTAATTGCGCATTATGAAACAAGGACTTCAGATTGTTTCAACATTGCTTCCCAGCAAGATGTGACAGATTCATGTCTGAAAACTTGAAGAAAAAAAAAAACAACCACAGCTCTTTGGGGGAATGCTGATGCGCCACTGCCGTCGTTTTCGTCTGTCTGCAAAAGGTTTTCCACTCTTCCAAAAATCCTTTAGATTTGAAATGTCTGGTGACGGCTCGGAGGGTTGAAACTCGGAGGGAACGATGTCCTCCTATCAACAGATCACGAGTGCAGAGAGGGAAAGTAAAGATTCCCAACAATCAGTTTGGCCCATCAAAGTTCAACCTGTCCTCATCAAACCAAAAGATAAATTGGCCTTTAGGTTGATCCCCCTTACTTTCCTTTAAATCCCCTTTTTTTTGTAGCGGCCTAAACAAAGCAAAGCAGCGGCTGACGAGTGTTCAAGGAATGCGGGGACAAGTCGAGGCAGTAGCCTCGGGAGTCGAGGCCGTGGAGACGCCGGGGAAAGCAGAGCGTCGCCGTGCTGACCTTGTTGCTTTTTCTGCCGTCAAACAGTGGCTGATCGGAGACAGGGACAACCACTGCGGGTCCGTCTGCTTGCGGACGCTGGGGAAGCCGGTGTGCGGCTCGGACGGGCGGACCTACGAGACGAACTGTGAGCTGCAGAGGGCCCGATGCAGGGACAAGACGCTGACGATGGCGCATCGGGGAAGGTGTCGAGGTGAGGACGGCAAAAATAAAACGCAAAAGAGTAAAAAAAAAAGAAAAGAAAAAAAAAAGCCATGCCGGCTGGGTTGCATCGACACAAGGACACCTTTCTGTTCCAGGGTTTTGTGTTTTAGGACATTATAAAAGTCTTTTACGAGACTGAAATCCGAGCGCCGCTCCACGGCGCGTTCGCTGCTGTCATTAAACCACAACGGAAAAACAAAGTAAACACCGTCAGTCGACAGCCTGCAGATCCAACATTGACTGGAGGAAATTTTACTGTTTGACTTTATTAGTGTCTCACGTCACTGATGAGGGATTATCTTCCAGTCTTCCCTGCAGCATTGCTTTGGTTCATTGAGGCTTTGCACAGCCAGATGGACTTCAAGCTTTATCGCAATATTTTTGCTGTGACGTTGTGGTTACAATAAAAATAGGCTACTTCTGTTGTGTATAACTGTGTGTCACACTAATTATAGACCCACAAACACAAATAATGCGCTTGAAAAACATTCCCATTTGTAAAATGCTTCTTTAGAACACCGGTCCTGGATAGAACTGTGATCTTCATTTTCAGATTTATTTGTATTTATTTACGTTTCTATAGTAAAACTGTCAATCCTGACAATAAGGAGAGTTAAAGGTTTTAAACAGCACTGACTGGAAATGATAGTGACAGTAATGGATCAAATTTCTCATATTGATAAGAAATTTATCACGATAAGTGATAAACGATAACGATAACTGCTCACCTCGATGCACAGCCATCTTGAAGTTACTCCATAACTTTTTAAATCAGTTTCTCCACTTTTATTCTTGTCTTTGTTTGATGAATAAGACCAGTAAATAATCATGTTTCAATCAAGTTTAAACAAAAATAATTTTACAAACTGACAATGACAAATTCATTGTCAGCACTTCTCTAACTTGCCGCAAAAAGCCCTTTGCGACCTTTAATTTGTGTTTTTAGACTTAAATCAACTGCTTCTCATCCGTTTTTGGGTTATTTAAACTCAGGCATCGAATGTTCACTCAGTGTCACCTATGAATAAATTGAAGCTAACTCGCAGGGCTAAAAGTTTAAAGGGAACTTTTAGGATGTAAACATGACTCCACAATGCAGACATGTTTATCTTAATCTGCAGAAATAATTAATCAATACTAATGTGCTACATTTTTAATTGTTGTGTTTCCCAAACATTTTACATGTGAATAAAGCTCTTTTTAAAGCTTTTTGTCCATCCAGTTTAAGCAAATGTATTTATTAATAGAGCATTCATTTGAGATATGTATCTATATATCATTCTAAAAAAATAAAACAAAACACAGATTTACCTTCAGTTGATATATTCATGGTTTCCTTTTTGCTTCTGACATAAAAATGATCCGATTTTGCACTGGTCACAGAAACCATTGTGTTGCTTGTGAAGGACTCGTTTGTCTTTCAGTGAAGTTTTCGCTGCCGGTGGCTCCAGCACCAACGGCCACATCTGACGGGAGAGAGCCAGAGCCGAAAGGTAAGAGCTGAAGCTGTAAGATTCACCCCGTGTAGGGAATCGGTTTATTTGGAGGAGAGCAAAGAAACGCTTTAATGAGTCAAAGGTCAGAATACAGATATAGTCAAAGCATCTCCATCATCTAAGGCAGTGCTTCTCAATTATTTTCCGTTACGCCCCCCCCTAGCAAGAAAAACTATTCGCGCCCCGCACTCCCCACCATGACTATCCATCTCTGCATAACATTTTTTCCTTATTAAAATTTTTTTCGCTGAAAAAACTCTAGCGGCTTATCGCCGTGATTGGGATGTAACGTATTTAAGTGACGCGCTAATTTATTTGGCTTCATGCTGTCCGCTGCGAGCATTTTTAGACACAGCAAACACACCGGTCTTTCCTCTTCTCCAACTGTAGTCACAGTGAAGCCAAGCGCTAAATACGCTTCGTCGTATTTCCTCTTCTTAGCTTTCGGTTGACTTTCTGTTGTCTCATTATCTTTGTCTCTCTCCGCTTTTCTTTTCATCCCTGTGAAAAACTTTTTCATGTTGGGGGTTGTTGAATAACGGAGGCCATAGACAGAACGCAGTCGGAGCTTTTTGTTGACTTAACACTGCTAACCAAGGCAAACCTGTTGTCTTGTAAGTCGTAAAATGTTGCACTGTCGCAAACGTGACAGAAGTAACAATGAGAGCGCCACTGCCGCCTACTGTGCGCAATTACACTTTATACTAGTAAGGCCAAAAAAAAAGCCTGTTCCCCAGGATCACGCGCGCCCCCAGGTATCGCACCGCGCCCCCAAAGGGGGCCCGCCCCACTATTTGAGAAGCACTGATCTAAGGGCTCAAAAAGTAACACAATGAGTTCAAATCAAATAAAAACAGATTTGGACTTAGATGTAGAAAAAATCCAATAGCAGCTTTAATGAGATCTATATGCATTTACTTTTCTTGGATGTATGTTTGAGAAATCCTTTAGACAGAATCAAATCTTGGGGGCCAAGTTGGATCGAATGCAGACCGCCTATTGAAAGTCACCTCTGCATCCCCTTTCACAGCACGGTTTTGCAATCAACACACAAGCAGATCATTAAAGATCACTTTGTCCTTTTATCGTCTTCAAAGTGACGAAGAGTGTCTGACCTTCTGGGTCATGAAGCTGCGATCATAGAAGCAAACGAGCGTCGCTCCCAGCTCAGCTTCCAACTCGCCCATTTCTGTGTGTTGACCTTTTGGCTAAAACACTCGTGGACTGGCTTAACGTGACACCAATGCGAGCTTAAAACACTCTTCATGGTCCGCTGTCTTTATTTTCCCTTTGACGACATAAAGTGCGAATGTGGAAAGCAATAAAACGCATTTATTTTGAAGATCACAAAGTTGCAGCTTTGAGCCGTAAAACCTTAAGAGGAAAGTGGAAACTGGGGGGTGAGAGGGAGATGTTTTAGGTTTCCCAGCTCTCTGTTGGCGTGTAAGTTTTTACAGGCCAGCATCACGGGCTGCCCTCGACTCTGGAGTCAAGGTGTGAACCTGGGATTTGCTCCCTTGTTTCAAAACCTGTTTTAACTTCAGGAGAGCTGCAGTTGGATTCCTGCCTCCTCTGTTTCAGATGGGTGAACTTGACGCATCGATACATGGGCAGTTGCTTGGATGCACGGACGGATGATATTGCTGGACTCATTGATGGATTTGAATATTGCAGCTGGACTTTCTGCCCCTCCTTCTTGTAATGATTGGGTTTATTTCACAATAAAAGTCCCGCAGCAAAAAAAAAAAAAAAAGCTGGGAGAAGCTTGAATTGTCTTTGCACAGGGATCTTTTTTTTTAATGGTTTTAAAACACAATAAAACAGACGGACCTCAAAGTTTTATCACAATATTTTGCTCTACTATTATGATAACAATGAAAGTGGCGATGTGAACGATTTATTTCTTCCTTTTCAGGTAACTGTGTGACCTGTGTGTTACGCTAACAGAAGCATGTGGGCTTGAAAAACATTCCCATTTATAATACATTTCTTTGTATCGCACACGGTAACTGTACTTTTAAGTTTATTGGCAATTTTTATGTTTCCATTGAACCAACAGTGAAGAAAATAGAAAAACTCTCAATCCTGACAACAAGGATTGTTTTTGAAGGTTTTAAACAGCTTTAGTTGGAATGTAAATGCACAACGCTGAATGATGAGAAGAATAAGTAGAAACAACCAAGAGAGAGCTGTAGCTGTAAGAGGAGACTTGAGTCAATTTCTTCTTCTAAAAACCCAGGATTTCCATGCAATGCAGATTTTTAGTCTCAACAGGATTTTTCTGGTGAAATAAATAAATAAATAGTATAATAGTAATAGCAAAAAAGTTCAAGCCCTTAAAAAACACCACCCAGCTGTCATTTGGCAATCGGTGAGCAATGGTTGGTGTCTGGAAAATGAAACTGCACCAAACACTTCCAGGATATGATGTCACAAATCACCAGAGACAGCCCGTCGCCTAGCAACCCCAGCAGTGCGCCGCCCGTCGCCAACAGCCCACTCTGATCTCCAGCATGTTTAGGTCGCCGAGTTTTACTGCCGTACAATCACTGCTAGAAAAGTATTTTCTTGCTGCATTCTTGCTGGTTGCGTAGGAGGTTCCACTTCTGCTTTTCAAAGATGGAAGCTGGTATGATCTTGCATCCGTTCGCAGCCATTTTCACATTTGAGTGAACCCAGTGAGTGTCTAGCAGCAGCTTCTTTCAATTTAAAGTGAGAAGAGGCCCTAAAACAGCTCATTCTGAAAGCTCAAAATGGGCGGAGATCACAAAATTCTCCTTATCTAAGGAGGATTTTGTGCAAAAAAATGTAATGAAGATGTTTATTATAGCCAGTAGCACCTATGCCTACCAGTTCAAGGAAGCATAATAGGTCAGAGAGTGGCAATGTTCACATTAGCCCAAAATAAGAAAAAATAACCACCAGAACTGTTTTTTGGCTATAATTTAATGTTTTTAGGTGACTGGAAAAACTTTCTGAATGTAACATCACCAAATAACAATATGTATAAAGAAATAATAGTCCATTATTCTACATTTTAGTTTCCAGACGGTCTTCTCTGGGATTACTCTTTATGAACTTTCACTCGCCCGCTGAAGTGGAGGGTTCAGGCCACTGTGTTCTGCACCCTGCTGAGACTATATTTACAAGAACAGCTAAGCATGAAGTTCAACACCACAGGTGAACGTTGTAAAATACAAAAAAAAAAAAAAAAAAATCACAAAAAAGACCCACACATATCTTGATGAGATTTTCAACCTTTAAATGTGAAACCTCCTCTGTTCTTCATTTTTTCCCACAATCTCAGAAATATCTCTTCAGGGTAAAACTGCAGGGTCGCTCAGTCATGTCGCATTGTGGACGAGTTGGAACCGAATCAATAAGTCTGATCCAATTCCTTGAAATATTCTCTTCAACTGATTGTGCGTTCCACTCCGAGCCTCGTTTTCCGGTGTTTAAACCGCGGCCCGCAGATGCAACGGGCCTCTTATTGAGAAAAGAACCATCGCTTTTGTTCTGCTTTGTTTGTCACAGATGCGGGTCAGTCGAAGTGCCACGTGGAGAGGAGCCAGGCCCTGGAGCAGGCGCGGAGGCCTCAGGAGTCCACGTTCGTCCCCGAGTGCAACGAGGACGGAACGTTCGCCCAGGTGTGTGCTCCGCTCCTCACCTTCCTTTTTGCTTTTCTGTTAGCGTACTCAGATAAACACAGCTGTGATGAAAGCTATGTTTGCATCTGCATGTGTTTGTCTGGCACGTCCAGGTCCAGTGTCACACTTTGACAGGTTACTGCTGGTGCGTCACCGCCGACGGCAAGCCAGTGAGCGGCTCCTCTGTGCACAACAGGAAACCTGTGTGTTCAGGTACTTTGACTGGGCGGGGAGGTCTTCATCAGCAAGTGTGTGAAGGAAATGCCGACTCATCCTGGTGTGCTTATTATCGCCTTCTTGTCAGCTGATTCTGTATCTCATCTGATTTAATCATCAAAAAAAACAAAAAACCCCAGCAGATTATTTGGACTCGTAAAAGATTTGGCAGCTTTAGTGTCGCTAATATATTCGGGACGTTTCCCACAATGAATGTAGGTTTCTAAAGTTGGTTTCCCACATAGCACGAAAATGTACCGCCGCTTTTTTGTGGCGGTCGCAGTAATCTTGAGGTTGTCAGTCGAATCCCCAGACCAACAGGCTCTGCACCAGCTCCGCCGCTCAGCATTCGTGGGAATCTTAACTTTTACCCCTCGATGCTCTGGTTGGTCCTTAAATGTGGAAAATAAATAAAACGAAACTCAAAAGTCTCAGGCAAACTACCCGGATCTTTTGAAGCAAAACACCTTGAATACAAACCAATCGCTGCGACCCACGTGTGCTGTGCAAAAAACGGAGCCGGGGCAGAGCTCGGCTCTCCACAAATTGTGTTTTGTTTTCTCGCACAAAACCACAAACATACTCTACCCATTAGCGCTCCTCTAATTAGACGTGTCTTTAAAGCACCAGAATTGTTAACTCATTGGTGTTAATGTCTGGCATTAGCAAAACAGACAGTTGGGAATTGCATCGGCAGCTGTTCTTGCTTGACTTGACCGCAAAACGTTTTGGACGGTCAAGTCTTTGACTGAATGTAGTTGCGATTTGTGGATGTGCAGGAATTAGCACAGCAGCTATGTTTCATCCTTTGTCCTCAGTCATTGATATTTTGTTTTTGTTTTTTTTGTTTGTTTGTTTTTTTAGGTAAAAACAACAATTTTTATCCTGTCTTAAAGTAAATTGTACTCATCAACTTGTTCTCAGATTTGAATCGATCAGTTCCAAGAGTAAAGGAAGAAGCCTTTGAACAGAGTCCCAGACTAGACTGTCCGGCACATGTGTAATGACATGCTACGTGTTGTACAGCAAGTGCAAGGTCAACAAGAAGGCCAACACTGGCTGCATCATGCAGGGGCCTCTCTGGTGCTCTAAGTGCTTTCAGCGGGACTCTGTACGCTCATCCTGGATGGAAACGCTTTCTGATAATCGCCCTCGTTTCCCTCTGTGAGATAACACTCCGGGGCCTTCGCCAGGACTGGATTGCACAGTCACCGGAGCAAATGGTGCAAATTTTGTTTTGGGTTGTCTGGTTAAACTGTTCACATGTGCCTTTGGAGCTGTTCACGCTCCCTGTTGGAACATAGAGCAGACATTTAACCAGGATTTTCTTATGCGGGCTTAATGCACCTGCTTTTGTGTTCAACTGACTAATTAAAAATTGATGCAAAAATGATTTCATCAAAGCTGATAGTCAGTAGAGGCGGACAGATCGATCCAAAATATTGATTGAAAAAAGTCAGTATCAGTATCACATCGATGCTTTACTTTTAGATTCCCTCTTGAAATTAGATTTTTTTAGTTTCTGAACTCTGTCTCAAAACAGATTTTATTTTGATTTGCTTTCTTCTTTTTTATTTTATTTTTTTTGCACTTTATTTAGAAAAAAATGCAGACTCATTTGTTTTGGTTGCGTATGGTTACCGTTTGTTAGGTTAATGTTAGGGGTGGGCAGGTACAGTATCATTTATCGTTATTTGATTTGATTTTTTTTGTGGTATAAATCCTGACTTAAGGGTGTCTCAATACATTCTGGTTATTGAAGTTTAATAAAAAAAAAAAAAAAAACAGAGGTTATGACTGGGAGTATGAGTTTTGCTATTTTCTCCACTATCTGTTCCACAAGAGCTTCATTAAATATCAATAAAAGAAAGAAAAATATGATTAAGTGCAGCTGCTGTGTGCATTTTAATGATAGAAATTGAACTTTTTTTAAAAGTAAGTGGTGTCCTAAAGAAGCCTGTTTCAAATAGAAATGATTTTCAAGAACAATATTTCTGTTTATGGCACAATGAATGCTGAACCACGCAGTCTAAAAAAATTATTACAAAAATAAAAATAATCTGTCGTTTTCAGAATAGTACCACTAAATATTGCGATAAAATTGTTAGTATGTATTGCCCACTCATGATTAATATGTTCTAAAAGTTTTTATTTATTTATATATACTTATAAACTCTGTCCAAATGTTGCGTCAGGTTACAACAACAAAAAAAAAATTAAAGGAAAAATTACAAATAAACCCCATAAGATCATAAGTTTGACACATCAAATTAAAATAAAAAATATCAATACAAGTATCAGTATCGACAATACCAGCCTTCTTTTCATTCAGTATCGGATGTAAAAAAAAATGCAGTCTCACACTTGTATTAATCACACTGGTTTTTTTATAGTTAAGAAATTATTCTAGCTCAAATTTGTCAAACAATCGAACCCAGCCGCTCAGTTTGACCAAAATCCAGCAAATGAAACATGTGACATAATTCCTTTGCCCAATTATTGCCTCTGACAAACAACGTCCCGGAAAACTATTTGTATTCTCTCCGTGTTTCATTTGGATTACTCAAAGTGGAGTCAAATGAAAGTGATACAAATAAAAACAAAAAGTCTTTACTCATAAAGTTCGGAGACATCTGGCATTCATCAGCCATGTCTAACTTGATACTCCTAAAAAATCCAGTGCAACTAATTGACTTCATAAGGTACCAAATTACATAAAAAGCTGCGTCCAAATCCACAAGCCTTTGTTGACATAAATGGTTTCATTTCTTTTGTAAAAGTGCTTGAAATCATTGGGGGGGAGTAATTGCGATTCTTATTCGATTCTTAATGAGCGGAAACGCCGCAGTTGCTAAAGTTGCGTTTTCTTCCAACTCAACTTTGGACATCGACAAAGTTTTGCGCACGCCTGCGATGGAGGCGCAGCTGGTGTCGCGTTCCTTCATCCCGCGTTGACCGATAAGCTTACAGATGGTCGGAAGAGCAACGGGAGCCGACTGAAATGTTTTAAAGTGACGGTCCTCAGAAAGAACTGTCTGTTTCCGCTGTCTGAAGCGTTGCTCACTCTCTGTTGTGTCTCCACCTCCTCCCTCCTTCCAAATGTCGCAGGGTCAGTGACCGACCGACCGCCTGGGCCCCCGAACGCGGGTAGAAAAGGTGAGCTGAGATCTGTTGCATGTCCTCTGTTTGTTTGCTTCTAAGCGCGTCGGGATGAAGCAGCTCAGAAGGTTCTTTGACCCAGTTTTGCTCTGCCGGACATGCACAAAGTCCATATTTGCCCAAGTAAAATGAGTCGTGAATCTTCACAGTGAGAATTGGTGAAAGCGTGCAAAGAAAAAAAAAAGAAAGAAAGAGAAATTGTGTGAAATTTTGTTCAGAAAAACAAACGTTTTTACACAGTTGATAGCTATTTTGAAGAATCAACTATTGGTAATTATTCAGGAATGCTTCTGGGAAGATGTTTTGCTTTCCTTTTTAGAGTTCAAGTGTAAATGATTTGCAAAAAAAAGACAAAAGAAATATATTTTAATTTGTCTAGTGTTTTGAAGTTCCTCTTGAAAGTCCTGCTGTCGATCTAGTAATGTTTCTTTTGCATGTTATTAGAAAGTAACCTTCTATTTACATAGAAAATAAATTGAGACCTATTTTTCAAACAGGTTTCTAAACAGGAAGACACTACTGTTAAACATTATATACTAAAGTATATGCTATTTTAATTATCTGAACTGTAATTGAATCAGTGAAGACTCGTTTCTTTCAGTATGCTGAAACCTTCACAGTTCATAACGTCTCAAAAACCGGAGGAAAGAACCAAGAAATGGGAGACGTTGATTATTTTCTTTAGTAGTTTTTAAATGATTTGAATGTGTTGACACTTGATCTCACTTTAAAGGATTCCGCTGTAATGTTGAAACGTTTTCTGTTGTTTGCTTTTGACATAATCATTTCCCAAGGAATGTTCCAGATGCTGCGAAACCGCACGCAGGGTGAGTATACTAGGCAGATTAATTCACAGTGAAATATGATTCGGCCTGGACAAGGACCTCTGCCAGCATGTCTAAATATTGATTCTAGCTCGCAGCATTATGTCAAATTACATTGCTGTGTTTCTCTAAGATCAATGGCAAAGCGCCGGTGAGAAATTTGCATGAAATTATCAAGGGTACGAATGTTGTGTTTAATCAGTGGGCTGTGAGGAAACTACTAAACTCGTCGTTTCTCATTGTTAAATGGTGACACGGCAAAAAAGGCTCCTTTGATTTACAGATTCAAAATGGAATAAAACAAGCCTCCAAACATGCTTGAGTGAAGCATCTTTAGCGAAACGACGCTTTCCCAATATAATCCCGTCCGGATATTTGATCAGTTTTCCTCACTTGATTTCTGAGTGAGGAAATCACTCAGTGATGGAAAAACAACCGGGGAACCGGTGAGGTGAAAGCCTCCCATAAACTGGACGATGGTGAAACGCTCAGGATTAGCCGCTTAGCTGCAGCTGTGCTAATGGCAGAGAAACGACCCAACGTTCAAACAGGGCTGGACAGACGTATTAACAGTGTCAATAGTTAATACACATGATGGGATATTCAGTGTTTAATATATGGAATGTTCAGTGAACTCCGCTCCAGAACCGCACAGCATCCTGGGAGATGTAGGTGGAGGAAAGACTTTAGCTGCTCAATGAGGTAAGCAGGGCTGGTGGCGTCTTTGGTTACCTAGCAACAGCCTTGCGTAACTTAGCAACCGTGCCTCACAACTGAAAATTTGAGGATAGAAGAGGAATTAGATATTTAAAACAAAAAACTAATAAATAATTAGATATCGACTTATATGGAACGGCGATATCATGATACGTTTTCCAGCCAAATCATCCAGCCCTACATTCCAGGGAAACCATCATCGGTGGCCGTGCTAACTGGTCTTAGCATCCATAGCAGCCTCTGCTGTTCAGGAGCTGTGGCGTTGCAGAGAGCAAGGCATGGGGAACATGCGTATACACGAGCTGATTGACAGCGCTAACAATATATCTGTCTAGATAGATAGATAGATAGATAGATAGATAGATAGATAGATAGATAGATAGATAGATAGATAGATAGATAGATAGATAGATAGATAGATAGATAGATAGATAGATAGATAGATAGATAGATAGATAGATAGATAGATAGATAGATAGATAGATAGATAGATAGATTTTTCTTTTTAAATTTTCGACTGTAGCTTTAAGGTGCTGGAATAACTCAAACCTCAGGCCTGCAGAAAAGTTGTGGATTATGTCCTAAAGCTAATCTATCACAAAAAAACCAATGAGACTTAATCCAGAGAGCGTGAAATCCCACAACAATTTGCAGCTGTAAAGTTGTTCAGATGGAATCATTCAACCCTTGAAAATTTCTGAATTTCTGATGCCTGAATTACAGTTTAGAAACAAGAAATATCCATGGCTCTGTGGTGAATATTTCTGCGGCGGTCACAGTTTAGAGCTGTGGTCATCGTGTTCTCCCGGAGATCAGGATCTCCGGGATCCATGATGTAAATATTTTTTTTCAAATTTGACAAATGTGTCTTTTTTTTTTTTTTGCAACAAAGAAAAGTTTGCTAATGTTGATGTTTGATGTGGATGGCCGTCTTTGCATCACACAGCCATGGATATGATAATATTTAGCCACGCCACTGACTACACTTGGTGCTTAAGTGCAGCACTTGGACCACATAAGAGCTATATTATTATTTATAACATATACATTTTCATGACTCTCACAAATATCAAAAGAGCTGAATCTGAAGTGAAAGAGAAGCTCTAACTTGGAGAGCGAAAAAGACTTTTGCGCAACAACCTGATGTTTAGCTCATCGCCAGAGTTACTCTAAATAACCTCCCGTGCACAAAGACCACATTACTTCTGAAACTGAACGCAGCCGCAGTGCTTGCTCAGCTCCAGTGTTTCGAGTCAACCAACCATCAACTGATTCCCTCGCTGTGACGATGGAAGTCGTTTGAATTACCTGCAGCTGAACGTGGCTGTTGAAGGGAGGCTTGAGACGCCTGCTGAACTCGCAGCCCGATCATGTTGTGAGTGATTTATTGACGCGGGCTTCCACAGACACCCACGGGTGGTTGTCTTGTGATTTGTCTGCCATTTCTTCTGTCTGTCTGTTTTTCTTTCTCTCTCTCTCTCTGTCTCTCGCTCCTTCTCTCTCTCTGTCTCTCTCTCTTGGCCGGGCCATGTGCAAATCCCAACCATTCAACAGTTCTGGAGAGTAGATTGTATTAATCTCAATAATGGTAGTCTCCTTCCGTTTCTTTCTCACTCTCAACCCAGACGACGGCTCCAAGCCCACCCCCACCATGGAGACCCACATCCCCCCCGAGGGCGAGGGTAAGCTTCCCCTTACAGCTCTCCCGCCGTTACGGCACGGTCGAGACAGTCGCCGCGTCGACCAAGTGCGCATACCGCAGACCCGCGATGGCTCTCCGGGGTCAAACGCGGCTCGCATAACTGCTCCTTTGTGAGCTCAAGCTCATCGTATTCCAGAAAGCTGCAGCAGCCGTACTTTGTCAACAAGTTCATTTCCAAACCTAAGATCTATTCTCTTAAAAAGCATGAAAAAAGCATGACATCTGGATATTTCTAAAGGAAATATCCAGATGTCAGAAATCGCATTTCATATTTGATGTCTTTTGACTTTCAATGCTGTTCTAAGTTTGGTTTTGTGGGCAAAAGCCTGACTGCTGAATAAGACATAAGACATTATGTTAAAAGTAAATACCTCTATTTGTGAATGACCTCTGACCTCTGCCCTGTCATGCTGTCACTGTAGAGATAACTGCTCCGACGCTGTGGATAAAACATTTGGGTTACATGGAGAATAAGCAGAACAGCTCCACCTCCAGAAGGCAAGGTGAGGCTAGAAAGCATGACGGCACGCTCCCTCCTGATCAGATTAGATCATTTTTATAGTATTTATTGACAACTGATTGCCTTAAAACAAGCTCCTCCATCTTGGTGGAAAGTTACTTGTGAGTTAGTTTGGCCTCATTTCAAGTGCACTGAGATATTTGCACTAGAAACTAAAACGTTGCGTTGTTCCTGAGGCGTGTGACGCGTTTAGAGGGCGTTGTCGTCCGTTCCGATCTGAGATTGTGCATGTTCTGCGTGTTGGAAAACATGCAGTTGATATTCCTCGCTCCTCCATTTCTTTTCCATCATAATGTCCTGTTTAGCATCTCAGTCACAAAATGAAGTCAGATGTGATCAACGAGGACCGATTTTGAGATATGGATGCACTCTGTTTCTGATCTACATGGTCCATTGTCGATCTGCTTGTTTACTTCCCTTCACGCCACGCATATTTTGAATTCGTGCTGCTGCTTTGCATCGATGCACACCAGCCCACCGTTCTTATTTCCTTCCTGAACACAGTTTCTATATTTCATCTCGCATTTCGTGCTCCGTGGCAAACAGCAGCAGATCCCGGTGATTGCGTCTCGTGTTTCTGGAAGTATTTGTGACGGATGGCACCGCAGCGAAGGAAGCTGCGGTCTGGCGCGCATCGAAGACGTAGAGTTTCTCAAGAGATATTTGTGGTGACAGCTCTTTGAAACCTCGGTGGAAACTCCGGCTTCCTGTTTCCTGTTAGCGTCTGAAGACCTCAGAAGGACAAACGGACAAAGCCAGCGCCAGGGGGGAGCTGTCATCACGTCTGAGACGCGAGCGAAGTGTGCGTCCGCATCTGTAACTCCACACTGTGCTTTGTTTCCGTGTCTCCTGAGTTGAAGAAGTGTGCAAAGAAGCAGCAGAAGCCAAGTGTGCTTGGCCACCAGGGGGGAAACATGCCAAGTGCCAACAATGCCAACAATTTGTGAATTTTAAAAAGCAGCAGATGGTTTAGTGATTCAGATATTCTGCTTTGTTGAACTCAACCCGCCAGCTTCTTGTTGAGGTGGATATTCTTGAAATTTCTTTTTTCTTTCTTTTTTTTTGAAAGTCCACTTTTCTTTCCGTCTCAAACAGATGCGTCGCTGCCCGACTCTGACGCGTTCAAAGTCTGCAAAAGCGCTCCGTCGTTTTCAGAACTGCGCTCGCTGGCTGTGGACATTCCCCGTCCGGGACTCGTCTTTTTCCGTCTTCTAATCCAATTGTTGTTGTCTCGGGGTGGTGCCGAGGCGGTGCCGGGGCGGTGCCGGGGCGGTGCCGGGGCGGTCGCATCTCTTTGACTGTTTGGCATGACAAGTGAAGAATGAGAGAGGGGCACGTGGGAAGCAAAGAACGACGCGTCGGAAAGGAGCCGACGTTTTCCGTGACCGAACCCTTCGTCGTCTTGACGCATGCGCCTACGAAGCCTTCCGTCACGCGCTTTCCCCTGACTTTATTTCAGTATTTATTTTCAATATTGCTTCCTGGAAACAATATTGCAACGATTAGCCCACAGCTGAAAGCCATTGGAGTGGAAAGGAGAAAGTTACGGGAGATGGGAACGATGGAGGGAGGAGGAGGGCAGGTTTAAAGAGTCGGGATGGAGGGAAGCGGAGGACAGAAGAGCCAAAAAGGAAAAAGGAAGGAAGAGAAGGCCGTATTTGAAAATAGTCTCACTCGAATAATGATGGCCAGAGTGGGATGAATAAAACAGAGGTTATTAAATGTAGTTTCGATGGTCATTTTCTGTCTATCATCAACCGAAAATGTGGAGCAAATCGCCCCAGGCTCGCCTACTTGCTCTTGTGCAAGTCTTCCTTTTTAGGATATTTACTTTCAGAGGGTTTGTGTTCTCTCTTCCAGTCCCCACTGACAAAAGAATAACCAGAAATTGACAAAGGAAAAAAAAAAAAGGAGAAAAATCATCGGAAATACAGATTTTCATGACAAGCGAGGGAGGATGGATATTTCCAACACGAACCGTTTTTCATTTGTACAGAATCTTTTCTTTTTGGCTCCAGCATAAACTCTGTATTATAAACTGTTCTAATTCATTACTGTGAGAATGGGGGTGTTTGACATGGAAGGCTCAACAGAACACATCCAGTTCTGCGTTGGTATCTAGTTTGGCAGCTGGGATCAGAACCGCTGCTGGACCTGATTCAAGCCTTTCCACTGCAGCACCGTCTGCACGTCATCTCGGATAATAAAAGGTGGTGAAACAGTTACTTATTTATTTATTTTTATTTCAGAAAGGGAAACAGAGGGTATTTCATTTCGACGATTGTGGCTCATAGAAAACGAAACACCAAAATTCAGTGTTTCCGGAACGATCGCTAAGACGCAGTACTGGCGCCAAAAAAAGGTGGAAAAAGCCCAAGTCAGATATTTTCTGGGGAAAAAAAACAAAAATTTCTGAGTCTAAAAGTCAAACATAAAAAAAAATGTTTATCTTAAAACTTAGACATTTTCATGTCTTTTCTAGAAAATCTATCAAATTAATAAAAAAAAATCAGATTTTTTTTTCTAGCATTTTTTTTTTTTTTACTTTTCAAACTCAGAAAATGTCTGTTTTGGTGGAAATGTAGTTCTTTTTAACCATCAATGGCTCTAATTCTAATTTCAAAAGACACTAAATTTTGAGTTTTTATTATTTTCAAGCCATTAATTAATATACTCGCTCCACTGCCAGAATATTTTACTCTTAACATGTGAAAATCCCTTTGTCAGGAGAGAAATAATCTAATCTGCCAGTGGAACTAGTACTTTTTTAAAAGCCAATATTAGGGAATTTATAAAAACCTCCCATATTTTGCTCAAATTGTTTTACTTATCTCCAGGGTACTAAGATATTTGCACTGGAAACTAGACCAAAACCCTTTGGTAACATGTCATGTTTTTGCATTTTATTGACCAGCCTTGTTCCTCTGTTTTTCTGCTGTCACTCGTTTTCCAGAAAAGGTTCCCTCTTGTGACCAGGAGAGACAGAACGCCCTGAATGAGGCTCAGCAGAGCTCTCGGGAGTCCATTATTATTCCGGACTGTGGGTCTGGAGGTCTTTACAAACCGGTCCAGTGCCATCAGCACACCGGTTACTGCTGGTGTGTTTTGGTGGATACGGGACGGCCCATCCCTGGAACGTCAACCTTGTAAGATCTTCCAGCAAAAAGACACCGAAGAGAACAACTGGTTTGGTCTTTATTGGTTTACTGATCATGTATGTTTTTTTTCCAATGATAACTGTATAATTTACTCGTGAGAATCACCTGCCTGTTGTAAAAGTCAAATTATGGCGAAGCTTCAGCTTGGCAAAACAGTTCAACAGGGGAAAAATACAGCTAGCTTCCAGGCGGTGGTCTTGTTTAACATAGCCCAATACCATACCATGCAGACGCTCTGTCTGCACTGATGAATACTTACTCACATTTGCGTGAAAAATACTCAGTGTCTCAAAACAATAGCAGGCGCCCCTCATTTCTGATCAACTCCCTTTGAGCTATTATTTACAGAGTTTTTTCACTGTGAAGTCTGTGACGCTTTCTTCCACTGTCATTTTCACTGACTTTGACTCAGTGTGGAAGCAAAGCTTCACTTGCGAAAACAAAAGCTGTGAAGTGTGGGAATAGGACGCAAGAAAACTACCAAGGTGCTTGAACTTTTACCCTGAGGCAGCGCTATAAAACACCAAAAGTAACTAACCCGTCCAGGCAGGGAACATGAATGACACTAGTTCACCCTTCATCCCAACATGCACGCACCGTTCAAAATGGCGGCGAGCACAGCCTCCTCCCCGTTTCGACCCACATGTCGCATTTTTCAACACGCCGATCTGTGTAAGCTGTGTTTCCAAAGAATCTCTATCAAATCTCGCTGTTTGTCATGAAAGGGAAAAATAAAAAATAAATAAACACTCCAACTTTTAGACCCAGGCCTCTCTTAAATGTTTACTTAGCAAAGTGAATAATTTCAAGCAATGATGTCAGTATTGGTTAGCTAACTATAAACACTCAGCCTGTGAAAGGCCCTGTGTTTTCAGTTCGGCCCCCGGTGTTTACTTTGCTTTTAGCCGCTGGCAGCGACCTGTATTTATATTTTGTGTTGGTCTTTGTTAGCGGGATCTCCAAAACCAGAAATATGACAAATCACGATGCTTTAAACTAATGTTTGCACAAGCAGTGTCTTGTTCAGTTTGTGTTGAAAACAAGGATATCGGACCTCAAACGAGAAAACGAGACAAATAGATGTTTGGACAACCGTAGACGCGTGTGAGAGCCCGGACCCAGAGGACGGCTTGTGTTTTAGAGGATAAAATGAAACGTCAAATTATACAAAAAGTAAATATTTTCCATTTTAATACACAACGTGTCAAGTTGCGAATCCATCTGATGCCTTTTTAGTGTCAAATGAATCTCGTATGTCATAACGTGGACCAACCGGGATGAATTCTTACTTTCATTTCAAGAAAACAGGAAAGAAAACACTCCTGAGGGGATTGTTTCCGTATCTAAAGGTGCATTGCACCCACTTTTTTTTTTTTTTTTTTTCTTAGCGCCCTAGTTTATTTTCTTCGGATAGCGGTGTCCGGGGTTTGGTCAGGGGCCGTGCGCGCAGTAGAAAACAGACATGACAACTCGCTGTTGATTCGAGAAAGCAAAATGAGGCCCACATGCTCGTTGCATTCAAAGAAGCACTGAAAGAACAGCCAGGAAAAAGCGAGTCATACCAGACTGAAAGCCAAACGGTTTGTTATGCTTCTTTAAAAAAAAAAAAAAGACTCAAGTTTATTATTTAAAAAAAGAAGAAGAAGATTTAATAAGAGGCCAGGTTAATCTTTGTCAGTTAATCCATAAGGGCATTTTAAAACATTTATAAATGCGTGTACAACCAAGTGCAGCAAAAATGGATCAGTGAGAATTATATCGTGCCCGTTTTTTTTTTTTTTTTTTCGATCTCCGGGTTATGTTGAATTTTATCTGTCCGTGTGGATCTGTCTGTCCCATGGATCCTCTTTTCCTTCTCAGTCTCTGATAAAAACCCATCTCTGTCTCTCTGAAAAGGTACAAGACGCCGGAGTGTGACGAAGGCGCCCGGTCTTACGTCCCGGACCCGGAGGACCCGTTCCACGTCAGACCCCTGCAAGGTTCCCTTCCTCTTTCACACCATGTTGATTCGCTCTGGAGAAACTTCACTTCCTGAAGCTTTCGACCAGATACGGAGACGAAATAATTAAGTCGAGGACCAATTTCAGAGCTTTAAGTGACACAGTCGTTTTTCTTTTAAGCCATATTTTCTACGTATGCAGAATTTTATGAACAACTTTAGGTAACATAGTTACTTGATTGTGCTATAAAATGGCACTATTTGCCCGGAAAACACACAATGCCGCCGCCTCGTTAAAAACATTAGCGATTCTTTTGGACTTTCCATTTTATCCACCTTGGCCTGTTGTTGTGTGCTTTTCCACTGCTCTCAGTGGTTTATGTGCCGTGTTTTTCCTCTGAAACTGTGAAATCTGATCAAAGCAGCATTAATCTCGTTAACCAATTTCAAAGTGGTTCTCTCAAAAACAATTGCGCTGGTCCCGACTTCCAACGGTAGGAGACAGGAGGGAAAAACTGGGGTCGGATTAGGATTTCGATCGACTTTTTGAAAAGCATTATGAATTCATGCCGGTTAAGCTCCGAAAGTAAATTCAAATAAGTTTTCAGTTTGGAAGAAGTTTGTGATAAACCACAGACCTTCTAATGATCAAAGCCTGCAAAATCTGATTCAAGGAAAAAAAAACAAACCCTGCAGCTGCTGTCGTTGTGACCGAGGCCGTAAAAGAACAACAGGATTTAAGCTGACATTAGATTGCGCACAGAAGGAGGCAGCAGAGTAGAAGTGGACTGAATTCAGGTGCACGCCGCACCTTTTGGGTCCTTTCGGGTAACTAAACCAATTCAATAACCATGGATTGTTTTCCTTCCACTTCACAGTTAATTTGCCATAAACTTCAAATTAGTAAAAGTTGAAGTGGCATGAATACTTTTGGAACATATCGATAAGTGAATTCTATGAAAATAGTAATAATGAAAAAAAAAAGGATTTCTGGGAAGTTACAATAGGAACTCGCGCCTTGCCGTCATCATTGCTGAGCTAACTGTTTCGCCACTGCGTAAAGCTTCTTTGGATCTCGTGTTTAAATCCCCATCTGGTGGGTCTACAGAGCGGAGCGGGCTCCTGACTGTGCAGCAGATGTGTGGCAGGTTTTATGGAAGGCGGGAGTGTTGAGTCGGTGGGGGCCACAGGGCGAAGGGGGCGGCTGGGGGTGTTGGGGACAATTTTATGTACTGTAGAATGGTGTTATGAAGCGTCACACCAAACCCAAACACACTGCTCTGCATCGCCGCTCAAACCTTTATCTGATTTTAATCACCTCAGCCACAAGCTACAATATGTTTCATGAGTTTAGGTTTGACTTTACTTTTGAATTATAAAAACCGAACCTTCTATAAAACACAGTAGTGTGGTATTATGCTGTGGCAGGGAAGGAAAAGTTGGAAAAAGTTCACAGAAGTCATTAAAAACCATGGTAGCGATGAATGTAAACAGCTATACGAACTATATTCTTCCATCAGAAGAGACGTCGGCGTCTTACTCAACCGCTGGAGCGACAAACCGGCTACACTTTAGAGATGCTGCGTTTTGCAGTCTGTGATTTCACAGAAGAGCTGTGGATTCAACACGTTTGAATGACAGGCAGCGTTTTATGAACGATGGGGTTCTGTGAGAGCTGCACACTGTTCGAAACGGAAACGAAGCACAAAAAGAAACTGCAAAACCAACTGCAGTCTTCTTCGTGGTCGTCGCCAGGATTAACGTCCGGCTGTTGATCACGCGACTCGTGCGATGCCGATAGTTGTACGTTTTGAACAACCACGGGTTTTATCTTTTGCAAAGTTGGCGCGCTTCCAGGAAGGACATTTATCTTCGTAATTTCAAGTTGCGCAATTTTCTGGTTAATGGGAAACGCAGCTATCGATGTATTTTTACATTCTTACGACACATGGTCACAAGAAGACCTCATCTCCTGCGACTAAGGGTTTCCATTTGTCACCTTTGGGCAGTTAGTCGCACATTAAGTCTTATCAAAAAAAAAAAAACCTCACAAGGAGAACAGTTTAATCTAAATTGAAGCAAGAAACGCTTGATCAAATCAAGTCAAGACCTGATGTGTGAGCCCCAATCAAGTGTTTTAGACACATCGACCAGGACTTTACCGCCCATACACCACCCTATGTGGCAAAGCCCTTGACATTTTTGCTAGTCTGTGCTTCATAACAACCTAATTTCACACTTGGATGAAGACACAGCAAGGCACAGAGCCTCCTCAAGCTTGTCCTCTTGTGCGAAATGCTAATTGGAATCACCTGGCGGACGAACATCCTCAGCCAGAGAGAGAAAAAGACAAGAGGCATCGTCGATGACAAAAGATGTAGCCTTGGGAAAAAAAATGGAAAAGCTTCGTACCAAGACAATTTAAGACCGAGCGAAACGACTGTAAAGAAAGCGTTGTTTTACAGTGCAGCTGCGTTTGAAGTTACTCTACAGAAGACAATTAGGAGGGAAAATGTTTGCCCCGGTGAAGCATGCCTTAAAAAGCATACATCTGGGTAATTAAAAGGATCTTCCTGAGGTGTTCGGGATTATGTCATAAAGGTTTAACGGGTCTGTGCCGCTTGACAAAAAGCTCCCACCTCCCTCCATGCGCCTCACGAAAACAACCGGACCGTCACCTCCGTTTAGCACATGACCCTTTGTTTACCTTGACCTTTAGCGGGCTAATGACGGGCTCTGATTGGGTCTCTGTCCTGCTGGAGTCGAGGTGCTTCAGCCTCACTGTGTCATAATGGCCCAAATTAGCGGTGGAAGGTAATTTTAGCATATTCCTTTCTTTTTTGTTTGTTTGTTTTTATATATTTTTGTCTTTAATTTGTACCAGGCTGCCCAGAGGGGAAGAAGGGGGAATTCATTACAAGCTTGTTAGACGCTCTCACAACCGACATGGTGCAAGCCATAAACTCACCGGCCCCCTCCGGTGGCGGGAGGTAAGATTGAATGAAGAGCGCCGTGAAAATGCTAATCCTTTGTCTGAGGGTGTGTGTAACTCTTTTCACACATCTGCCTCTAACACCCGCCAGGTTTGTTGAACCTGATCCCAGTCACACTCTGGAGGAAAGAGTGGTGCATTGGTACTTTGCCCAGCTGGATAACAATGGCAGCAATGACATCAACAAGAAGGAACTCAAACCTTTCAAGAGGTACCTGAAGAAGAAAGCTAAACCTAAGAAATGTGCCCGCAAGTTCACCGACTACTGTGATCTGAATAAGGACAAGGCTATTTCGCTGCAGGAGCTGAAAGGCTGCCTCGGTGTCAGCAAGGACGGTAAGAGAAGAAGTTTTCTGAGAATTGGTTCAGAGATTTTTTTCCATTTTTTTTAATAAAACACATTGTTGGACTAAAGTATCTTATATGTAAATATATATTTTACTGGTATAGATCCGTAAAGTGTGAAACAGAACTATAGTTCAATTTTTATGGAGCTAAATTGGAGCCATAAAGTTTGTTCAAAAGAAAAATACAAGTTGAACCTGAACAGAACAATTGGAAACTAAAACTTCAGTTTGAAATCAGTTTAAAACCTTTTTCAATTTAAAATTTCTGTTTGGCTTCAAACTTTTTTCAGTTTCAAATCTTATTATTTTAATTTTTTTTCACTTTCAATTTTTTTTAAACAAACTTTATGGCCCTAAATTGGCTCAATATATATTCAGAGGCATAATCTAAAATAAATAAATAAATAATATTACAAAAACAAACAAAAAAAACATTAAGTGAAATCAGTGTTTGCTCCCTTTTTGCTTGAACCTTTTACTCAATAGGACTTTAGTTTGCCTTTTCTTTTACTGCAACTGCTCCTGACACAATAAGCAATAAATCAGCAAATCAATTAATCGCACGATGAATTAGAATGAGTTCAATAATTTGCATTATTTATTCTTTTTCTCTTTCCTCTCTCTTTCCGCCTAAAAATGGACAACAGTCTTAAGGCTGGTGCTTTGGTCTTAACTTGGCCCTCTTGTTTTTTTCCCTGACGAACAAGTTTGTTTATATCAGGTTCATAATTAATTTTATGTGTTGTTCCAGTTATTTTGTTCATTTACGTGAAGCATTTAAAATGTCTTCCAGTTCCCGTTTTATACGTTTATTGATCTCTGAGGATGTGTTCCTGCATCATTGTGGCATTACCGTTATATTACTAGAAAATAGCTTCAGAACAACAATATTACGGTTTATAGCAAAAACCTCTTGCTGCAGTCGTGGTTAAACAAACTATGTTACGACTTCGACATGTTATAACATTCAGTTCGATATATAAAGAACGAGATGTGTCCCAAAGGAGCATTAACTGCACAAGAGTCCTCCCACAAGAGGCTTTTTGTTTGTTTTAATCAATTTTTTATTCCTATCCAACTACTAAAATACTACTTAAATGAGGGACTTACTCATATTTTTATCCACTGACAGATGTTAGCGGATGTCGGCAGTTTCACAAGTGAAGCAGGCGAGAGTTTTAGAGTGTTTCAAACTGAAACCACTGAATTATAATGTGGAAAAAATAACAACGGCCACAGAAAGATGCAACTTTCACAACTAGAACGTTCTTTGGTTGTAAAAAAATTTTCCTTCATGACTCCAATTCAGCCTTAATCTGCTATCACCATGGCAACGCTTAAAGTCAAAGTTTCAGCAATACGTGTCGTAGACGCCACACTTACCTTTGTGCTGGTAGGACAAATCAAAGGCTCTTCCATCCAATCAATGAGCTGGAACGTGGATGACGTGTAATCGTTTTTATTGAGACTTATGAAAGAAAACACCTATTAAATAACACGCTCTTCTGTCTTTCCCATTCTGAAATAAATACCTGGGGAAGCAAGATGACCAGACCACTGCAATCTGTGCACCACCATGTAAACCTGTTTGTGCAAAATGCGACATTCTCAGCTGCAAATAGTTGTTTTATTGGTAAATTTCTCCAGCCCAGTAGTTAAAGTTGCTGAACATCCTTAAGTCATCAGTCAAACTAAAAAAATAAAAACAAAAATGCTTGGAATGTTCCAATATTATATAATGCGGCAACGTGTGCGGCACTGCTGAATTTGTTCGCAATAATTCCTTAAGATTTAATGTGTTCCCACTAAATAAACACCCTCAAATTAAAGGTTTGGTTTTTATAGGATGACGCTATTGTAATGAAACTTGAGTTTATTTTAAGAGTAACATGTTTTCGTCAGATGTGCAGCAACTATTGAGAGTCCCTTGTGTTGTTTCAGACTCAGGGATTTGACCAAACAAATCAATACGTGTCCGTTGAGTTTGATTCCTGTCATTTTCCTCTTTTTGCAGGAAGCTGGTTGACAAGCGACAGTCAAGGAACAAGGCAAGGGACAAAACTGTTCAGTAAGCACGCGGGTCTGCTCTCACCAACACTGCTGAAAGCTCTAAACACACACCGTCCGTTGAAACTGTCACGTGGCCACCGTTCCTCTTCAACTGCAAGATTATTCGTCATGGAGGGACAGGGAACCCTTATTTCATAGATACATCAGCGTTTCATTAAGTAACCAAAAGTATTCTTTGTTCTTCCAGTTCTTCGTTACAGATTCAAACTGCTTGCTACTGAACTTTGATTACTTGCGTAAAGTTCAGAAGGTTACGCGGTACTTTGTCTTCAAACAATTTGAGAAAGCACAGATGATGACCTGCTTCTATTCACGGTTCAGTTTCCCCGTATTTGTGGATGTTTTTTTTTTTTGCGGGACGAAATTCCAAATTATTTGCAAAAAATTGCCAATTTGCAGATTTTTTTTGTCGAGCATATCTAATAAATAAATATAAATGCGCCTCCAGAAGATGAAATACTTTGGCACTGTGCTGCTAGGCTCACTATAGGCTGGTGTTTGCAAAGCAGCCAATCCAGACGCACCATTCCTCTAAGAGCAGAAATAAGGAATATTGTTAGCTTCTGCCATAGTACTAAGACGGTTCCCACTGTGATTATTAATGCACATTAAGATATCTTTGGTATTTGAACTATTAAAAAATCCCTGCACTCAACTTCCTTATGTGACATCATCATAGAAATCAAAAGCCAAAATCGCCATCAGACCAAATTTTAGGAAGAGGATTGGAGAGTCGGAAACATGCAGGTTGTCGGAAGAGATCTGGGTGAAGTGTTTTGATCATAAAGCATTTCACTTTTGTTTTATGATTATCACAAATGATAAAACAAAACAAGAGAAGGTGGCAGAAGATTGTGAGAGATCATTCACACTGAAACGAGTCATGTGCTAGAATGTCTAGAAGCCATTACTGAAAAAGAAAAAGGTCTTGTTTTGTTTTTTTTAGATTCTGTGTAAATGTGTGTAGAGTTTTAGTTTCAAGCGTAAATTTATACCCACAGAGATTGTGACGTAATTTAGATACTTTTTATCATCACTTTTATTGTCATGGCACGTGAACGCCACAATATATTTCGACAAAACAGAAACATAAGTCCAGTTCTTTAGCAATTGGGTCAATTATTTGTTCAGTTATCGACTCAGGATGCCGTTTTTAGCTTGTCTGACGCTTCAGTAACTTTGCTGTGTCCTTGTTGAACTGTTGCTGCTGATTTGACCTTGAGATGGTAGAAATATTGAGAAAAGAGCAAACCCAGAAACTGAGAAGAATCACCAGTTTTTTTTTTTCACCTTTCCTTTTTCCAAGTTGTCTTCCTTCATCTCTCAATTACTCACTCCGCTTGGATTCCCTGGAATTCACATGCCGATTTTTATTCCCGCCGGCGCTGTGGAGCCGGGCTACCGGGTTTGCTCAGCGCCACAAAACACTGAAGTCATGTGTTTACCCGGGGCTTGGCGCGGACGGCGGCGGAGAACAGTGGCTCTAAACAGGCATAACGTCAGGGTTGCTCGCAAGTCGCCAGAATAAACAGCCCCAGGAGTGCCGCAGCGCAGGAGAGGGAGGCCTGTTTTTACTACGGCCACTGAATCTATCACCTGCATGTTTAGGAGCGGGAGGTGAGCAGCCTGACGTCTTTATGTGGCTCTTATGGTACCACTCAGGCGCACGGAGCCGGTGAAGGCTGTGGAGAGAGTGAGTTATGAAATGAGCCAAGGAGACGCGGAAAGCTCGCGTGGAAGAACCGGGAACATATGGCATCCGCCTGAGGTTGACTAAGATAGACAACCTTTGTGTTCAGGTATGCTTTGCTGCTCCTCAATGGCCTGGATCGCTTTAAGTCAAGCTGCTTTTACTGGGCCGTAAAGCAGCTCCGGAGAGTCACGGCAACGCCGCGTGCGTGCGTGTTCACGGCTGCGCTGCAGAACGTGCCTTCTTCCTCGGCGTTGTGATCATTTGAGACACATTATCCGTACCAGGCCCATCACTCTTCGCTCACTGGCACCAGCGACGAAAACGATCTGAACACCGTGTGTGTGAGAGTGAGAGGTCGACTTTCAGCAGACAGTGATCCTTATATATTTTCTCTTGTGAACCTTCTGATTGTAATGCTGTTGCTTAAAAAATAAAAAATAAATCAAGGTAGCAGTTAAATATACTTGGAGGGATTATTACCTGACTAAAATGGTTGCAGAACCAATACAGCTTGTTCTTCCCTAGAAGTTATAGGTTACCTTACAAAACCAGCCAGGACATTCCTGAAACTTTCCTGGGACTTATCAAGTTTTTCCTTGGTACTTGCATGACGGCTACTGGATTTCTTTTCTTTAAACTTTCCTGCTATATTCCAGATTCTTTCACATCTAGCTGGTTGCTTCCCAGAATGTACCAGGTACTTTCTTAGACCTGAGCAGCTACATTACCACAATTTAGAGAGTTGTTTCTGGTAGGCCTGTTGCAATAAACAATAAATCAATTAATCACATGATAAATTTAAACAAGCTCAATGTTTACAGAAAGAGAGAGAGAATTATTGAGTCTGGCCCCTTTTTATGAAGAACAATTTTGCTCGCAGAGACTTTGTAATTCAGTTTATTTGTTAATTCTGCTTTAAACACGTTTGAGAATGTGTTCTTGCATTAATATGCTATTACACTAATGTACCTAGCTTCTTTCCTGGAACTTTTATGGCAGTTTTTATGGCTCTTAGCATGCATGTAGAGTTATTTTAGGTACTTTCCATAAACTTTCATTGTACTTGCTAGCTCCTTTCAAATAACCTGCTGGGTATTTTTCCAGATCTTACAAGGTAATCGTCCAGAACTTGGTCTTTACTTTCCTGAACTTATCATGTATTTCCCAGAGACCGTTTGGGAAAGTAACCAGAAAGTTCCACGAAAGTTCAAGGAAAGTTCAAGGAACAGCCAAAAGATTCAATGAAAGTTTTGCTAAAGTGCCTGTATGTTCTGGAATCAAACATCTGAAAAAGTATTGCCAATCTTTTTTTGTATACTGGGCATTAAGGGCAACCATCATTTATTTCCTGATTTATTTATTTTAAAAAAATAAGAATCATTGATTTGTAAGTATTTAGACGTATCTGCTCAGCAGCCTTGGCGATTGGGGTCATCAGAAGAGACGCGGGACAAACTTAGGAGACAATGTCCATGTTTCTTTCAGTCGATCTGAGTCTGTCTTATATTTTCTCTGGCTCTATCTGGAAGGTGGAACTGTACCAACGGTGTTATTAAGTAGGTCTGGGTCCAGAAGTCCAAGCCCAGAATCCTGGCCTCTTGGAGCCAACACGAATTACTCTGCATTTCTTAACGCTTTAGCTCAGTTTGACTCTCTTAACAAGACGAATAGGAACAGAAGTTGTCAGAGGTGACTTTGATAAAGACAAACACTTTATACCTGAGATCACTGCTTTGAACCCAAATCAATCTGATGCAAAATAAACCCCTTAAAAGTCCCGTCTTCATGAGCCGTGATCTCCAGTTGGTTCTCGCCACCATGTACCGATGCAGCACAATTCCCAGCTCTCGAGCCAAGCGTTGTTATTGGCCGGTCCCAGGTGAGGTGAGGCGATTTAGCGCTAGACAGGATCTGCTTTCAGGTCTTTATCTCAAGTGGGGCCAAGGTGTCCAGAGAGAGGCTGGGGAGCTTTGTGTTGTTAATGGCAGAGACAATCTCCTCAGTGAGCGGGCAGAGAGGAGAGGGAGGAAGCCAAGCGCTCTGGAGCCTGGTAATTGCGTGGCCAATTCCTGGGCACTAATGTCACTCGGCTCTGAACAACAGAGACATTTATCGGAGCTAAAAGAGAAGGAAAGCATGACTTCAGAGGAAGACGGTGTCAGAAATGTTTTCATTTGCCAGTATAGGCAAAAACATTGCAAGTTGACTTTTGCAGAATTTTGCAAAACATTGAAACTCTTTGAAAAATCTGAGCAGAACTGAGCTGGATTGGGCAGCAAAACATTTTTGTTTGTTTGCGCCGCCATCATTTTAAGAATATGATTAAATGTTTCCAGAGGTCACGAAAGGTCAGCCAGCCATAGCAGCTTCTTAAGACCAAAACACGATCAGTGTCCATCGACCCTGTGTCTGTGCTGATGACATTTTTAATATTTAATTCATTAATAAAATATGAAAATATAATTTCTGTGTGCAGATTTGTGCTGAAAACCAGACTTCTTTGTGAGACGGCTGAACCGAAGAAGCCTATTGCAAATGGAAATATTTTCTACAAGCATTATTTGTGTTGGTGGAGGTATAAATGCCAAGCACAGCCGTAGAGTTACCAAAAAGAAAAAAAGAATGAATAGTTCTTATCGTCACCTTTCGCACAAAATAATGATAAAGCTTTTAAGTCAATATAGTTCACTCTACAGAATATTCCTCAAAACTTTTAGGGATGATGATGTTTTTTTTTTTTTTTTTCCTGCAAATAATTTGATGTCACATTCCCCATAAAGAAAACTCTGTAAACAGAGAATAAATAGATGAGGGTCCAAAGTAGCATATTGCTGAAAAAACTGTTGCCAAAAAAAAAAAAAAAAAACACAGCGGTAACAATTGTGCCGTTTTGATCTCGAGAACCAGTGTTATTTGTTTTTTATGGGCAAATAGTTTGTGAGCTCGGAGGAACAAAAACTGTTTTATGTAAAACAGAAATGCTCTCGAAATATAATTTAGCGCTTTGGATTGAGACGCTCCTCTTGAAGTGGTTGCGCTGTTGTTCCCACTACAGGATCTGCTCTCATGGAATGCAGCCTCTGATTTATTGCGTGTGGGATGAGTTGTGATGCCTTCAAGTTTAAACAGCAAGCCTGGTAGTAAATACTTCATAAAAAAAAACTCTGGAGAAGCCCTGGGAGTGAAATCAGCTGGACTTGTAATTTACTGTGTACACAGTCAGCAGTGACAGGAAGTGCACCTGCGTGACCTCCCACGCCCCCAACCCCACACCCACCAGCACCATAGCTCACGAGCTCCAGACGCCCTCCACCCACACAGAAATGCAGTTTGATGTGTGCCGTAAGGTCAGACGGGCAAAAAACCCCCAAAAACGGCCCGTCGTCCTTCACTGGCCTGATCCGACGTAAGATGCAGTTTGATTGCAGAAACGTGCGGCCCAGAACCAATCGGAGGTCTGACTTGGTTCCATTTGACGGACGGGACATCTGCAAGCAATCTTCGCTCCATGCCCATCTTCTTTTCTCACAAGCTTCTCCATCATTCTTTCTTCCTCTCGTTTTTTTTTTTTTTTTTCTGGTAACCCCCCGACCCTCCCAAACATTTCTGACTGACGAATGAGCCGGAGAGACTCCTGGGCAGTTTGGGCACGATTGCACAACAGACCAGGACTTTAGAGGCTCGCTCAGAAGCGTGATGGACAATACGAACTCACAAAGGATTCGCCCTTCAAGAGTGTTTGTAACTATTTAAATCGGTCTCATTTTATGCACAAGCGTAAATGGATGCTAGACCAACTAAGGAGTTCATAACAGTGATTTTCTTTTTTTTGCACAAATGAAAACCTTCTAATTCAACCCCATTTAATTTGATACCCCTAAAACGAAATTCAGAGCCATTGATCCATTTCTGACGCCACTTAATTATGAGACTACACCCATGTTTTATTTATTCTGAGTGCAAATCCAATGTTCTGTAAAGGCCTGAGCACAACCTTGAAATCACTTCACCGATGATTGGGTCGAGCTCGGACTGAGGCGCATTCTGGTTTAGAGAAATGTGAATTTGTGTTGATCTGCCCTCAGCAGCTCACCATGTTGAGAAAAGAAAGAAACGAGGTGCAGGAGTTCATGACACCTAAATGCTCACGCAGCCCTGCCCTGCTCTGCTCCCATCAATCACACATCCCAGAAGACTGGCACCCGGCAAAATGGAGGCGGAGGATGCTAAAAGCGGGAAAGAGATTTAAACTGCTCACTCCAATTTGAGATGGTCTGAAACTGAAAGCAGTCAAATCCTACAATTTTTTTCAGCCAGACCAGAGAAATATTGAGCATTTGAGAATAAAAAAACTGTTGGTTGACTCAGCGGTCGTTGACCAAAGACGACCTCCATCCAGTTGGCCTGAGAATTGGCAACAAACAATGTACCAAAGTTTCATTCTCAGTGTGTAACGCTGGAGGCATTTATCATTTCACTGAGGCTAAATGTAAAAGCACAACGCACCTTTCAGGTTTTTATCTGTAAAAAATTATTTTTTAAAAAAAACAACTTTTTTCTTTCCTCTTACAATTAAAATCTCTTGTTTCTGTTCTGTCAAAATAAAATGTAATAAAACACATTTCAAGTTTTGATTTTAACATGACAAACTGTAAAAGAATTAAAGGGCCGTGAATACTTTTTGAAGGTCCAGTATATAAAGTTGATGTTCTGAAGTCATACTCAACGCTTGACTTTTTAGAAGTCAAGTTGAATAACTTTGGCTCTAAAATGAAAAAAAAATAAATAAATCAAATCTTTTCTGTTTTCTCACCCATCTGATAAAACACACATTTCACTTCTGTGTGCATCATTAAATCAAACACTTGTCTGCTCCATGTCATGTCAATGTGACGGCGTTTTAGTGCCAGGGGTAAATTTGCTCCAAAAAAGTCAGAAATTTTGAGATTAATTTCAGAGATTTTCTCAAAAAAAAAAAAAAAAACATATATATATATACATATATATTTCAGAGTCTCAAAAGTCAAAAGTTTGAAAATTATTTGAGTTTCAAAAGTGTTCTTTTGTAATTCTAGAACCTTGGAAATGTTTTTTTATTTTAATTTTTTTAGACAATTTCTGAGATCAATCTCAAAACCTTTGATGAAAATGTAACCTCCGTGTCTGTCCTTCCAGTCGGCCGTCTGGCGTGAGGACGAGAAGCTGAAGACGGGAGAAGAAGGGTCGGAGGCGACGCATCTGCACGCTTCCCGACGGGAACTTAAAGTCGGAGCAGAGAAATCAAGAAGTTTCTGAATCGAAAAAAAAAAAGAATGAGAGAAAGAGAGAGAGAAAAAAAAGAAAAGCAACAAAGCGGCGCCAAAATAATTGCACTTTTTCCTCCCTGTGTCTGACATATTAACTGCTTTTTTTTTGTTTGTTTTATTTTTTTTTTTTTTTTTTGAAGTGACTGAGAATTCACTAAGTAAAAAATGAGAATATATTTGTAAAGAGTTGACAGGCTCACCACTGGAAGAGCGCGTATGTGTATGTAACCACTCCCCCTCCCCTGCTGTACGTTCAGTCTGCTGTGTTGATTTGTTCAGTGCACATGTTTCAATCCCGGGCCTGTCCAATAAAACCTTACACCACCCTCAACCCCCGCCCACAATCAAAAAATCAGTGAACCCACTGACTTCCACCTGATTTGTCAGCATAAAACAATGAACTCCAGGAATCCCCTCGCTCTGGTTATAGATCTGTCTGTGTTCCTTGTTAAAAAAACTAAACAACAACAACAACAACAAAAAAAACAACAGATGTTTGTGTTGTAGACAAGAAAAGAAAACAAGAACTGGCTGCAAGTACTTGGATGTGCCACCCAAAACCGATGCAGGACTCCATTGTGGCCACGCCATCTGCACTAAATACTTCACACAGTCTGTTAGCTGAAGAAAAAAAAGACAAAACATAATAAAAAGAAGGGAAAAAAAGGCAATAAAAAGCACTGAAGTAGTTCAGACAATACCTGCGGTGGCGTAATGCGTCTCTTCTTCAGAACCCAGCGGGTGATTGGCCGACAGCAAAGCCATCAGTTCAGCTCCACTCTTAAGTCTCTTACATAACCTGGCACATCCGAATATCTGAAGACACGCAGCGTGGACGTCTGATAGATGAGCCTTTAAATGACACGAACCGATAAATGAGTCAAATTATCTTCAACAAAAGATTATTGTAGCTGATCAATTACGCACAGCAGCTCTCGCTGCCGCGTTCCACCTTGTTCGGCTGCCATTTTGCGTTTGGTGTTTTCAGATTTTTCCATCTTCGCTGTCATTTTTGCTGACATTTAATGTGACATTTAAGGCCTATGTGGTGAAAAGTAGAAGGAAAACGACAACGTGGTTGTCAATTTGCCCTCAGAAAGTTGTGTCCTGGATTAATACTTTGTTTGTTTCTACCAGCATAGAACAAGATTTAAGTTGCGGCCATCCCTGAATGTCAATTTTCAAGTCTCGCCCCGATTCTAAATTTCATTTTTGTCTGGAGTTTGTCTGGGACATTTGTACACACGAATATCCTTTGATTGTATCTCATGCTGTTTGTTTTGTGTCGCCCTGCCTGGACGGTGAGCCTGACGGCTAGATGTGAGCAGCTCCATCAATTCGACCAGCTTCCCACGATGCCGCCGCCACGATGCTGAAAACCTCTGAGGCCTTCAGACTTTATTCACTAAGCAGGCGACTTCTAAACTCAGTTGATTGCGCTCGATTTTTATTTGAGAGCAGTAGAGCAAAGAGGGGCTGGATGCAAAAAAAAATAAATACATAAAAGCATGTCACACTTTTCAGATTTCTACCTGTAAAACATTTGAAAACCATGTATTATTTTCTTTTTTTAACTTCCACTTAACCGTGAGTCAGTACTTTGAGAAACCTGAAATTAGTGGATGCAAAGTGAAATTACATGATTGATTTCAAGCCATTTAAAAAAATTACCTGCATTTGTAATTTGCAAAAAAATGACACAAAGCCAAAAAAAACCCCAAAAAACAACAGAGCAGAGAGGGAAGAGATATTAAGTCTGTTAGGAATGTGAAGCACAAAAATCCCTCCCCACATTTGGGAACAATCGGGTTTCAAAGTAGGAGAAACGCTTTCGCTGCTGGACTCTCTGGACGCTCGTGTTCGTTTGTTTTGACTTTTTTTGCGTTTTCTCATTTTGTTTTTCTTTTCCCGCTCCCCACAAATGTCTGCAGCGGCTCATAGATGCGGAACGCTTCTTATTGTGAATATGTACAATAACCCTTGTTGTTTGACGGTTGTACTAAATCCCACCACAGTGGCATGATTTTAAATGTACCTCACTGTCAGAGAGCTTCTTGTGAAACACATCCCCTTCTCTCCCCCTCTGTTTACCTCGTGTCGAACATCTTTTACTTGTTGTGTAGCTCATTCACGCTTAAATCCATAGACTGGGCTGTTTATTTTTATTTTTTTATCCGCGCTCTGCTTCATTTTTTGTCTTGCCTTCATCACTGAACGCCAGCAGGAATGCAACACAGCGTCTGGGGCTTACAATCAGAAAGTCCGGTTGTTTCTATTCTAACTTGAACTGAACACTTGTGCCAAGAACAAGAGAATAATCCCATCCTTCCTCGAGTCCTGTGCAGTTTCTCCTCTTTCCCCCCCTTCCCGCCCTTCCCATCCAGGTTAGAAACACAAAGCTTTTGTGTGTCTGCCGAAGTGCTTCCAGACGCAGGCGAGCTGCAGATTGTTCGGAAACATCTTAGAAACGAGCCAACAGGCTGACAATCAGCACAGATGGCCATGGGATGTGTGTGTGTGTGTGTGTGTGTGTGTGTGTAGAGGGGGGTGCTGTCACTCTGACTCCAACCGTGTTTCAAAAGTGACTTTTTTTCTTTTTACTAAAATTTGAAGAATGAGATCCAACTCAAACCACACTGCAATTCTTGAAAAAGTAAATCATGCTCCCAAAAATGAATATGTTCTATTCGTTGTAAAAATTTAGTGAAATAATAATGATAATAATAATAATAACAATAATAATAATAAATAAAAAGAACAAAATGATCTTATAAAGTGAATCCTGTCATTAGGAAGGAACATATAAAACTCGTTTCAGGATCATTGCTCGTTTTTTTTTTCCTGTATGTGCTTTTATGAAAAAAAAAAAAAAAAGTTTTGGCCCTAAATTTAAAAAACAAACATTTGAACAGGTGTGGCGCTCTTATAACAAAAACATTAATAGTACAATGTTGTTCATAGCAACGTGTTTAAACCATGACGAGTGTGAACAGTGTAGAGAAGGAGCTTTACACTGCCCCCAACTGGTGAAGATGGATAACTGCATCTATAAAACAATTTAAACGGTAAAGCTGATAATTTTCTTTCTTTTTGGGATGAAATCAAAAGCCGAATGTTTTAATGTAATACACGTCAAATAATTGTGATAAACATCCAAAAGTCTAATTCGTGAAATTTTACAAAGTGTTGAAAATATACCAACTCAACTAAATTAGTTATTAACTTTTACTTCCCTCCCCCACTTTGTTCGTGCGGCTACGTTTTAAAGGAGCAAAAGTAAATAAAAAAGAACTTGTTGACTAACAGAACACCACTGAAATATTAAGAAACTATTGCCACAAGGAGTAAAGTAAATCTGACAAATTCTTGCCTTGAGGGCGAAGAAGCTAAGCTAGCTAGCTCTTGGGTCTGCTAGCATGCTAGCCAATGTGAGTTTTGCTGTCAAATTAGCTAAAAATTTAGCTAAATTTAAAAAAAACTTTCATTCTAGCTTTTAATAAAAACATGTTTATGACACAGTTCACACAAACATATCCATCTAATCATTCTTGGTGGGATTCGAGTCAATGATTAAATGGATGAATTAAGCTAACAGCTATCTGAATCACTTAAAATTCATCCGTCCTCATGTGGTTTGTTATCAACATAATGCAGCCTCTGTTGTAGGAATTCAACCATTTCTGAACTTTTAATTGACACACTGATCTGCTTCATTTCAATTTCCCGACTAATGCGTTTCCTAAAATTCATTTGTGTAGCCATGGCACTAAATTTCTTTTACTTGTGATCTTTTCGTCAAACATGTTAAAAATATATCGTGAGGAAGTATTTTTATAAAACCTTGTGCAAAACAAGACAAACAAACCAAAACATTGGGAAGGCACTGAAACGAAAGATTTTTAGAGGCCTTTCAAGAAATAATGACTTTGGCTGAAATTGTGCTTTATATTTGTCGTAAAACCCTTTGTATTTACGTCAAATTTATAAGAAATAATGGGAAAAGGCTAGCTGCTCCGAGGTTGACAGTGCTATTGAAGTAAAAGAAATACCACAAAAAAAATTTTTCACATATCCATACTTGTGTATGAAAAATACACGGATGAATAACCCAGACTCTTGTGATTTAGTATAAATTGAACAGTGCAATAGGATGATCAACACAGAAATCCCCTCTTCTATTCTTCTTTAAACTAAAAATGACTCACTGCAAAAAACCAAGCCATTTTCTTTTTTTTTTTGACCGGATTGTTTGTTCATCTGATTTAGTGATGAGACTTCAAAGGTGCGGATGTTGTCTGTGCTTGATGGAGCTGAGGTTGCTGAAGAGGGTCTATGTGCGTGTGTGTGTGTGTGTGTGTGTGTGTGTGTGTGTGTGTGTGTGTGTGTGTGTGTGGGTGGAGGGATCTTAGATGAAACCAGAGCCAGGAGGCAGCTGCAGTACATCTGTCTTGCTCTAACACATGTGGCATTTGACTTCTAGTGTGAAGTTCAAAAGAGTTTTATAATGACGCAGCTGCTTTAGGATCTGTGTGCGTGTGTAAGTGTGCATGAGTGTGTCGGGCTTGGGGTGTGTGTTCTTATTCGGTACCGTTTGGGCTGAAGGTAGGCGGGTTGCGGAGGGCCTTCAGAGCTGACTGGTGAATTTGGAGCATCCACAGTGACGTCAGTACAGGTGCAGCGTCGTGGTTCAGGGAGTCATGGAGCTCACACACGCTGGCCGTGTCAAATCAGCAGGGTTTGAAGCAAAAACCTGTTTGTTAAAACGACGACAACAAACATCAAACACACCACATACGAGTCAATTCATAGGTTGACAATAAGTTCACAATGACAAAATTTGCAGGATGGTAAATTGTCAGTGACGGCTTAGTTACTTTGAAAAAGTAACTAATTGGATTACTGATTACTCTTTGAAAAGAATAACTTAGTGAGATTACTGATTAGTTGATTTGGAAAGTTACATTAAAAGTAACTTTTTAAGTTGCTTTATGCATCTGTTGGCAATAATGTTCTGCCACCATTGAAATGCAAAAAACTTTGCCAACACTTAATTGAAAGCTATTCAATTAAGTGTATAACAATGGAGACACACGTTGTTGTGTCTCCATTGTTATGGAGACACAACAATGTGTCTCCTCTTGTACGGTTTACTGAAGGGCAGATAGTTCAATGGTTACAACAGCCCAAAAAAAAAAAAGACCTTCAGTAATTTTTGCATGTTAACGTGTGCTCCACTATCATCTGGAAAACTTTAAATAGGATTTTAGATCCCCCAACCCTCATATCAGTCTTGATGTTTGAGGTTTTCTGGAGAAGAGTCTTCGGGTTCTAATTACAAATGCCAATCTGATAAGTGTGAATTGGGATGAAGATTTTATTTTATTTATTCATTTTTTTTAAAAGCAACATAAGGTTAAAAAAACAATATTTGAAGCTGTGGCGACTTTTCAATCTTTAAACCCAAAACGTAGAGGAACAATTGCAGGAGAGTGTTGGCGAGAAACGCTGCCAAAAAGAGACTCTGTCGACAAGACAACGGTGATCCAAAGAGACCAAAACGACATTTTCGACCTTCTTACGACAGGCTACACACGATGGAAAGCAAGACATCACCCATATTGCTGCATATATTCACAGTGAAACACGGTGGAGGCAGCATCATGCAGGGGGCGTGTTTTTCATCAGCAGGGACAAAAAAACTGATAAGAGTTGATGCTCACACAAATTGAGATAAATCCACTGAAATTCGAGGGGAAAACCAGTCAAAAAATAAACGCATTAATGTTTTTATCATCAGTAAAGTTAAAAAGTAAGAAAATAAAGCCTTCACTCCACAGTGTTGCACCTTGCAAATGTTAGGCTGTAAAGTTGCAAAATGACTCACGAATACTTTAGCAAGGCACCCGTGACTGGACAAGCCTCAATAACCTAATTGGCAATTAAAAAAACATAAATAAAAAAAATATATAATAAAATGACATGGAATCTGTAAAAATAACTTAGTAAACGGCGTCCATAAAAGCGCAAGGTTTTATGTCACACCAGGTTGCTGGGAGTGCATTTCAGCTCATCTGTTCAGAATTTGCTTCTAATTAAACGCAACGTTCACCGACTCTCCAGATGTTCTTGTGGTGATGAGCAAAATTGCTTCGTAGTTTCCTGAGTTTTCTTTTTTTTTGGGGTGCATTGAAACACTTAGGAACAGATCAGGAACCCGATTACAGGTAATTTGAAGAGAGCCATAAGCTTGTGCTGAGGTGGGAGTGTGAGAGGGGGATGCTAGCTACGCACCACTCGCCATTTGTGTCTGGTGCCCTCTGTACCCCCTCTCCCCCGTATTTACCCTCCCCCGTCAACCCCCCGCCCCCTCTGCGGCAGCACCTGCCCAGCTGTCGGAGCACGGTGGGGGTCACGGGGGGTCAGGGGGCTCAAAGGGTCACATTCCAGATGGGCGTATCCACACCCTGATTAAGAACTCAGCTGCAGGATCAGAGCCTGCAGGTGGATGGTGCATTAAACCTCCTAAAGCAAAACACTCTTCTTCTTTTCCCTCTTTCTTTTTGTCATGTGAAACTCCAACAGTGTGTGTTTGCACATCGTCTCTTTCGTTCTCTTGCCGGTTTTGTGCCAAATGCGAATTTACTGTCCTGAACTCGCGTGTAAAAAAGCAGTTAGTTCAAAGCGAACAGACTTTTATAAGGCAAAAACTAATTTTCCTGTGTCTAGTATTGAAATGTATGTCCTCTAGTCATAGCATTATGATATGATGTTTTGAAACTGTGTGGTCCACCTGTTAGAACTACTCACGTCTTCACTGAATTTGAATAAAGTCATAAATGGTTAATGACGTCACGTCCTTCACTCGCCTAAATGAGACTGAAAATGTCTAAGTTTCAAGAATATGAGAAGGCCCGTTCATGAAAACATGTACGAAACAAGTTCATGCAAAGAAAACATGTTTCCATACTTCTAAATCATTTTCACTGACTTCCATCTACATGGTGTGGTTTTACAGCACAATCCAGTAACTATGTTAGCTCTAGTTGTTGTAAGAATGCTCCACATATCAAATGTGAGTGAAAAGAAAATGTACTTCCCAAATTAACGCCTCAAAATTGGGTCTCCTTGTCTTTAAAACTCTTTCTGAAACTCCGCTGTCAGGAGGTCATCACAACATGGCTCCTCTATTAACCCATTAACGACGTTTTTACCAGAGTTGCAGCTGAGAAGTAGCTCCTGTAACGAGGTCAGCGGGTGAACAGTTCCTCCAGGTGTTTGCTAATTGCTGCTGGCTGGTCTGAAGGAGCTGAGTGGATGAATGGTGCAGTGGCTGTGCTCAGTGATGTGGAAGCCTGTGAGATTGGAAACTGCAGCTCAGAGGAGGAGCTTTGTCCTGAAAGGCGGGGCTAGGCCCCCTTAGGCGATTTGCTCGCCAGAACGGTTGCCATGGGAGATTAGAGGATTTCTCAAACATGCATGAAAGAAACAAGGTAACTCTCCAGGTATCTTTGATGATGGGACAACATTATGGCATGAAGTAAAGCTCAAAAAAGACTTCATATTAATTCAGACTCTTCACTGATCAATAGTATATTTGCTAAAACCTTTGCTACGAAGTTGCAGCTCAGTGCTTCAAATCGATGTCCAATGTGCTTGACTGACATCTATTGGGGTTACAAGTGTATGTTGATTTTCACATTTGTCAGTCTCTGGATCACTCTCCCCGTGGAGGAGTGTGAAATCTGTTTCTAATTTAATCAAACATTCAATATTCTTTGAAAGAGATACGATGCTGTGGAGCCATAAAGTGCTCTAAGAATTTTCATCCCAGCTAACAACATCATCATCAAACTGCAACAAACAACCCACCCTAACCCACACACAGACACACACACACACACACACACCTTACCCTAATGTCAGTGTTTTTCCCACCTTCTAAAATGCCTCCTCTGTGCTCCAAGTTCATTTTCAGCTCTGACCTCAGAGCAGTTTGTTTTTCCCCTCATCCCAAACGCAGCCGCAGGCTCTGATTCGTACATACGGATCCTCTGTCAGCCGGAGAGCAGAGGAGGCCCACTGGACCCGTTTTACCAGGTCCGCTCCAAATGCATCGGCTGGGTGTGACTGTGTAAGGGGGAAGCCGCAGGTCCAGAATGTGTGTCCTGAATAATGCACTGTCATTTCAGAAACTTGGGGGAAAAAGAAGGGATCAGTGCGGTTCTGAAGCAGCTATGAATTATTAATTCATCCAGCATCGTTTTAACTAAAATAAGCGTTCGATGCTGAAGAGATTCAGAGAAATTAATGCAACAGGATAAAACCAGAGATTTTTCAGTCCATTGGTCTGGTAAGTTGGTTTTATGATTGAAATACCATGTCACTGTTAGAGGATTAGCATTCTGTGTCTTTTATTTCTGTATTTTGATGCAGCTCAAAGGCAAAGTGGCTCATGTTAGTCACGTTAGTGACTAATGTGGATTTAGTGACTAAATCCACGTCAAAACCATAAACAGCTGCTTTTATTGCATTGAGTTTTAATGCAATAAAAACAGCTGTTTCTGTTTTGTCTTTTTTGCAACTTGCTGCTGCAAGTCATAAAGTATTTCACTCCAAGTAAAGTACTTTTTACAAGCTTCAAACTAATTCAAATTTTTTTTAATTTCTTGTGATTTCTGTCTCAAAGATGCTATTTGATTTAATCCATGTTAAATCAATGAAAAGTCGCATCAACAACAATTAGAAAGCACAAAACCACAATGATGACAGGGTTTTTTGTTATTGTTGTGGTTTCAGACAGGTAATACTTTTTTTTGTCTGTTCCAGTCCATTTGATTTTTTTTTCCATCTTGAAACTCAACATTTCAGTATATGTTTTGTAATTGTTGTACATAAAGCAGACGTATTCGAGGTTCGACTCACACACTTCTGAATCGATGCTTTGTGGAAACAACCTTTCACTGTAATGACAGCAAGTCATTTCCAGCCTAGTACATCTAAAAAAAAAAGTCTCAGCTTGAGGAGGAAAGGAGTGCAGACAACTCCAATGTAAAAGAAAAAAATAACAATAATAACAGTCTCTCGTCTTTAGTACAAATATTACTGATTCTCACTTCTGTTTTAGTTTGGCTGTGTAAATCAGGCCACAAGGTCATTTCACTACATTTTTAGTTATGACAAGTAAATCTGTGCAAAATTCACTAAAACATTTTGATAACCGCAAAATGTCACATTTCTTCTTCCTCTAAACTGTTCATGATAATTCTGGGATTGCAAGAAAGCATGTGTTTTTTCAAAGAAGAAGAAATAATAGATGAAATCCAACGCTAATCTTTTGTGTTCAGTTCTCTTCCAGACGTCCAGACAATAAATGCGGCTGCTCTCCTGGAGAGATATTCTGTCTCACCCCAGCAGATGGCATCTATAGAGGTTTGGTTGTGATATCCCTTCAATTTTACAAATCAACACAAAAATTCACCTCAAGCTGCCATACGAGGAGAAACATCAGTTCTGAGCAGTAACGAACTCTAAGCTATAAGCTGCAGTTGTTTTGTTATTTTTATTTATTTTTTATTTTCCGGTCACATTTTTAAAGAAGCTGAGGTTTTGGGAAAATGCACGGTTTGTGGTTTCGGAGCCGTCTGACGGCGACACTCCTGGCCTCCGTCCTGGGAGCCGTGCTCGGCCCCCTGCAGGTCGGCTACCACACCGGCAACGTCAACGCTCCAGCCAGGGTAAGATGCCGGCAGATGACAGGATCTGTTCATTAGCTTCCATAAATGGTCACGAGCGAAACCAGGGGTGAGTGATAACTGCAAAACCAGAAAGAAAAAAAAAAAACCTTTATAATGAAATCAAGCTTTTGTCAAGACTTCAAATTATATAGAATATTATTTATATATTTCACAATGGATTGAAATTTTACAGCATCAAGTTCAATTTAGATTGAAGAAGTCCAGACATGGGACTTGAAGTATCTTCCACTGGGAGATAATTTCACTTAAAATACTTTTGTTTTTCTGACTAATCTGCCAATCCAAGGAGTAATTTTTCATCAATATAAAGCAATATTTTACTTAAAACAAGCTCCTATCTTTGGCCAGAAAGTCATTTCTAAGTTAGTTTCGCCTTATTTCAAATGTACTAAGATATTTGTACAAAAATGCTTCAGATTTAGTGGTTTTGCAGCGTAACCTGCTGCACATCCCAGGTGTCCACTTTACCAAGTCATGACTGCTTCATCCCATCCAGATAAAAGCCTGTTTATAAAGAAAAACATAAAAAACACAGAACAAGGTAGAGAATGTAACGTCTTTAAGGTAAGCCGTACAGACGAGCCAACAATGGTCAAATACTGAACATAGTCATGATAAACACTTGCAACATCTCCTGTTCTGTTTCTTTTTGCCTTTTGTTCCTTTCTAATTACAATATATGGTATAAATTAAGTAGACAACAGTTTAAAAGCCATTCCATGAAACAGAGCGATGAGTCCAAAAGCATCCCAAATGGTCAGCCAAGTTTGGGGTATACTTCAGAAAAGCCAGACAGCAGGCAGACTGTTGAACAAATATCACACAGCCTTGTGAAGTTAACAGCTGCCTAAACCTCAGTGGCTCAGCAAGGTGCTTCCTACAGTCAGCAGAGTTTCACACCGCCGAACGTACACCAATACCACTGGCTGTCTTCATATGGGACATTCATCTGCAACACTGAGCTTGCAGCTTAGTTCTTCCTGCTTCGTTCCCACATCGGCGTTGGGTCACATGGTCCAAGTTCTCCTGCCTTTTCCTTTTGTTGCTGGTCTTCAGATCATCGAAGAGTTCTTCAACAGCACATGGAGAGCCAGACACAACCAGTCGATGACGGATCACAGCCTGACCCTGCTGTGGTCGCTGTCCGTCAGCATCAAGGACTTTGGAGCGTTGCTGGCCTCTCTGGGGGTCAAACACCTGGCAGATTCGTACGGCAGGTGAGAACCAAGAAAACGAGCACAACAGAAACGCACAGCAGAGCTTCTACCATCTACTGACGAGCGTTTGTTGTTGTTCCCCATATGAAGACGAAACTCCATCCTGATCGCCAACTGTCTCTCAGTGGCAGCGGCCTGCGTTATGTTTGCCTCCAAAGCCAGTGGGTCGTTTGAGGTTCTCATCCTGGGACGGCTGGTGTTTGGCCTGTTCTGCGGCCTTGTGATGAGTCTAAACCAACTCTACATCCAGGAAGTGTCCCCTACCAATCTGAGAGGAGCCTTTGCCACACTCAACCAAGTGTCATTAGCCTCTGGCATCCTGATAGGGATGGTGAGGACGGTGCCGCCGAGCTTTCATTTGGATCGTTTAACGTCTTACAAAGTATTTACCGTTCGCGACAGGTGGCTGGTCTGGAAACAACATTGGGCACGAAGAGTAACTGGGCGATGATGCTGTCCCTGTCTCTCATTCCGGCCCTGACGCAGTACCTTGTTCTGCCTTTCTGCCCAGAAAGCCCTCGCTACCTCCTGATGAACCAGGGAGAGGAAAGGAAAGCAGAAAGCGGTAGGTTTCTACTTCAGTAGCCCCAATTAGGGAATGACAGGAGACGAAGTCAACCCAGGATCTACAATTGTCACAAAAAAAAAGAGTATATACACCTTTCACGATTCAGTATTTTGTTTGACAAGCTGAACATTTCGATCAACCAAAAGTACAACGATGCCAAATTACATACAAGATCAATAAAGTCAGTGTTTTGGAGTGGATGTGGTAAAATCATGACCTCAATTTGATTCCTGTGTTGGAAGGAAATGGATATAAATTCTTGATTAGAAGGAACAATTTCAAAAAAGCCAATAGCCAGTGTTGCTGATCACTGACCTGGACCATTTCAAAACATTTAGGGGTTCATCATTCAGCTCTGGGGACAATTTAATCAGTTCATGGCACAACTCAACTTTTCCTCTCACCGCCTCCACAGGCAAGCTGAGAATATTTTTAATGGAGTCATATTAGGGGATGACCATGAGATATTTGGCTGTTTGGGTTGCATTTACGCACGTTTTCTTACATCATAATGCGCAAACGCATACAACTTAAAAAATTTTAAGATTTCCGATAGGCAACTAGGTTGTGTTGACAGGACCAACTTTAGCCATCGAGAAACAAAATGCATTTAAAACACACAAATTCCATCAGTTCTTCGAAAGCGCATTGTTGTTCTCATCCTGCAGCCCTGCTGAGGCTGCGAAGCCATGCCGACAACGTGTCCGGAGAGCTGGAGGAGATGAAGGAAGAGGCTGCACACACCCTGACCCGCGTCACCGTCCGGGATTTCCTCCAGAAGCGAAGCTACAGGCAACCGATCCTCATTGTTCTCCTTGTCAACCTCGGGAGCCAGCTCTCTGGATTCAATGCAGTAGGCAAAAAAAAAAAAAAAAAAAACCCTTCCACAAAGCTTAAAGATGTTACTTTTACCAGATTGCAAATAAACAAGGCAACAACGTGATGCCATTAGCCCGTCTTACAGAAGCACATTTCCCAGTAACGCTGCTCTTTTATTCCAGATCATCAACTACTCCACTAAAATGTTCCAGGCCAAGTTCGACGAGGCCAAACACCTGACTCTAGGTGTGGGAGTTGTCAACGTCACCTTCACTTTGGTTGCAGTGAGTACAAATCACCTGCAGTTCATTCAGACTACAGAACAATACGCAGCGGCCGCATCAGAGGTTGGGATAAAGCTGATGTGTTGCTTCCAAGAAATGTAGTTCTGCCCATCCTGTGGTCAGGTTGTTGCCGCATTTTGTTTAGAAATTAGGAATCTAATGTGAGCAAAGAAAAACTGGTGATGATTTGGGTGAGGACACAGTTATAAGGTCAGTTCTACCCTGCAGAGAAAACTATTGGGAGGAGCCAAGATGTTGTGCAGCATCATTTTGAGCATCACACAGAGCTCATTAATGTGGTGGCGTTGTTCTGTTTGGACAATAGACGTCCAGAGATTAAATCTCTACGCAGGGCCGGCCCAAGACGATCCGGGGCCTTTGGTATGTTATGACTCATGGGCCCCCATTGTTCCTTTTAAGAACATTTCCACCACTAACATTGTTTTAATACAGAGAGCTTAAAAGCAATCCCTGATAACTGGTTTTTATTTACTGAGATAACAACCGAGCTCAAACGCAAAGATTCAAATTGTGGCCATGGTAACACAATAGTTGGACTATGAAGATTATTCTTAAATCTTAAATTTAAAAGTTAAACAGTTTTTGAAAAAAAACCCCCCAAAAAACCAAAAATATTTATCTCTGGTGAAACCATAAAATGAAATTCAGCAGTATTCTCATTCACGTAGCTTGAAATGGCCCCAAAATTAACACAACACATCATGTTCTAAAAACAATGGAAACCCCGAGAAACTGGAAAATATTCCTGCAGACACGAATTCCTCCAATCGTAACAGTAATCCTGGCGTTGGTTTCTTCCCATTGGTATCTTTGGCTTGTATTTTGAGTGACCTGGTCTTAAGCCGCTTTTAAACACAATCCTTTGGTGAGCTAATTGTACGCTTCGCTCTTTGAGTTCACGCCACAGCAAAATAAACGGTCATTTACGTGCAGTGCTCAGCGGGACCACTAGGGTTTGCTTTTGCCTGTCTCTGCCCTCTCATTATTTATCCCCAGTTCTTCTTCATGGAGCGGGCCGGGAGGAGGAAGCTGTTGCTGATCGGTTTCCTCTCCATAGGAGTTTGCAATTTTCTTATGACCATAGTGGACTCTGTTCTGGTAAGTCCATCATAGGTTGGTCTCTTTTGTGCTCGTTGAAAATGCGTCTTTAAAGACAAGCAGTGAAAATGTATATTTTCTTCTTCTATTTTTTTTTTTTTTTTTTTTTTTTTACTTTCCTTTCTAAATGTCAATAGATATATTTGTATGGCTATAATTTTACTTCAGTCAGTCTTTGGGTTTGACCAAACAAAGTCGTTTAAGGACAAGTCTTGGTTTGCCGATTTAATCAACAGACTTTGGCCCTTCTGAACTAGCCTTTAGCTTTAGCCTGGGGAGCCAACTATTGTATTTTCCAAATAATCAACATATATTTCTGGGGACCAGTGAGCCTAGAAAAAAAATTTACAACTTTGCTGTGGTCCAGATTCAGCATCAACAATGACTTTGAATTGCAATCCTGGTTTGTCCATTCAAACCCAAACCATTTTTTTTCTTTTTTTTTTTTAACACATTAAAACATCCATCGATCTCATTGTTCATAATCTGTCACCTTTCACCTTTCACCTCCCAACTATAGAATCTCAGATTGTCCTGATGGAAGTCAATATTCTCTTCCCTTTGCCTAACCAATCAGACTTTGCTTCACCTTGGGACAAAACGCCACACCTGAGGCGTAAGAGTGACCTTTGCCCCCTCTCTGCAGCACCTGGTCCCAGAGCTGCGGAGCCTGCAGGTCCTGCTGGTGTTCGGCGTGGTCTCGGCCTACGAGCTGGGCCCCGGCCCCATCTCCTGGTTCATCGCCGCCGAACTGTTCGACCAGCCCGGGAGGCCGATCGCCATGGCGCTCGCCAGCATGGTCAACTGGGGAGGGAAGTTCCTCCTCGCCCTCCTCTTCCCTCCGTTGCTGGTGAGTTTACACGGCCGGCCGAGCCAGACTTCTGGGGAAGCTTTGCGAGAGGCAAGCATCTTGTTTTTGTGGGTCGCCCGTCGCCTCCGAGACGTTGCTTTTAAACACTGACCGTAAAAAAAATCCTGGGCTTGTTTTATGCTAGGCATGCGTACTCGACGTAAAATGTTAATAAATTATGTACAGTTGTTGTTTAAGATGCATAAATCTCTCTCTAAAAGCTCGAGGCAAGGCTGAGATCATTGACCGAGTGATTGAATTATCAGCTGTGGAGGGAAAGCGCAAGCCAACAAAGATCCGTTTTTACGGCCTTTTTGATTTTACGGCGTCGAGTTTAAATCACGAGAGGTCCATCAGGTTTTTTAAGTGTAACATGGAAAGCAATAAATATGGTAGTTTTGTCTCTCTCTCTCTCTTTTCTTTTTGTATTCCCCCAAAATGTCTTGCAGAAAATCTGCGGGGCCCACGTCTATTTGATTTTCACGGCCGTGGCTCTGCTCGCCTTCGCCGTCACGTGGCTCCGCCTCCCGGAAACCAAAGGCCGCACATTTGACGACATCGCGGAGGAGTTCAGAGGAGCGGAGGGAATCCCGCTGCACAACAGCGGCGGATTCAACACTTTCACCTGAACAGCAGATTCTTCCTTCTCCATGACGATCCAGAAGAGACTGTCAGCACAGCCTGCCAACATAATAATAATAATAATGATAATTGTTTTGTCTTCATGTTGAGGTTCACTGGGCAAAACATCTTCTATTATGTTATGACCACCACATGTCATTTAGTGGATCTTCAAAAAGTTTCAAATATTAATAATCAGGGATGCCATTATGAACTTTGGTACTCACTGCTTATGGCAAATATTCATAATTCACTTAAAATGTCTGACCTATAGCAGTAAAAGTCAACATTGTTAAAAATATAAATTAAAAAAATGGGGAAAAATTGCTAAAAGTTCATTTTATTTCCATCAAGTCACACAAAATATATTTGTTCATTTGTCTGTGTGTCGTTATAAAAAATTTTATTGTCATATCCATAATTTGGACAACACAAACATGATTTCTTTACCTTTTAGAAACAACTTGTGTTACATTTTTAAGGTACTTCAACACATAGTAATGATATAACGCTTGTAAAAACGTTGTGCGTTCAAACATCCCCCATTTGAAGAGGAAATCAAAGGCAGAACGATTCAGTGGGAACAAAGATCGCTCTATTCAACTTATTGTGTTCTCACAAACATGGCCGCTGTTATGCAAACATACATTAACACACACACACACGCACACACACACACACACACACATACGTGTTTCCGTCGATCACGGGGACTACTACTTTTTTCATCGAATTCGGGGACTAGCCTTTCTAGTGGTTCTAAAAATCCAGAAAAAATATTTTACACTATTTATAGCTATATTAACCTATACACGGCTTGAATAACTCAATTTCAAAAGTAGATTCATCAACTTTGTCTGGGCCATGATACAGGAGGACTCATTAACTTCCAAAAAAAGCATGTTTGACGAGGACCAGATTAAAATATTATTTGCATAAGTTACACATACAACTTACCTAGTGGGGACCTTTGTTCAATTTCCTGAAATATTACATCTGCCTTATTAGATTTTAACAGAATGAGCTATAACTTATCACTAACATCAGAAAATTATTACATAAAAACAAATAATTACAAAACACCTTTTTAATTAACTATAGGCAAAAAGATGCTCAGTGGCTGTAAAAAAAACAACTAAATAATCTTATCTTAAAAGTATTAAAGATGAACCTCCACTTCAGGTTTTTCAAATAAACATAACAATGAAAAGACAAACAGTGCTTCTTCTAAATTAACACTGAAGCAGTATGTAAAAAACACATTGAACAAATATTTGGAACATAAATTGAAAAAAACCCCCAACATATATAAAACACGCCTATTTAATTACGCTGAAGCTTCTTCCTGTTAGTTGTAATTTGGTTTTGAATGAAAAATAGAATCCCCCATCCCTTAATCTTCAGCTGCTTTCACAAATTCTCTATCAGATTCAAGTGTGGAGAGGCTGAGCTGCTCCAAAACGCTCCGTCCTCTTCCTCTACTTGTTATCTCCAGACAGTATCTGGTGGTGGTCCATTCACACAGACGTCCATTTTGGACTGATACTAAAACTAGCGGTTTGAGTCTAATTATATGTATGATTATTATTTATCCCTATTATATTGGTAGATGCATTCCCATGAAAATATGTAAATGTGACTTCTTCCCCCACATACAGCACACTGTGGAGGCCAGTTGGTTGAATTTCTGTAATGAATGGCCAACAATAAACAGCACAGTGAGCCTCCCGACTGGTCCACTAGTTCTGGTCCACAGTAGAGAGCTGAACACACTGTGTGTGTCCTACAAATAATCATCACAATCGGGTCCAACAACACATTTTTCTAACAGGTGATTGTAAAGTGAATTTTGATTGATAATACATCTTTCAAATAAATATCATACAATCTGGTCTTTCTCTTATAAATAAAAAAAAAATCAGAAAAATAAACATAGACATTAGTCAAATTTAACTAATAAACTATTTAACAGTTAACCTCGAACTGGCCACGTCATGTCGTTATAGAAACAGGGAACAAACAAACTGACAGACTGGCGAATACAGCAAACTGACAACTTAACTGAAAATAACTGACAACATAAATATCTGACATTTAACATAATTACCTGTAATTAATGGCCAACAATAAACAGCACAGTGAGCCTCCCTACTGGTCACTAGTTCTGGGTACTGCAATAAAACTCCACGTTAGTCCTAGAACACAACAACCACTACTGTTCAGAAAAGAACTGGACTTGATGACTGACCACAGTAGAGTGCTGAACAGACTGTGTGGAATACTCCTTTTAAAAGCAACCAGTAGGGGGCTCCAAAAACCACTCATTACAGGACAACTATGAAACCCATTTTAGCAGAATTTAACCTGAACCATTTCAACTATATTACATAAATATCTGTAAATGTACAATTTTTAAATTCTCTTAGCAGTTAGCACTGCAGTTAGCATTTTCAGGTCTGTGTGCAAGTTGATTTCCATTCCAATATCTGCTTACTGATATTGGAATGGTATTTTAATGATATCTGTTTACTGTGCTGTCAGCAGTTCTGGCTTCTGGCTCACCTGTGAGCCTTCAATCTTCAACATGTTGCCAACTTAATGCCGAGGATTGGTCACCTCCTCCATGTCTCATTCATTGTTTTTAGCTGCACAGTCCGGATCATTCTCCATCTATGTCATTAGTGCTACTGTGTGGCATTTTTCAAACAGCAGGTTGAATTAACATGTTTGGTTCCAGTGGTCTCTATGACATCAGCGGTTATGACATCACTGTGATACAACAAAGGAATCTCTCTCTTGATTGTAGCTCTCAGACAGTGTTTTCTCAGACCTGTTCCACAGCTCTATCACGACAGATCACATTTCAAAGAAACAAGAATTAACAGATTACAAACATGGACCAACAACTTTCATGGATAGAGATGATAGAAGAAAACATCCAGGTAGATTATGACGCAATCCTTCATTTTGATGATGAAGAGGAATGCCCCATTGCGCCTGAAGACGAACATACTGAGAGTCCAAGACCATTCTACGATGAGCAAGAAACAAATGATTACATCTGGGATCTGACGAGGCAGATCAATGATTTGAAGAAAGAGCTGAATGAGGAAAGAGAGCAACGGATTGCAAGGGAGAAAGAAGTCAAAGTCCAGGAGAAAGAAATTAAAAATCTGAAGAACTTGTTAGAAAGAGAACGTGGGATGAAGAACACACATGAACAAGAAAGACACATAGGAGGATCGAAAGTTTTCAGCGCTACCAAAACAACAAGTGAGAAGAGAATTCTTCAAGAGTTAGATTATTTTAAGAGGGAGGCACAAAAATACGCCTCCAGAAACAAAGGACTTATTGACGTGATGATGGACGAGTACACGATCAGACTGGAACTGGAGAAAACAGTAAAATCTTTGAAGATAAACAACAATTCAAAAGTCTCCACCCAACCAGATGTCCCCCAACAACCAGATGTCCCCCAGCAACCAGTTGTCCCCCAGCAACCAGAGGTCCCCCAGCAACCAGAGGTCCCCCAACAACCAGATGTCCCCCAGCAACCAGATGTCCCCCAGCAACCAGAGGTCCCCCAGCAATTAGATGTCCCCCTGCTACCAAAGGTCCCCCTGCAACAAGATGTCCCCCAGCAACCAGAAGTCCCCCAGCAACCAGATGTCCCCCAGCAACCAGAGGTCCCCCAACAACCAGATGTCCCCCAGCAACCAGATGTCCCCCAACAACCAGATGTCCCCCAGCAACCAGAGGTCCCCCAACAACCAGATGTCCCCCAGCAACCAGATGTCCCCCAGCAACCAGAGGTCCCCCAGCAATTAGATGTCCCCCTGCTACCAAAGGTCCCCCTGCAACAAGATGTCCCCCAGCAACCAGAAGTCCCCCAGCAACCAGATGTCCCCCAGCAACCAGAGGTCCCCCAACAACCAGATGTCCCCCAGCAACCAGATGTCCCCCAGCAACCAGAGGTCCCCCAGCAATTAGATGTCCCCCTGCTACCAAAGGTCCCCCTGCAACAAGATGTCCCCCATCAACCAGAGGTCCCCCTTCAATCAAATGTCCCCCAGCAACCAGAAGTCCCCCAGCAACGGACCTACAATCAACCGCAGTGGTGCCACGTAAGTCGGGCCTCCAAAAAGCCAGAGAGGTCAGAGGACAAGCGGACATACAATCAACCGCAGTGGTGCCACGTAAGTCGGACGTCTAAACAACTTGAGAGGTCAGAGGACAAGAGGACGTACAATACACCACAGTGGCGCCGCTAGACGATTGGTCTCCATGCCACCAACCTCCACTGGTTGCATGGAGGTCCATCATGTTGCCGTTGAAATGAAGGCCAAATGATGCCCGGCTCAGCCTTTACGCTGACCCACACCCAGGTGGTACTAAGTGATGTTTCACCAGGTCACTAGGTCAGTGCCTTGACACATCAAAAATTTCTAACTTCAAAATCAGTGGAGAAAACACAAAGCGGACAAAAACTAACAAAACAAGATACATTTCAGAATGAATGACAGCATCACAAACATTAAAGTTTCAAACCTATAAAATACTCTATAGTATTATATCTCATTACAACAATGAGATATAATTGCGGCACTACTGTGGTTGATGTTTCATGATATCAAAATAGTATTATATGTCAATATAATACAGATTTGTCCATCTGGCCTCTCAATTCCAATACCAAGAGAGGTCAAAGCATTCCAAAAATATCTCAATATATCTCATTGTTTTGAGATATATTGAGATATATTCTGAGCAGTTGTTTCCTGCTATATCTCATTACATAGATATAGCAGGAAGAAACATAGTAATGAGATATAATGATATAATACAATATATTTCATTATGAGATCGTTATCTCAATATGAGATACTGTGATTACTATCTCATAATGAAATATTATATTGTCATATCTCATATCTACATAATGAGATATAGTATTATATCTCATTTTAACAATGAGATACTATCTCAATATAATAATAATAATTATTATTATTATAGCATTATAATCATCTTTATGAGATAGATACTATCTCAATACAATGAGAAAGTCTCTCATTATATTGCGATGGCATTATATCTCATTATTGTAATGAGATATAATGCTATATCTCATTATATATTAATGAGACATAATAAAATACTACAATATAGTATTTCATGAAATGAGATGGTATATATTTATATTTTCCAGAGTGGCAGAAACAGACTTCCATGGAAATAAAAACTCAGGAACTTCATTGCTCCATTGTTGGTTGTTGTAGGTTTCTGTGAAGTGCAGTGAATGGGAATCGTCTGTCATTGATCCTGACTGTTTTTAGGAAGGAGAAATGTTAGTTTGTCTGAATTTGTTAGTTTGCACTGGAATGCTGGGGCATTGAATTAAAACAATATTCTGTTCTTTGGTGACATATTTTTCACATTTCTTCTAAAAAGTGCCTGTTTTTTTCTCTATTGTTTATTAGGATAGGATAGAAAGGCATCAAAAACCTATGATATAAACAGAAACGTTCTGTAAGTAGGAAATAAATAAAGATAAATCCTAATTGGGATTCTTTCTGAGTTATTGTCGCGGGGTAATTAGTCATTTGACAGTTTTGATTGTGTCTCTGTTGTGCTGGTTGTCTGAATGATTTAAAGTTATAGTAATAGTTTCTAGCACTGCTATGATTAGTAGTTTCAGTTCAGTAACTCTGTATTTGACAGGTTGTGAATAAGACTGTCATGACACCGTCAAGAGTATGTCTTCATGAATATTTATGACTGTTGTCATAAAATGTCATTTGGTAAATCATGACACTTTTAATACAACGTTGATATTATTCAAAATGTCTTTGTTATGATAACTTGACATTAACCAAGAAATCATGTTCTGACATAAATTTGTTATAACGGTATTACTGATCAGTATTACTGATTAAACTTTAAAATTATGTAGCTTTATATTATTAAAGCTAAAGTTTAATCAGTAATACTGATGAACACAATAAAACCCAAGTCCGGTAACTTTTCCTTGTTACATCGATTCAGGTGGTTGTTTTGTCGCCGGATCATCTGCTGAGACGTTCATTTCACCTTGGTGTGTTAATATCTTTGGCTCCCCCGAGCTGAAGGGAGGGAACCTGACAGAAATTAGAAAATCTAAAAATGATATTCAGTTAGATTTGTTTTGTGAAACTAGAGCTGCAGTCTGAGACGGGTCCTGGTAGAAGCACACACAGAACCCTTCAACAACCAGCAGAGTCTCCTGGCTCTCAGTCTCAGATGAGCTGTGGTCATTTCTGTGTTATTACTGCTGAACCCCCCCTCCCCCCACACACACACACACACAAAATAAAATGTCAACTGACACAGAGAGGTCAATGTAAATCACAAATCCAGCCACTAGAGGGACCTCAAGAACCACTTCTATCAGTCAGACTGTTCTAAAGGGTTGTCTTTTTGTTTTGGTTTTCTTAGAATATGTGTAGGGATTGAAACCATCCAATCAGGTTTATTCATATATTGTCCACAATACAGAGAGCTGGTAGGACAATCACTAATGAAGCAGGTCTGGGCGAAAAGCTCTGCCAGTTTCATACCAAGGATAAGAATCCAAAACAAGAGGAGAGACAGTTTGGTGCAAACTCCCGTTCATCAACAGGACACCTGCAGCCTGATTCTCTCACCAGTTTCCTTCTCCTGTGGTCAGACTGGGACACAACATGCTGCTTTGGGAGGTTAGTCAGATGCAAACCTAACTGCAATTTTTTTTGCACTTAGGTTTGTCATATAGTGGATCCAGAAGAAAAGAACCAGAAATACTTAAATTAAATGTATGATTGAGTGGAAAAGGTTCTTCTTGTGTGATGCTGTGGGCCGGTTTCTCTTCCAAAAAGCCCCAAGGACGACATGAGAGTTCACGACTCATCAGCGAGGAAAAAAAATCACTAGTTAAAATCATAATTTTTAAATTTTTAAATGGGTCTAATATCAAATGATATTAGACCCATTTAACTGTTAAATAGGTCTAATATCATTTGTCACTATGATAACACTACAAAAAAATCTGAAACATCAAACCCAGAAATAAATAAGTGATAATGACACTGAGTCACTCGCTGAAGCAAAACTTTTCAAAAAATTTTCTATAGTAAATACAGTAAATATTTGTTCTGAATCCTTTGCTTTTAGGTCATTTTAAGTCTCTACAGGAAATGAGGGGCGAACAGGGGCGGATCCCTGCAGCCTGTGGATGAGTCTCAGGTCCTCCTTCCTGCAGGTTGTCGTTTCTCTGCCGCTCAGACTGATGGACGTTGTGAAAGATGAATGAACTCCTCAGAAAACAACTTCTCCTGCAATTCCTGGCATCTTCCCTGTGGATCTCAGGTGACATTCAACTCCACAGGCCTTGTGACAGTCACATCTTCATTCATGTGCAGTATTTCCCTCGTCGTTGCCCACAGGCTCTGCCGGCGGGAGCGACGTCACCCAGCCCGCCGTCTTATGGAGGAACGAGAGTGAAGACGCAACAATCGACTGCAGCCACAGAAAGGGTCAGTTGTACTTCCAGATGTATTGGTTCAGGCAGCTGCCGGGGAAAACGATGGAGCTCATCGTCTTCACCACGGCGGGCAGCAGCAAGCACGACTTCGGCGGCTTCAGCCAGGAGAAGTTTTCAGCCGTCAAAGCGGAGGCCGAGAGTGGAGCGCTGACGGTGAAGAGCCTGGAGCCGGCAGACGGAGGCCAGTATTTCTGCGCAGTGAGCTCAGCACAGCGGTGCAGGAGGCCAGGAAGGTAGAACAAAAACCCACACAGCCAACAGCAGCTGACTGTGGTCTGGACCGCAGGAGCACCGTGTGCTCCTCCTACTCCATACACACAAAAATGAAAACCTCCTTTACAACCACAGTGATACTAATGAAGCTACATTTTTGGGTTTATTAATTAAGACATCCTTAATCCTGTTTTCAATTACCGTAAAGTATCGTTTTTCTTGTATTGTACGTTTGCTCTCACTCTGCAGGCGTGCAGAGTCGACCTCGTTTTCATTTTGTTCCATGTCAAAAACCTGACCGTTCTTAAAGGGCCACTTGCGGCAGAACGTTTTGATAAATCCTTTTAAAGTGCTAAAATATCAAAAAATAACTGTTTATGTTTGTGTTTTTTTAGCATTCAATAACTGTTTGTTGAAATTAAATAATACTGTACATGTTTTCACACTGATCAGTCCCTCCAGGATCGTGTGATTGTTTTTGTATAAAAAACAAACAAAAAAAAAAACAACAACAACAACAACAAAAACCAATTTTATTTTTTGAAACGTTTGTGAGGAATGATTTATTCGTTCTTGTGATGTTTTTTCCCCTTTTTGTATTTTTCAGTTGTGGCCAGTAGGTGGCAGCACATGTTCAGTCGGATCTCGACACTGAATCGGTTCCAAAAGGTTTTGGTGACGTCAGGTGGAACTTATAGGAGGAGGATAATTTGACGCTTCCTTCAAACAAGGAAACAAAAACACTCCAGTAAACTTTCAGATGCAGTAAGGAAAGTGTGAATTACATCAGTCGCATTGTTATTTAGCATAGAATACTGTAATTTAACTATCATTAAATTAAGATCAGAGCAAGAAAATGCTGATCCTTTTCTCGCTTTGCTTAAGTTTAAGCAATCTCCTGGTTTCAGGTGAAATCTTAAAGATTTAAAATTTCAATTTACTAATAAATGTTTCTGAGCTCACGTCCGTTTCATAAGTTTTATTTTTTTTTTTTCACAGGCTCATCTCCAAACGACAAAGTCCACCAGCGTCCAGCCGACATGTTCAAGTTTCCTTCTGACAGCGAAGCTGAAATTCAGTGCTCACATACCGACGACAGCTTCAACCAAATCCTCTGGTACAAGCAGTCGGACGGAGACCTGCAGCTCCTGGGCTACATGTATGCGGGGACTCAAACTCTAGAGAAAGATGCGAAGGTGAAGATTGACGGAGGAGCAAACGCAAGAGAAATGTGCACATTAAAAATCAAAGATCTCAACCGGAACAGCAGTGCAGTTTACTTCTGTGCTGCCAGATACCACAGTGCAGCATATCTCTGCACCCTAATACAAAAACCTCATTGTTTAAGCTCTGAGTTTCTTTTTTTTTTTTTTTTACTTCAGTTGAATCCCCTTGCAGCTGCATTCTCACCTTAAATCACAGATTGAAATAGGAGGTTCTTACACCCGAACAGTGGCCCAGGCCCTTCAGCACTGCACAAACACCAAACATTGCCAACTATTTTTTGGTCTGTTTTCTGGCGGAAACGTCTGAGGACGCTTGAAATTAGACAAAACTAACTTACAAGGAGCTTTTCGGCAAGATTTAGGAGCATCATTTTTCCTCAATGATTCCTTAATATTGATAAAACGTGGCCGATTATTTCACTCATAAGGCATTTTTTCTTCATAAGTGAAAAATATCTGCCAATGCAGCTAGTCATTTTTCATCAATATTAAGAAATGACTGACTTAAAAGAAAGCTCTTAAATCTTAATGAAAAGTTCCAAAGTCAGATATTTGTACTGGAAACCAGACCAAAAACACTTGGTGTGGTTTTGTGTTGTTGTAATGCACAATTTTTTATAAATAGCAGAACTATGGAAATGGCCGTTGTTGATGCTTCTCTCACATAAGCTTCTATTGTCGTGGTTAGAAGATAAAAGAGGGTGTTTCAATAATCCGGTGACCGTCGAAGGAAAACTCAAAGTTTTCACATAACCGTGATATATGAAAGTCAAATTTCACTCTACGCAGATGATATTCTGTTTTTTTTTTTTTTTTTCAACTCTTCAAAAACCTAATGGCACTTTCTAAAGGCCACGTATTTTGGTCATTGCCAGTATGTGACAGCAACCAAACACGCAAGGGTCTTGTATTTCCACTAGATGGTGCTGGAACTCTAGAGATCTTTCTACTTAAACTGAGATGTAAGTTCTCTGGGAAAACCTGAAACACACTCCGTGCTACTAAAGCCATGAAAGACTGACACAGAACATTCAATGTGACTGAAGATGTGATTAAAGAAAAACAAAGAATGGCTTAGTGATGTTATTTTAGGCATACAGCTTGAAAATACTGCAGCGTACAATTGGGCAACTAGCCGTTCAACAATAGCAAACCTACTTTTCTTCATTCAAAGGTCAAATTTTGTTGTCGTCATCTTACAAGTACGATTTCATTAAGCTCCACCCACATCTTGTTTTAATGCCATCTGTCATTCTTCAGGTTTGACTGCAAACTTCACTGAGTTATCTTAGCCACTGACAGGTTCAATATCTTCATAACAGCATCAGCCAGATCTGAAGTGTACTGTTAAATCTTTATCTTTCTTAAACCCTTCAGAGTAACTCTTTTTAAGAGGCGGTCGACATGATTTATTTGCTGTTTAGTTTGTGTGTCACAGGTAAAAAAAACTTTAATTTAGACTTTCTTTCTCTGTTATTCATTTAAACATTTGCACCATGTGTCCAGGTGTTGCTCTGGGTCTTGAGGTCCGTCAGTCCGACTCCGACCTCATCACAAATCCCGGAGGCAACGTCCAGGTTTTCTGCAGCCATGACAAAACCGACTTCAGAACGATGCTGTGGTATCAAAGGCGACCTGGAAAAACCTCTTTGAATCTCATCGGATATTTGTACTACCAAGCTGCCACAATGGAGGACTTATTCAGCAAGAACTTCAGCCTCCAAGGGGATCTGGGAGGAAGTGGTGCAAAGAACGGCTCTCTGCTCATCCAGAAAGTGGAAAGAGAGCACAGTGCAGTTTACTACTGCGCTGCCAGCAAAGCACAGTGACAGAAATTTCTTCTGGTCTCTACAAAAACCCAGACATTACCCCCCCTCTCCACCCCTCACCAAAACGCTGTGGTTTTCCAAGAAGCCACCAATGCACCTGCATCCATCGGCTCTTATCTGCCTTGTCACTCCTTCTCTGTCATTAATTCACATTTATTCTGTGGCATCGGACGCTCAGTCAGAACTATATGCTGAACCAGTTTGGTGTGGCAGATGACTTAAGAGGAGGAGGATCAACTTTGACGCCACCTTCTAATGACGACTAAAACCAGGACGCAGCCAGATCAATACAGTTGAACTCAAGAAACTCTCACTCTGCACATAATCCCTAAATTCAACCAAATGTTTATAGGAGAAAACATGCTGATCTATTTAATTTGCTTCAGCTTAATCACTTCCCCAGTTTCAGGTAATTTCAACTTTTTCAATATGGTTTCCAGCTTTTTTTTTCTGTTCTGACATTTTCTGATCTCACAGTTGTTAATGAAGCTTCATCGTGAACTGCCTCCGACAGGTTCTCCTCAAAGTGACAAAGTCCAACAGCATCCAGCGGACATTTATGCATCGCCTCCAGACAAGGAAGTCAAAGTTTATTGCTCACACGAGCAAAGCTTTGACAGAATCCTCTGGTACAAGCAATCAGGGAGAGACCTGCGGTTCCTGGGATACTTACTTGGAGGCAGCGGAACTCCAGAGAAAGATGTGAACGTGGCGATTGATGGAGGAGCAAATAAAGGAGAAACCTGCACACTAACTATTAAGAATCTGAACCCGAACAGCAGTGCAGTTTACTTCTGTGCTGCTAGATACCACAGTGCCACATATCTCTGCTCCTCAATACAAGAACCTCCTCATTTCACAGTTGTGTGTATCTGTGTACGTGTGTGTTTTCTTTCTTTGTTTTACTTCAGTTGCATTTATTTGCTTCTACATTCTCACCAATCAATCATTGAAATCGCTTCTTACTGCAAAGCAATGACCTCAACTTCACTGTCTTTTGTAAACAGCAGCAAGTTGAAACATTAACGTTCAAAATTGCCTCTGTGTGACACATCTGTTATATACAGTACAGATGGTCTTGTTACAATAAACAACACAATATGATTTTTTATAAATAATCCAGTAGGCTAATCATCAGAAAATAAAAACAAACAACTCCCACATACATAAATAATTTAAAGCAGTATTTCACTCTACGCAGACGATATTGTGCTTTGTCTGAATTCTGTGAAAACCTAACGCTACTTTCTAAAATAATTCAACACTTGATTACGTTAAACTCCAGGTCTTCTTGTTCAGGTCATGGCCAGGATTTGACTCAGGAACCTGAGATTTGATGGGGTTTTGTAAAACAGACTGCAGCGACGAAGAGCAGTCACACCAGAGATAACGGTAAAACTCAAAACAAAGACAAACAAATTTAAAAAAAAAGAAAATGGTTCCTTTTTCACTTTCCAGTAGATGGCACTGTTGCTCCATCTAATGGAGCACCAGCTTAATCTGCTTCCTAATCACATTGAGACTATTTGCGTTAGAGAAGCAAAGAACAAAAAAGAAAACATTTTGAAATTATTCAAATAATAATCATATTCATTAGCTGGCATCATGCTGTCAGTCATAACCTTCCACTGAACTAGTTCTGAGGAAAGTTAGAGACATCTAACTATGAATTATTACAATTCTATAATAATTTATAGTTATTATAAAGCAATTATTGTTCATTGCTTTTCACGCAAGGCTCTAGACCCAATGTTTGGGTCAAAACACAACAATTATTTGAATTCCAGATATTATAGAATGATTTCTCATAACATGTTACCAAATAAATATCAAGTTTAGATAAATAAAATATTCTATTGGTGGTGAGGAGTGCCTGAGGTGTCGTCACTTCCTGTTTTTCACTGACTTGAATGTATGTTTAAGCAGCGTCTCATTCTTCTTCGCTGGTTTGAACAAAGAGGAGGCGAAATGAAGGGCTTCTTCAGACGATCCAATCTGATCGTCTTCAAAACGACTTTGGTGATCTTCTTTTTTTTCTTCTTTCTTTTGCCAGGAAGTAATGGTAAGAGGAGAAACACAAACAGACGAGACTCAAAGATGGGAGTAATTTTAAGCTACTTTCTGATTCTCCACAGGCGCCTCTGACTCCAAAGATGTCGACCAAAGCCCTCCTTCCATAATTAAGAGAACTGGTGAATCAGTGGACAAAGAGATCGGATGTTCACACAGCATCCCGAGCTACCAAGTCATTCTGTGGTACAAACAAGACAAGCACAAAGATCTGAAGTTCCTGGGTTATCAGAATCTGGAATATCCCAGCATTGAAGGCGATGTGAAAGGGAAAATCAGTTTTGAAGGAGACGGGCGCAAACAGTCGGACCTCACTGTTTCTAATCTCACAGTGGGCGACAGTGCTGTGTATTTCTGTGCTGCCAGTCAGCACAGTGCAGCAGAAAACCATGAAGTCAGTACAAAAACTCTGCAGAGAGAGAGAGAGAGAGAACACCTGCCTGCATGTCAGACTCACAGCGATACTGACGGGGTCAGATCAACGCTGGCTAATGAAAACTCAAGCTGTGAGCGTAGTTGTATGAGTCGCAGTTGAGATTTTAGTCATTCAGCATCTGCAAATAAAAGTTTTTTTGCTGAGATTATCAGCAATTTCAATTTAATTTAAAAAGAGTTCATATTTCAAACTGAGACAGTCTGTGAAATGCTGATTTGAATTTTTGAAAAACATACATGCAGTAAACACACATACACATTCCTCAGGATGTTTTTTTCTCATCCAAAGTTTATTTATTCACTGCTCCAGAAATGACCAGCAGGGGTCGCCACTTTACTACTTTTGCTGTCATCTGTGCTGAAAGTTGCATCGGCCCTCCCATCTTTACAAACTCTACAATAGAGACTTGTACCGTTTTTTGCTCAGCAGATCATGGATGTGATCATAAAGCAGAAACTGGTGCTACTAGTGAACCTTTGGCTGTGGACCTCAGGTAACTTCCAGCTTTCACATATCTTCCCAGTGAATGCTAAAGTGATCCTGCTGAACCTTTTCTTCTCACATTCAGGTGCGGCTGCTGGCAGTGAGGTCGACCAGCCGGCCATGCTGTGGAGAAACCAGGGTGACAACGCAACAATCAGCTGCAGACACTCTAAGGGTGCTAGCTACTACCAGATGTACTGGTACCGACAGCTGCCTGGGGAAATGATGAAACAAATAGTTTATTCTATTGCGAACTCCAAACCTGACTTTGAGGCCGAATTCAAACTCGGTGAAAAATTCTCAGTGGTCAAGCCTGATGCTGAGAGCGGGACGTTCACCGTGCACAAACTGGTGCCGGGAGACCAAGGCCTGTATTTCTGTGCCATCAGTGAGCACAGTGACGCAAACGAGCTGAAAGGCTGAACAAAAGCTACTGGCACAAGTTTCACCTCGTCTGTCGTATGGGGGAGGATGACAGATACCACAAATAATCAACTCCTGTCTTATTCATCACTTTGAAGTCCATGTGTAGCCGTTGATCCCCTTCCTGCAGGTGGGGAATACTTGTCTGTTGTTTCAAACACAAACGCTGCAGAATATGATTGAACATAACCTCTTGATGCCAGTAATAATCTAAACCAGGGGCTGGCACTGTTATTTTTCCAAAAACTTTTCAATTGTAAGTCCTCAGCCCAGCTAAATAAAAGATATTTGGGGCCACAAGTACTACATGATGTTTTGTAATAAGATTAAATTTTTTTTCAAATCATTTTTGATGAATATCAACTTCAGGAAATTGGTCATTTTTAATAGAACAATACTTTTATTTTTCTATTTTTAGGTCTTAAGAAACTACAGGAGTTTCAAAACCAAAACCTCAATATAGTCCAAGTTAAAGCTGCATTATGAAACGTTTACAAAAATATGTTTTTTCACATATCAGTCAAAACTGTAACCATGTATGAAATGAGACAGATAATCTGTGAAGAGATTCATCTTCACAGTGTAGAAACAACCAATCGGAGCGATGAGGCGGGTCTCAGTGCTGTCAATCAACCTCGCGTTAGCACAATGTGCCAATGGTGGAGAAACATCTTACCGTTCCAGAAAAACACTTGGTGATCGTTTTAAGAAATATATATATAAAAAAGTTATAAAAGTTAAATTTCTTATCTTTGAACCACAGATTTTGAATGATTCATCTGTCATGTTAATTACTACCATCAGGTGGCAGCATTTCCTCAGGCAGACGTTTTCACCGAACCAGTTCTGTAAGGTTCTGGTCGAAACAATGCGGGTCATTACTTAAGAGGAGGAGAATCAGTCATGACTCCGCCCTGTAATGATAACTCAAGGAGGATGCAAACCAAATCATCAAAACCGACGCAATGAAGAAACTGTGAATCACACCTTTAACACTGTTACCGGACAGAATTGAACAAAATGTTCAGAGAACAGATAATGCTCAGCTTCTTTATTTGGTCCAGCTGTATCACTTTCCTGGTTTCAGGTAAGTCAGAGATCATTCGCTTTGTCCAGTTTAAGCTCAGACTTACAGAAACTGATTGAAAGAAACTTCAAATACGAACTCAAATTTCTTTAATTAACCCACTTATGCGGCTGTTAATAAAACCGTGTCTTTTTTCATTCCTCAGGTTCCTCCCTAAGCGACAAAGTCCGACAGTACCCAGCAGAACTCTTCAAATCCTCCGCTGACACGAACGCTGAGATCAGCTGTTCACACAGTATTGACAGCTACAACCGGATCCTCTGGTACAAGCAAACCGACAGAGACCTGCAGCTCCTGGGGTTGATGGTCGTAGGTGCTGAAAGTCTGGAGAAAGGAGTAAAGGCAAAGATTACAGGGAACGCCAACAAAGACAGCGTCTGCACATTGACGATTACAGAACTGAGCTGGAACAGCAGCACAATTTACTTCTGTGCTGCTAGTCTGCACAGTGCTGGATAAGTCTGATTCTCAATGCAAAAACCTCCCGAGTTAGAAATCTTCAAACTCTCTGTAACAGTTCAGATTGTCTTGCACCTGTATTCTCATCAACGATGGCATTTTCTCTGATCTGATCTAGGATTGAAGTGGGAGGGTTTTTTATCGCAGCGTAATGACATTAATATAGAGTTACATTTTGAACATTACTGCTCTATGGAAGCATATTTCATGTTTAAATTAATTCTTAATTGTTGTGGCTATAAGGTTCAAGAGTCAAAACATTTAAATAAAGTCATAATTATTTCGAAATCCACTAATTGGAGCTCAAAATTTCGACCCAGTATTTCACTCTATGCAGACGATACTTCTATTTCTTTAAAACATGCACAAACTTAAATATGTACGCCAACCTGCTGTGTTAAACTCTGGGCTTTCTTCTCAAAGATTATCACTAAGATGCGTCTCAGAAACACAAGTCAGCTGTTGTTATCCGACCCAGTCTGCAGAAATAAAATACAGCCACAGCAGAGTGAGGTCATAACCAAACATGCAGACGAATACAGAACATGTGCGTCATTATTTACACTGCATGATGGGCAGCAGCGTTAGAGGAGGAATGAAAACTGACTGTCAGTTCATCTGTGGTTAACATATGTTACATTCTCTATTTGAGTTTCAATAGATGGCGCTAGAACCATATAAGTGCTCATCAGCGACATGAAAGGAAATCTGCCTGTGCTCCCTCCCATTGAAGCTTCATTCAAACGCCGCCGCATTCCTCTTCACTGCTGCTGAACAGACAGAAGCTGAAATGAGAGTTGCCTCTTTAAATAGGATTTTTATGATCTGCTTACTTGTTTTCTTTCTATTTCCAGAAAATAACGGTAATGGGACGAATACATGCATTAGAAAAGATACAAAGATGAACATTTATTCCATTTTTAATTGTTTTCTGCTTCTCCACAGGCGCCTCTGACTCCAAAGATGTCGACCAAAGCCCTCCTTCCATAATTAAGAGAACTGGTGAATCAGTGGACAAAGAAATCAGATGTTCACACAGCATCCCAAGCTTCCAAGTCATTCTGTGGTACAAACAAGACAAGCACAAAGCTCTGAAGTTCCTGGGTTATCAGAATAATGTCTTTGCTAATCTTGAGGAAGATGTGAAAGGGAAAATCAACTTTGAAGGAGACGGACGCAAACAGTCGGACCTCACTGTTTCTAATCTCACAGCGGGAGACAGTGCTGTGTATTTCTGTGCTGCCAGTCAGCACAGTGTGGCAGAAGACCATGAAGTCAGTACAAAAACTCTGCAGAGAGAGAGAGAGAGAACACCTGCTTCCATGTCAGACTCACAGCGATACTGACCGGGTCGGATCAACGTTGACCAAGCGAAAAGCAAAAACCTTTTTTTTACATTTTTAGCTTGAATCTGTTGTTTCTTTCATTTTCATTGGATGAGGGTTTTTTCCCTCTGCCATTGTTGTGCTGGCAGCTTGGCACAATTCTGAAAGTAAATGGAAGTGAAAACAAAAGTGAAACAAAACCAACTGTTCATTTATAGTGACGGTGCAGCTTAATATTAACATTGGATCGATCAGAATATGTTTAATTTCTGAAGACATAAAATCTAGCTTATGTCTATAAAGTGTTGGAACAAGTCAAAATATGTTTCCCAAAACACCGAAAGTTACATTCCTTACGTCCTACAGTGGATTTGTTTGAGTGTCATTAACACATGTTAAACCATTTACTGGATCAAAAAGTCCTTAATTATTCAAAATATATCACGGACCTAATTATAATTAGCCTCAGTGCTGTAATATCAAGGAACTGAAGAACTGAAAAATTACTTAAAATACCTTCAGTTTAAATAAATAATTGTTGATGTTTGGTGTTTTACATGATGACACTTTGACCTTCCAACGGATAATATCTTAATTATTTAGTTGAAGGAGCTAAACTCCCAATTTCAGATCTTTAACCATATTGCAACTACAGTGCCATATTTGCACCAGTGAGAAACAAATACACACAGTAATAAAGTATTTCTGAATTGAACTGAGTTTTATTGATTTAGATTTAATTGAATTAAATCCTCTTCTTAAGTGCAATCATTTGCTTTTGAGCTGGGAGTGAAACCTAAGATTATTAACCACTAGGGGGAGACAAATCATGCAAATTGGAAAATTGAAAACTTGTTCACTCCCAGAAATGAGATGTTCACGAAACACTTTGGTCTGTAGATCAGTTTCCATTTGTGACACCAACACTGTAACTGGAGATGACAACTCGTCCACAGCAGAGCTAAGCAACCCTCGCCTCGACATGTTGAGCTCCATCATCCTGGCCTGGGTTTTGTTCCAGCTCCAGCTCCCAGTTAATGATGGTGAGGATTCAAAAAAAAGCAGACAACAAATAATTATTGCTTGAAGTTGTAACTTTCATGTTCCTTGTCCTGTTTCTCCCCACAGGAGCTCCCAGCGCTTACGAGGTCCTCCAGTCGCCTCGTTTTGCCGCTCCAAACCCCGGAGGATCCGTCACGATCCACTGTTCGCACAATGTGTCCATTTTCGAGCGCGTCCTTTGGTACAAACAAGAAAAGGACAGCGCTCTGAGGTACCTGGGATACATGAACAGGAACTTCCCTTACCCAGAGGGCGAAGTGAAGGACAAGATGACCTTTGGAGGAGACGGCAGTAAACACGCGACCCTGAATGTTTCGAGTGTTTCGGAAAACGACAGCGCGATATATTTCTGCGCTGCCAGTCGACACAGTACAGCAGAATCCCTGTCAGTCAGCACAAAAACTCTGCATAGAGATAGAGATCTGAACACCTGCAGCCAACCTCCATGTATGACACACATTGTGACAGAACACTTATTATCTATTTCATTTACTCATTAAACTTGCATATGTATACTTGTCTCCTATTATTCTAAGCACAAAAATATTTATTTTTTTTTATTTTAACATTAAAAAACAGCTCATGTTTAACATCCATGTTTCTTTTAACTTAACCTACATCCATGGATAGTACCAATAATGGCCTGCAGGGGGAGCAAGATGATCACTTTTTGCCATCTCTACTCTCCTGTTTATTTTCACTATGGACTTCATCACCAAACAGAAATTCATCATATTCATTTCCTCCTGGTAATTTTTAAATTTTTCTGAATTAAAAATAATTAAACAAACTGCCAAATTTTCAGTTTCTCGTTTATTTATTTTAAAAAAGTATATATATATATATATATATCCCAATCAGAAATAAATCTGGTACCAAATCATTTTATTATTTATATTTATGACCCATAAGGTGCAGTATGTCTTCATCCAGAATGTTACACTGAACCAGCTCTGTGAAGTTAAGAGGAGGAGGACCTGCTTTGGCTCCACCTTGTAATGATGACTTGAACAAGAATGCAGCCAAGACATCTCACCTCCTGACGCAACATAGAAAAACCGACTTCTTTAAGTGATTTAGTTCTCCGAGTCTGAATCCTTAATTTTCCAAATGTCTACTGGACAGGAAATGCTTGTTGTTTTCATTTGCTTCAGCTGGAGCCTGTGCCTGGTTTCAGGTTGTGCATTTAAGCTTTTCAGCTGTTGTGGCTGAGTTTAAACTGAAAAACTTTTTTCAGTTTTTCATTTTAGAAACGTGGCATTTATGGCACTGTTTTCCTTCCACAGGATCTTCGCAAAGCAGCAAAGTCCAACAGCGTCCAGCGGATATTTACAAATATCCTAACGAGACTAAAGCTGAAATTCATTGTTCACACTTTGACAACACCTTCACCAGAATCCTCTGGTACAAGCAATCGGCCAGGAAAGGCCTACAGTTCCTGGGTTACCTGTACGGAGGCACAGGGTCTCCGGAGAAAGACGTGAACGTGACGATAACTGGGAAAGCAACTCAAGGGGAAACCTGCACGTTAACAGTGGAAGGACTCGACCAGAACAGCAGTGCAGTTTACTTCTGCGCCGCCAGTCTCACAGTGATTCGTATCTCAGCTTCTCAGTACAAAAACGTCCTGATGTTACAGCTTCGTTTGCTTCAACATTGCGTTCCGGCTCACGTCTCCAAACACCTGCGTCGGTGTTTTCTCTGATTTAATCAGGGATGTGAGGTTCTTACTGCAGAGCAATGAGCTTTAACCCTTCACCTTATTACTTAAAAAAAAAAAAAACCTTTCAACTGATTTTAAAATATCACACTGCTATGACAGCTTACATATTTATCACATTTACAGTTTCATCTACGGTCTATAACATACAAGAACTTCTTAGTGGTTTTACAGCAATCGGGCACTTTTTATAAAATTCAAGAGCTTTTATTGCATGTTTCCACTGGTATTTTGATGATTAATCTGGCGATTAATCTTCAGGCTGAAAGGCATCACTGATCTTCACGTTACATTAATTCTTTACATGGTGTGTCATCCTCTAACATGTTGATAAAATTCAAAGATTGCATTAAATCTCAATGATTTTTAATAATTTTCAGCTGAGCTGGAGAAGGTGGGCGACACACTTTCTCATCCTAGGTTTGAGCAACTTTTCTAATAATAATAATAATTTTCAGAAACTCACAAAAAACAAAATTCTAATTTAAAGCTCAAACCGGATTGTTAATTTAATCCAAACATGTTGTAGAAGAGTTCATGGGAAAACATCTTATCCTTTTATGCATCTTCTCAGTAAAAATCAATGTTAAACCACAGCTTGGGATTTGATTCAACAACATGCTGTTTCATTTCTCACCATGAGGTGGCAGTATCTTCACAGTGTGTGGTGATAACTCACAAGCAGAAAAATGCATTAAGGCCCCGCCCACTCAAAGAAGAATAGACATTGCAGAAATACGATGTGAGTATTCAGTAGGTGTTCATCGTAGGCAACAGGACATCCTTAAAGTGAGCCATGAAATACCACATGATAATTACAAGCTTTTGTTTAACATTTATGTTCACAAGAGTTTCAGGTACAGAAAAAAGTCGAGTTTTAACTCTGTTATAATGACAACTATTGAAGTTAAAGTCGTGCTTTTGCTGCTTCCTCTGTAGGCGCTTCACTCAGTGACGAAGTTCATCAGACTCCATCTGACTTGTACAAAAAACTGGAGCAAACAGCACAAATCGATTGCTCGCACAACATCAGCAACTACGATCGGATCTTGTGGTACAAACGGACGGCGGACAGGCAGATGGGGTTCCTAGGATACATGTTAGCAAACATCGGCTATCCGGAGGAAGGAGCGAAGGTAAAGATCGACGGGAACGCCAACAAGGGCCAGACCTGCAGGCTGACGATAGACGGGCTCAACGTGAACAGCAGTGCAGTTTACTTCTGCGCTGCCAGTTACCACAGTGCAACATGCAAAAAGCCCTCAGGGCAAAAACCTCTAGCTTTTGTTTCCCCGTCTCTCAGGTCCATGCACCTGTCTTCTCTAACCAGTTTATCAAGCTTTGGATCTTTTTGTTGATGTACATGAGGGAGGTGAAAACATGCTGTGGTTTGAATCTTTGGTAGAGGAGGAGCCTCGTAGTCACCACCCACATGTTGGCGTCTACATGTGGCTGATGATTAAGGTGGAAATAGGTCCAAAGGGACGTTCAGGGACTCTTTTTCAGTCATCAAGGAACAAAATGATCACAATTCTCTTTTATATTACTTTGAGCGCAGCAGCATCAGGTAAATAAACAATTTTCCAAACCAAAAAACATTCCTAAACCATGATTTGTTTGTACTTCGATTTAATTTGCCGAGACCTTTCCTTCAGGTCAACTTCATGAGAAAGTCCACCAGAATCCGCCTGACATTCACAAGCGTCCCAGAGAATCGGCCAAAATCCGCTGCTTGCACAAAATTGACAACTACGATGAAATTTATTGGTACAAGCAAACAACCGACGGTGGACAGCTGCAGTTCCTTGGACGGGTGGAGAACAGCTTCAGGTACCCGGAGGTCGGCATGAATGTGACTTTGGAGGGAAGTGCGGATAAAGGCCAGACCTGCACCTTAACACTCGAAGGACTCACCTCGAGGAGCAGCGCGGTTTATTTCTGCGCTGCTCGCTACCACAGTGCTGAAAGTTATTGTTCCTCAAGGCAAAAACCTCAGTTTCTTCCTTGTATTATTTATATCCAGTCAGCAGGTGGCAGCATTTCTCCAGATCCAGTTGTCTGAGGTGTCGGTGACATTGTGGGGAGTATCTCATAAAGAGGCTGACCTGCTAACTGATGAGGGTATATATTGTGTTTGGTATTGTTGGAGTGAATCCTTATAGATGTGACGCAAGTGAATTATATCAGTAGCATTGCATGTTTTATTAACCAAATGTTTTGGGATCAAGAAATGTTCCTCATCCTTTTCATTTGCTTTAGTTGGAAACCTTTGCTGGTTTCAGGTAACGTCTTTCAACTCTTCCATTTGCTTGCTTGTGTTTACGATGATATTAATGACAACAATGTTGATTTTTTTTGGTCATAGGTTCCTCTGACAAAGTCCAACAATCTCCACCAGATATCTACAAATCTTCTGAAAAGGAAGCCAAAATTGAGTGTTCCCACAGTATTGACAACTACAACCGAATCCTCTGGTACAAGCAGACGAGCAGAGACATGCAGCTTCTGGGGTACAGGTTCGCAGGCTCTTCCACTCTAGAGGAAGGAGCAACAGTAGAAATTGGAGGGGGAGCAAATACAGGGGAAACCTGCACATTAACGATTAAAGCACACAAAGAGAACAACAGTGGAGTTTACTTCTGTGCTGCTAGTTTCCACAGTGGTGCAAAACTCTGATCCTCAGTTCAAAAACCTCCTGATCTCTAAATGTTTTTTCCCCAAATCTGTAGTACATTTCACATCCCTCCTTTGCACCTGCGTTTTCACCAGTATTGGTTTCTCCTCTGATTTAATCAGGAACTGGGTAGCCCCCCTTCCTTCTTAAATAGCGGCACACTCAGACATTATGATGAACATGGAAGAATATCACCCTGTGATGAGATGAATATTTCTCATATTTACAGGTTGCTGTAAATTCAAAGTACGAGAAGCAACTATGACTAAATTTTAGTACACTAACAGGGATTAGCACTTAAATGCTGAGTGTTTCACCATATGCAGATGATATTGTGTTTTTTTTTTTTTTTTCAATTACATATGCCTAAAAGTAGAAAGTAATGCAACAACAGAAATTACTGTACTGGCACAAGGCGTTCAGGAAAAGAATATGACCCTGTGAACACATTTGTTGACCAAATGTGTTCACAGCATTTGGTGAACAAACAGACGAGAGACATTTCAGACCAATCAAGTTAAACAAGATCTAACAACTCCCTGACAAATCATCTGTTGGAAGCTAGTAAGTAATCTTAAACAAAGGTTTTATTTGAAACTATAAGATTACTATGAAATGGCAAGGTTGGAAAAGTGGAAGAAGAAAATGATACCATTTTGTACCAAGAGGTCCATTCACTTTTCTGAAAGAACACAAAACTATCTTACAAATATCTAGTGAAATGTTTAGATGTACAACGTTCCGACTTTCTTGTTAAAGAGATGGGAAACAAATACTAAAACATGTCCGAAAAAGGAATTGGGATAAAAACATTAAAGAGGTTTATTGTTGTTTTTGTTTTTTAGAAACTAACAAAAAATAAATACATTTTTGATTTAGTGTTTTCACCATGTTGCTAGTTTATTCCAGCAGGTTACAAAGACATTCATGGAAAAAACAGATTTTTGACTCAAATTTCAAAGGATAGTTTAGAATTTAATTAAATTCTTTTCATTCAATTTCATGAGGTGGCAGAATCTATCCTTAATAGTGATAATTTACAAAAAGCACTTTGAATTTAAACCCCACCCACTCAAAGATCGTTATTGTGATGGATGGCACAGAAACATGTAAAAAATCATTAGAATCATGTGAAGTTTAAATTTATTCGTTAAGCAACACATGGCAATCACAGGCTTTTGTTTGTTTTAGTTTATCTTACAGTTCCTATCTGTTTTCACCTGCATTCACACCAATATTTGTTCCCTCCTCTGATTTAAGCAAGGTTCAGAATGGGAGGTTCTTACTGCAGACTGGTTTTAACCCTCCTACCTTCTGCCTTAAATAACTGCAGGCTTAAACATGAGGATGGTCATTAAACACCACCATGTTGGGTTGCATACTTCTCACATTTATACATGTGTTGTTTTGGCAACGAGGTACAAAAGCTCAGCACCAAAAGATATTTTTAATAACCCACGACGCTCAAATTTCAGAGTGTAATCTATGCAGATGATATTGTAGTTCATCCAAAATTTATATTGTACTTTTATATTTCTTTTCACAGATCATTGCCAGGATGTGACTCAACTACCTAAAATCATCTGGAAGTCTGTGGCCGAGTCCGCAGAGATGAACTGCAGCCACACCAGAGACAAAGGTCATAACCAGATGTACTGGTACCGACAGCGACCAGGGGAGACCATGACCCTCGTTGTGTACACAGTGTACGGTGGGAAGGCAGACTATGGAGAGAACCTGCAGAGCAAATACTCTGCAGTCAAAGACACCATAGAGACTGGAGCTCTGACTGTGAAGGACCTGCAGCCTGAAGACAGCGGCGTTTATTTCTGTGCTGTCAGCAAACACAGTGATGTGAGGAAACACAACAGCTGAACAAAAACCTGCAGCCGGTTCATTCAGTTGGAAGCCTCAGGAATTTACTTGTTTTATTCTTTCCAGTAGATGGCACTGGAGATCCATGAAAGCTTTTCAGGTTGAGCTATAACAGCTTGGCAAATGTTGGGCGTGATCATAAAACAGACCAGAACGCTGTTGGACACATTTTTCCGTTCAGAGGGAGAGAGAGAGCATCTCATCATGCAGATGGTTCTCCTATTGTTTTCGCTCATGGGTAAACAACTTCTTTATTTATTAGTTTTCATGAACCCTAATTTATATCTCCCATACACTTAGAAGAGAGATGGATTTTTTATTTATTTATTTTTAAATGAAAAGACAGGGTGAATAGTAAAAAAAATTGCACTTCAGTTAGAGGGATACTAATTGAAGAAAAATTGTTGTGAGGAGTTAAAACTGTTTCTCACTTTTAAACTGGAAATAAAAAAAGTATGAAAAACTTGACAAAAAAACACAATAATGTTTTTATTATTTCTTCTTTTATGAGTGTGTCAACCAACTTAGTGGGAACTCCATATGTCCTTGAAAAAATGCACAAGAAAGATTTTGGTGCTTTGATTAAGACAGTGATTTATGAATAGCAATGTGAAAAGAGACATAATAAACTTGTGCTTACTTCTTTTTTCTGCCCCAGAAACATTGTTCATTTCTGTACTAGTTTTGTCTTGTTTTTCTTCAGGATTGTGTGTATTGTTTATTTTTTTTGACTTGCATGAAAAAGTTTTAAGATGACCAATTATTGGAATGAATTATTGATTATTGAACTGAATTTCCTTTCAACATTCAAGGCGTTTGTCAGAGCGTTGAGGTCCATCAAACTCCCCCGGCAGCTCTCAGAAACCCGGGTCAGAAGTTCCAGATGGTCTGCAGCCATGGAAAGACCGACTACACGCTCATGCAGTGGTACCAGAAACTCCCCGGAGACGAAGCGCTGAGGCGCATTGGACACTTGAACTACGGCAACAAAGAACTTGAAAAACCCTTTGAGGGACATTTTAGCTTTACTGGAGACTTGACTGGAGACACGGAGAAGAACGGCTCTCTGATAATCACGGACCTGAAGCCTGAACACACTGCGGTGTATTACTGTGCAGCCAGCTATGCACAATGACAGCAGGGCCAGTGATCCTCATACAAAAACTGCTGATTTCTGCCTGAATAAGCCCCGCCCACTTCTTGATTTACTTCACTTGAGCGTCGGAGTCAGAGTCGCAGTCTGATAGTATTTGTTACACTTTTAAGACTTAACGTCACCCATCGGGTTTTAACATGATTCACTTTCTCCTCTTTTGTTCCATAACAGGTATTTCTAATCGACAAGCTTCCAACGAATCGTGTCGAGACGATTAATCGATCTTTGTGGTCTTCCAGGTGCTGCTTTCGGTCTCGAGGTCCGTCAGTCCCGCTCCGATATCATCGTGAAACCCGGAGGAAAAGTTCACATCTTCTGCACCCACGAGAAAACGGACTTCTGGGTGATGCTCTGGTACCAGCAGCCGCCTGCGGACACGGCCTTGAAACTAATCGGACACGTGTACACGAGCAGCATCAAGATGGAGGAGGAAGACGATCGAAACGTCCAAATCGTGGGAGACCTGAGCGGCAACACAGCGAAGAACTCCTCTCTGGTGATCGACGTCGTGGATCCAAAACACGCAGCTGTTTATTACTGCGCAGCGCGAGAAGCACACTGATGAAGAATCCTGTCTGTGCTTTACAAAAACTGCTCTATCGCCGTCATCAGTGGTTTGGCAGAAGAATGTGGAAAAAGAAAAAATAAAATCTACAGCTCTTAAGCACCTGCTTCTCTCTGTTTTGAATTGAGCGACTTCATGCTAAAAAGTGACATTGTCCTATTAAGAAACAAAAAAGTGACATATAAATAAGTTTGACTTAAAGGCCTCATCTATTCATGAGAGATGTTCTGTTTATACACTAAGTTTGTCTTTTGGTCATTTTCAAATCTGAATTCATTCATTTATTTATTTATTTATTTTTGGTAATCAAATTATCCAGTGTCATCTGTCATGTTTGAAGAAAACGTAACGGTTCTCCTTAAACATTTTTTTATTAAAAAAATACATAAAAAAATATTAAAATATATTAGTTTGGTGTTCACTCACAGCTCTGAAAAAAAAAACAGAAATAGAAGAAAAAACAAAACAAAACGAAGAGCCCACTTCACTGAAGCCCATTGAAAACCTCCTGGCTGTTCCACCAAATGTTGGTTCCTGAACTAAACATCAGTATAGTTGTTTCTAAGTGAACATGAACTTGTCTTCTTTGCATTAGTTGAGATCTGAAAACACTGCCACTTTTATGTTACTTTGTCCATTTCTCATTTTCTGCATATCAAAACTCAATTTCAGAGACACGTTGTCAGCATGTCATAGAATAAAAGAGCAACATTCACTTCACTCAAACAGAAACCTATGAAACCAGAGAAGCTGGTCATTTTAAGTCATCTCCTAATTTTTTTTCCGGAGCTGCACATGAAGTCACTCCACCCATGCGGTGACGTCACAGCGATGAAGAAACTGTGACCGTTTCAGAACCGTTTCTTCTGAGAGTCAGTTCACTGATGCATGTAAAGCAAACTCCCCTCATCTCATCGAAAAATGATTTTACTTCTTTTTTTGCCATTTCCTGACAGGTACCAGCTACTTTATTCTGGAAAAACATACAATGTTCCTGCACTTTTTAGCTCGCTAATCTTTAAAAAAACAATAATAAATGAAAACTTTCACTGCAACAGGTTTGTCTCTGGAAGTTCAGGTCCATCAGTTTCCTCCTGCTCTCCTGGCAAGAGGACAAAGCGTGCAGCTGCTCTGCAGCCACGAACACGGCGACCTCCGGGTGATGCTGTGGTACCGACAGCGGCCCGGCGAAGCCGCCCTGGAGCTCGTGGGCTACGGATACACGGAGTTTAAAGACGACGGCGTCGAGGAGGCTTTCAGGAAGAAGGGCTACCGCTTGGCCGGGGATCTGAGCGGAGACAAAGCCAAAAACGGCTCGCTCTTCGTCGGGAGCCTGAACGCGACCGAACATGACGCCACATATTTCTGCGCCGCCAGTAAAGCCACAGTGCGTCAAACATCCACCTGCACCTGACAAAAACCTCTGCAACTCTGCCCTCACTTCAGCAGTGGCGCAAAAAGAGCTTGGGATGCAATATAAGGGGCGCTGCAGTAGAGGGGGCGCCAAAACCATGTGACCAAGTCAGCATTTTATGTAGCCTACTTCAGACCTGTTTGTGTATGATTTCTGATCAAAGCATAATTCATGCGTTCAAATGGCCCAGTAAACGTCTACACCTCAAGCCCCAAATGATAAATAATATGAATGCAACATGGCTGAGCCTGAAGTCCTCGGAACACAAATGTGGGGGGAAAAAGTCTAAGCGGGGTGAATACTTTTTCAGTTTTACACAGCGACGTCACTTCCTGCTCACGAAGCCCTGCAGAGATCAGGGGAGGGGGCGTTCATTTCCAACATGAGGCTTCATCATCTCACAGTGTGCATTGTCGCTCTCTCCTGGTTTGAAGGTATCCCCAAAATGTTCACTTCATTTTAGCAAAAAAAAACCCCAAAACAACAACAACAAAAACACTAAACAACAATAACAAACAAATGGACCACATAATTAATTTTTAAACAATTTATTTCATTTATTTTTTTCCCCTTCTTTGCAGGAGTCTACCCGAGTGAAGAGAAACCTGTGTTTCAATCTCCACCTGATCTCCTTCTGCAGCTGCGCGACGCGGCCAAGCTGACGCTGACGCACAAGATCCAGAGCTACGACACGATCCTCTGGTACCGGCGCTCAGCGGGAGACGCTTCCCTGACGCTGATAGGCTACATGTCTTATCAAAATCCAAACATCGAGGGCGGATTTGTCGGCCGCTTCGAAGTGAGCGGAGACGGCGAGAACACGGCTCACCTCCACATCCTGAACCTGACCGACGCAGAGTACAGCGGGGAATATTTTGGCGCGGCGAGTATGCACGGTGGGGAAGACGGCGGCGCTCCCTTACAAAAACCCCCTCAGGAGCAGCAGGAAACCAATAAAACCACATGATGCTGCAGGGTGCCTGGGGGACAACGCCGGCGCAATACAAATGCAAACAGGTGTATTAGAAATATACTAATAAAGATAAATAATAAAAAAAAAAAACAGCAGCAACATATTTTTAACATATTTTGGTGCAAACTTAAATATATTCTAAGTGAGAAAAGAAATCTGCAAATACTTCCGAATAATCGCGTCTTATTTAGGACATTATGATTAAACAATGTGTTAAAAAACCATTTTGAAAACTTTTCAATGGATAATTATCAAATTGAACAGAACGACGTGAAGGCTGATCAAGTAGCAATGTTTTTATTTCTACTTGTTCAGCTATTATTTCTTAATCTTTTTAAGATTTTCTCCCATTTGATAAGACAAAAATAATCACACCAAGCTTTGTGTTTTTCCAAAAGTCGAGATTACCTCAGACATTTCTGTCTGTCGGTGTTGCCGTTAAGCGTGGCGGCTGCTTTAAAGCACGTGTCGCTTTAAATGCGTGAATCCAAACCCTGACCAGCAGGGGGCGGAAACAACAAGGACGTGTGGATCTCTGTAAGCTCCTCCTCTTCCTTTAAAACGTACAATAAAAGGTTTCCCCCCTTTTTTTGCGCCTTCACAACATCCCTGTGTGTTTGTGTTTCAAGTCAAATTTGAGATAATAATAATAAACAAATAAAAACAACTCGAAAATGTCAATCACTTTCCTGATGAGTCTGTTTTTGTTTGCAGGTGAGGAAGAAGGCGAGTTAAAAGTTTTCTGAGAGATATTTATGCAGCTTTCACTCTTATTTATTTATGTTTTAAATTTATTCATTCATCACAGCGTCACAGCCCATAATCCAGCAGTCGCCTGCCTCCATCCTGGTGGAGCCGGGACAAGCTGCGCGTCTCCGCTGTTACCACGGAGACAACAGCTACCCCTACATGCTGTGGTATCAGTCTGCGGCGGGAGGCGGTGGACAGAGCATGGCCCTGATCGGCCTGCTGCACTATGAGAACCAGAGCCCCGAGAAGGGCTTCGAGAGCCGCTTCAACATGACGGGCCACTCGAAAGGCGAAGCTGAGCTGATCGTCTCCGACGCCAAACTCGGAGACTCAGCGGAGTATTTCTGCGCAGCCAGTCAACACAGTGCTCCGTTTCCCCGGGGCTGCCGCACAAAAAGCACTCGAGGTCACACCTGCATGGACTGAGAGACAAACGTCTGGTAGGAGGCGCGCCGCCGTCACGAAACGTGACATAACGTCTGTGGTGAGCGTGGAGGAGTCTGCCATTCATGACGCTTGTGATGCGAAGTTGCTTTGAAAGCCTCATTAAAAGTCTATTAAAAGTATCAACTTTGCATTGAAAGTGTCATTATTTATTCAAATCTGGGCTTTTAAAAAAAAAATTTTAATGCAACTTCTGAAGCAATAAAATGACACTTCATGACACCAGTCATAAACATTCATATAGACGCCTTGTGTTATATCAGCGTCATGTCACTTTTATGCACATCCCTTCAGATAAAGCATTGCCAAACCTTTTTTTGTTTTTGTTTCCCTCCCTTCTGAAGACGCGAAGGTGTTTAAGAAGTGGGATATTCACAAATCAACTTCTCTCCATCTTTGTTTCGGAAGTGACGTCACTTCCTCCTGATAAATGTCAACCTTTTGGCTCAGTGAAGTTTAAATCATATGTGAAGACAAAATGTCTCCGGGTGACATCGCATGGACATGTTTCATATTTTTTACTGCAGGTATAGTCAGTGTCTCTGATCATAATTAATGATGAGCAAAGCCACCCAGCTTTGTTAATGATGATTTTTTTCTTCTTCTTCTTCTCTTTTCTCTCCCCAGGTGTAAGCGAGTGCGTCCTGATCACTCAGTGGCCCAGAGACATCATCAGCAACTCGAGCGCGCAAATGCACTGCTACCAGAACGACACCGCTTACGAATATCTGTACTGGTACCGGCAGCTCAGAGGAGGACGGATGCAGCTCATTGTGTATTTGCTGGCCGGCAACGCGAACTTTGAGCCAGACTTTGAATCCGGCTTCCAAGCAGAGCGCTCGCAGACCAAGCAGTGGTCTCTGACCGTCTCCAGCGTTCAGCAGGAAGACGAGGCTGTGTATTTGTGCGCCGCCAGCCTCACAGTGCAGCAGCAGACCCGGAGACTGTGACAAAAACACACACAGCTGAGGAGTAAGGAAGAGGAAGAGAAGGAAGAAAAGGAGGAGGAGGAGAAGAAAGAAAAAGAGGAGGCAGAGGAGGAGGAGTAGGAGGAGGAGGAGGAGGAGAGGAGGAGGAGGAGGAGGGGAGGAGGAGGAGGAGGAGGAGGAGGAGGAGGAGGAGGTAAACTTTGAATTCTAAAGAAAATCCACTTTGCACATGTTCAACAAATTTTAATTTCTTGATACTTGATTCGCTTTCCTTTTCCAGTAAAAATCTAGAAACAAAACAGAGACACAGAACATGCTGTTTACCCAATCCATTTCTCCCTGAACCGATTTTGCCTCATTATTGTCACAACAATCAGTTGCAGTCGGTTGACGAAGCTGTCCTGTGCTCATGTCGCCAGCAGGTGGAGCCACAGCACACGACATGCAGCCTCCTCCAATCCGGCGTGTTCACAATTTGACCCAGGTTGAACCTCCGCCTTCACCCGGCGGAGTCTCATCCCTTCACCCTCACTGCTTCACAATGTCTTCACCAACTCAGACCTTCGGTTTCCTCCTCGTCTGGTTCTCATGTAAGAATCCGAACTCGAGTTGACATTTGTTGCAAACGGCCGATCTTGATCGTCTGTGTTTTGTTTTTACAGATCAGGTAAGCGCTGCAAATTTTCGCCAGTCTTCTCCGCTCATAGTGAGTGAGAGCAGCGAGGTGGAAATCACCTGCAGCCATGACGATAGCAGTCTCATACTGATGCTCTGGTATCAGAACAAAAAGGACACAAACTCAATGACCCTCATCGGATACGGATATGAAAACTCCCAAAGCTACGAGGGCGAATTTGAGAAGGAGTACAAGCTGACGAGAAAAAACACGGTTGAAGGAGCCCTGAGGATCCTCAAAGCAGATCCGTCCCACTCGGCTGTGTATTTCTGCGCTGCCAGCACACAGTGATGTGGTTCATTGGGACTGCCTCACTAAAAACCCTGATGAGTTTTCCTCCTGTGCAGGAGGCAGAGTCGTTTCTCGCTTCTAAAAGTCGCGTCTTTTCACAGGTCCTGATGGGAGCGGCGGCAAAAACCTGCAGGATGCCGCAAATAATGATGATCCTATTCCTCCTCATCCTGCCTCAGTGTAGGTTATGATCAATTTCAAATATGAAGACATTTTCTATTTTACTTCTTGTCTTTCCTTTTTAGGTGTACACATTTCTACGGAAGAAGATAAGGGTCACTGGAAAAAATCTGACAAATCTCAAAATTCTTAAATTAAAGTTAGAATTTTGACGTTTTCTCGGAAAAGTTCTGGCTTTTTTCAGTGGCCGTAATCCTCTTCCGTACATTTGCAGTCAGACCTAACAAATCATCCATTTTCCCCCACAGATCAAGCTAAGAACGTGCAATTTCAACCAAGCGACCCCAGAATAGTCAACTTGGCAGATAAAGTGGATTTCCACTGCCGTCACAACGGCAGCGATCTCAATGTTATGCTCTGGTACCAACAGACAGACACTGGTGCTTTGGAGCTGATAGGATATAACTTCGTCGGGAGTGAAGCGGTCTATGAGAAAGCCTTTGAAAGCAGGTTCAAGATGACAAGAAGAGACATGCTGACAGGAGCCTTGAACATCGACAACGCCTCTGCCTCAGACTCCGCCGTGTATTTCTGCGCCGGCAGTACACAGTGATGTGGTTTACTGAAACCTCATGACTAAAAGTCCTACTGGTTTCAAGCTTCAAGTTGGGTTGCCTTTGTCTGATGAGTACCGATTTCTATTGCCATTACATAAGAAACACAGTTAAAATCACACAAGAATAAGTTTGCTCACGGCATGATGCTCAATCTATTACTGCTCCTCTTCGTGGTTTGCGCCAGTGACAACATCCGGTTGTTGATCATGTGATTTGTGAGGCAAATTTTTACTTTTATTTTTTGTGAAATGAACCAATTTCAATTCGGCCAAAAATAATAATGATAATAAAAATTAAAAACCTACCTCATCCCAGCGCCAAAAACTTTTGTCAAAAAATATGTTTTCTCCAAACTCCAAATTGAGCAAACTAATTTTCTACATGCTGCACAGAAAATGACTGAGGGAGGAATTATGTTTTCATATGAAAACATAATTGGCTTGAATAGTTTATAATTCCTTTAGCGAATCAAATTGAACGTTCAAAACTGCACTTATTTACAGAATTTATCTTTGGCTGATGTGAATGATTGTCCGATGGTCTGACAGGAAGCAAAAACAACAGAAATCTGTGTCACATTTCATACATCAATAAATTACAGACCAGTGTGAACTCCAATTGGATTAACAACCGGATTGTTAATCCAATCCCTGGACTAGAAATCCAGGAATTGTTAATGGTGACACTGACTGGCGACATGTGGTCATGTGACCTTCTTCTTCTCTTCTGAACAGAGCGGCTCTACCTCACTCAGCCCAGCGCTCCTCCTCAGACAACATGCTGATCACAGCTTTTTATCTGTCTCTGCTTTTACACTTAAGTGAGTTCAGTGACACAGAGAAGAACGTTCACAATCAGGCTGATGTGTTCGACCTACATTTCACTGTAGCGATTAAAACGAAATATTTCACCTTTTGCAGGTCTCACTGTTGACGTCCTCCAGCCTGCAGACGTCATTTCTGACCAAGGAGACAACGTGGCGCTTGAGTGTAAGCTGGCACAGAGGTCCATGAGTTATCACACCATGTTCTGGTACCACCAGAAGCGTCGCGGAGCTCAGATTGAGTTTATCCTGAAAGAGTTCCAGGAGAAGGTCGGACGCTTCCGGTCGTTTGTCCATCATGACAGCAACAACTTCACTCTTGGCATATCTGGGCTGTTTGTGAATGACACCAGCACCTACTACTGCGCTGCCCATCACAGTGATGCAGACGAACAACAACCTCGTACAAATAGTGGCTCTGGGTCCCAGATGTGTAAGAAAGAGTTGTGGCTGGTTTGGTTAGCAAAGTCTTTATGCTTTAGCTGATGCAGTACGACTTTGTCTTCTGCTCAAACTGGGGCTCCAGTTTTAGGTTAATTTTAATGGAAACTCATTTTAGAAAAAAAAAATCCTTTAAAAAAAAGCATATTAGTCAAAAATTGAATTATGTACTGTTGAGCAAATTGCAGTTTAAGGAATTTGCTCAAACTGGAGTGCCAGATGCCCAAGCCAGTTCAACTGGCTCCTCTCGATGTGGAGAGGAGCCTAACCCTAACCCTAACCCTAACCCTCCACTAGGAGGGTCATCCCCCCCCGAATGACCAAGCCTCTCACCCTACCCCTAAGGGAGAGCCCAGACACCCTACGGAGAAAACCCATTTCTGCCGCTTGTATCCGAGATCTCGTTCTTTCAGTCATGACCCAAAGCTCATGACCATAGATGAGGGTAGGAACGTAGATCGACTGGTAAATCAAGAACTTTGCTTTTTGACTCAGCTCTCTCTTCATCACGATGGACCAGTTCAGCGCCCGCTTCATGGCAGACGCTGCGCCAATCCGCCTGTCGATCTCCCGCTCCCTTCTTTCTCATTCGTGAACAAGATCTCGAGTTACTTGAACACTTGGGGCAGACCTTTCCCCCCGACCCGGAGAAGGCACTCTAACCTTTTCTGGCTCAAGACCATGGCCTAGGATTTTAAATCACTGATCCTCATCCCGGCCGCTTCACACTCAGCTGCAAACCACAACCTGATGTAACCAGTAGGACCACATCATCCGCAAAAAACAAACATGCAATCCTAAAACTACCAAGACGGATCCCCTCAACACCTTGATTCCACCTAGAAATTCAATTTCAATCTTGGAATTTTGATTGAAATTGATTGGATAAATAAATTTTATCTGCTGTGATATCTAGTGATATTGGCAGAAAAATGTTTACAAGTCTATTCAACACTTAATTTAAGCTTAAAATGTGTTCGACAGCAGTTCCCTTGAACTGCTCAGACCTTTCGGACGTGGAGGTGCAGTTGCCTTTCAGGCTCCACTAGGAGACGTTTGCTGCACAGAAAAGACGGAGGGAGTCGATCGAGATATTCTGAGAAACACCAGGAGCTGCAGGATCAGCTGTTCAGCTCTACTGCAGACATGAATTAAAATCCACCATGACGACGACAACAATGATAGTTCTGATAATCTTGTGTACATTTTTCTTTACTCCAATCAAATTTATTGAGTCCTTTAGCATTCACCGTGTGGAAAGCATGCTTTTATGACATTCTTCCTCTTGTTTTGCAGCTTCCTCCATCTGCGTTGAAATCCCTCAGCCGCCTTTTGCAACTTTCTAATACACCACAAAGCTGATCTGCTCTGATTAGGCTGCAGGTGTTTGCAGGGTTGGCCACACAGAAACACTGCGTGCCTCACAGAGTCTCATCAGTTTTCCTTTAAAAGGTTTCAGCTTTGACCCTCTCCAGGCAGATGTTGCAGATTTGCAACAACTAAGTGCTAATTAGTTAGTCTTTGCAAGTAATTTGAGCCTGAGAGGGTTAAATACTATTTCATTTTTGGATTTTCTGTCGATGATATCATGTCAGATGTGATCACACACTGACCTCTAGAGGGTTCATGAGAGATTACACTTAAATGAAGTACTATAACAAAACAAATTGCATCTATCATGCATGTATATATTTTTAATGTGTGCTGTCTTCCCTGTGTAACTTACAGAATGGTGGGTCTGGTTGCCCCAAAATGTCAAGACAGTTTAGCTTTACAGAAAGGGGGGAAACTGACAGTCTGCTGATTGAATTAACAGGACAACCAATCATATTTCTTTCAGGCCACAAAACAAGAACGACATTAGAGAAGACGGACGAGTGTGGAGCGCACCAAATAGCCGCGAGCTATTCACAATGTGAGGATAAGTAATACCAAGTGGTGAGTTTAATTTCACGAGATCCACTCGCACCTGATTACCAGCTAAAAAAAAAATTCAAAACTTGTTCAAAGATTTTTGAGCTTCTGAAGCGCAACAGTCTGGAAAAGGATCACAAATCCATTTCAGAGGCTTTGAGAATGCAGAGAAAGTCAAAGTTATTAAGCACAAACAGTGAAAATATGAAACTTGACGACAAAATGAGCTCAGGCAGGAGGCTACAAAAGAAGACGAGTTATTTAATAGTTATTAAAACAACATTTTACTGTAACTGTGTAACTGCTTGCAGCTGTTGTTGAAACTTTGGAGCCTCTTGGCCAGAACGCCTTTGGAAAAGAAGTTTTTAATCTCAATGGCACTTTCCTGGTTAATACTAATAACTAATGATACACAAATAAAATGGCAGTGTTCATGACAGAGCAATAAAAGAGAAAAAAAGGCCTCGACAGGAGAGTTCCCAGGTCAAACCACTGCTGTCCAAAAAGGACTCATATCTCACATTTAGAAAATAATATTTTGATTTTGAACATCTGGGGAAATGTCCTGTGTTTTGTGTCCTAAAGGAATTATTTATTCTCCATATATACCTGCATGACAAGTTTAATAAATGCGTAAAATATATAAATAGAAAACTCAAACATGGACAAAACAAATGTTTTGTGATTTTTGATCGGGCTGACGGTTTTAGACATGAAGTGGGTTCCCTTCCCACATCCTGCCCGGGGCCCTGGATGACATTGGACCGGCTCTCATCATTTAGCGGCGTCGCGTTTTTATGGTGTGACTATATACACACTGAAAAAAAACATAACAGGTCTCTCTTGTGACCAAGATGACGAGTCTCAAGAAATGTTCCTGTGTAAATAAAGGAAGAACAACAAAATGTCCTTGGAGATTTCAAGAATGAAGCATGAATTAATGACAATATGAACGATCGTTGATATTATTGTAAGGGTAAAGCTGCTCTGTTGACCAGAACCAAACATGGAAAAGCTGCATTTATCTTCAACGAGTCCTCCAATCAGGAACACACGTCTAAAAAACTACAAAAACTACGAAACACTGAGTTCCTTAAAATAAAGGCTAAAAACCACTTGATTCATAATAACTGGAATATTGATCAATGTATTTTATGCATATTTATTTGATAACTTTAATGATGGCATTTGGCAAAATGTATTGTTTATTTCCTTTTTCATAACTGAGGACTGTATTATGTCCTGATGGTGTAAGATCACTTTTCCTCAAATTTCCAGAAGTTAAAATCGTTACACATCTGTCAGTGAACCTGTTCTCTCTCTCTCTGTTGACTGATTGGCTGCAGAGTCGTGACCAGCTGACGTGTCACTTCCTGTTTATACCTCCAAACAAACAAAAGCAGCCAGCAGCTTCCTGTCCTCTGCTCTGCCTTCTTTTCTTAGTCGACCCAGAAATAGCAGCAGGCAGCTTGGAGCGGCTCCAGCGTCAAGTGGGCCCGACCTCCACAGCTGCTCCCACAGAGACTCACAGATGGAGGCTGAGATACAGAGAGGCTGGCTGGGGGGAGGGGAGAGACGGAGGAGGCAGGTTTTTGTGTGATGCTTTTTCACCGTGGGGACAGGGGGCCACGGTGATACAATCCCATAGAGCCGCCGTACAAAAACCTCCTGCCATTAACATCCATCATGTGGACGGCTGAGTGGATCTCAGAGAGCAGCAGCGGGAAGCAGGTGGAGGTGGGCAGGGTGGAGGCTCAGCCAGGCCTTAAGAAACACTTTGATATGTAGAAAGTGAAGCAGAAACAGCTTTTATTAGCAGATGTTTGAGTTTACACATGGAGCCATTGGGTCGTGTGATCCTCAGGGTCAGAAATCACAACTTCTTTAAACCTGATGAAGCTCATCCTGCAGGTTTGACCTTCCTGATGATCTGGGCTTTTACAGCCAGTCTGAAGGAGAAGATTCTGGAAAGTTTGGAGACTTTTTGGTCCAGGAGAGATTCAGTGTGACACTGGAACTGAAGCTTACTTTGGAAAAGGAACCAAGCTCACAGTTTTAGGTAAGTTGGATTCTCACATTTTCAGGTTTAGATCAAATTTAAAGTGAACACAAAGGTCAGGTGGGAATAAAGAAAAAGTCTTACATTTTAAAAGTTCAGATGTATTAACCTGAAGTTGAAGCACTGTGACCAACACTCAACCTGCTTACTTTGGAAAAGGAACCAAACTCACAGTTTTAGGTAAGTTGGATTCTTACATGTTCAGGTTTAGATCTGATTTAAAGTGAACACAAAGGTCAGGTGGGAATAAAGAAAAAGTCTTAGATTTTAAAAGTTCAGACGTATTAACCTGAAGTTGAAGCACTGTGACCAACACTCAACCTGCTTACTTTGGCCAAGGAACCAAACTCACAGTTTTAGGTAAGTTTAACTTCTGACATGTTCATGTTTAGGTCAAATTCAAGCTAAAGTAATTCTTAAATTGAAGTAAAATAAAAATGTGTTGAGATAAAATGTTCTGACATATTGAGTCAAACTCAAAACACTGTGAACTCTGGAAATCCTGCTTACTTTGGCCAAGGAACCAAACTGACAGTTTTAGGTAAATATTTCACTTTATCACAGAGTTTAACAAGTAATACTTTGATTAGGACGTCTGTACAGACCGATGTGTCTTTGTAAAGTTAATTCTGGTAGAAAAACAGGTTCATGTTCAATATCACTGCACTGTGACAATGCTGAAGCTTACTTTGGCCAAGGAACCAAACTCACAGTTTTAGGTAAGTTTAACTTTTCACATGTTCAGTTCATCTGATCAGATTTAAACTAAACTAATTCTTGGATTGGAGTAAAATTTGGTGACATGAAACGTTTTGGCTTATTGAGCTGAAGTCAAATCACTGTGACCTACGGAGATCCTGCTTACTTTGGAAAAGGAACAAAACTCACAGTTTTGGGTAAATATTTTTGCTTCAATACTGAAATCTAACAGATTGCACTCAACCACGGCTTGAGGTTCACGTTGTGTTAGAGTCATTTTCACGTAAATATCACGGTTGAAGAGTTATCTGTCGAGTATTGCTGCACTGTGACAACCTCAACGAAGCTTACTTTGGAAAAGGAACAAAACTCACAGTTTTAGGTGAGTAAAAGATGCATGAAAAGCAACTAAAATCACTGGTTTTATGACAACATTAGCACAGAGAGTCTCGTAGTTCTACCTGAAGTCCAACTCGGCATTTTGACATCAAGCCGAAGCTCTGTGCCAACTTTGAAGCTTATTTCGGACAGGGAACCAAACTGACTGTTCTGGGTGAGTGAAACAAGAAAGCTTCACTTTAGTGGCTCAAAGTACGTCTTGTTTTGTCAGTGTAATGAATATGTTATAAAAGTAAAGCTTTAGAGTTAAAGAAAGAGGAAATAGTGTTTCAGATGAAACACCCTTAAAGTGGAGAAGTGTAGGATAAGCAGCGGCTCAGTTTGTTTTCAGAGTCGATCTGCCACACTGTGACTCTGGTGTTAGCGAAGCTTACTTTGGAAGTGGCACCAAGCTCACGGTTTTAGGTGAGTAGCAGGTTCAAATAACTATGAGTGGGGAAAAATGGGCTATTTTGGAAAGAAAGCAGGCTCTGCTTGTTTTTGTTGGAACGAATCCAACAAAGATTCATTTTATGGCCTTAATTGATGAATAAAAACCCTCTAGCTTGAAATATCTGTACACTGGTTAAAACCAGGATTCACTTTAGATATAAAATGAGTAAATAGCAAAAGAAGAGAAGGTAGAAGCTGAGTGACCAGCCGTTACCAGCAGTGATCTTCATGCTGTGCCACCGGTGGTTATGAAGCCCACTTCGGTGGAGGAACAAAGTTAACGGTTTTAGGTAAGAGAATCTGCAAGTAACAGAGGAGAAACTGCAAAAACAGTCACAGCGGCTCTTTGGCTCGTTTTGAAATGACAAATGCAGAGTTAACTTAAGGATGTGGGGGACACAGAGAGGCAGGAGGAAGAGGTTTTGTCGCCGTTCAGAGTCTCTGTGCTCCTACGAACAAGCTTACTTTGGAGCCGGAACTAAACTCACCGTTTTAGGTAAGAAAAGTTTGGAGAAACGAAGCCAGCGCTCCGACAACCTGGCGGTGATTTTGTTCCTGACTGATATTGCGATGATTACACACAAAAAAAAAAGGTGAAATTAAAGTAAATAATTAGACTTGCCGAGTAAAAAAGGGTGAACTTCTCAACGTTCATTTGTGCGGGAAGGGACAGGTGTTCTCCACGTTCGTTCAGATAAACCAGGTTTGGCTCAAAGCCCAGATTATCAGTCTGTCAGTCGGTTAAACACTGTGACTCCCAGTCTGAAGCTTACTTTGGAGCTGGAACCAAACTCACCGTTTTAGGTAAGAAACTCCAAAAAATGTTCCCAATAAATCAACATGAAAGATCAGATGTAATGAACAATCAATAACATCATTTAATCATCAGCTCCAGAGCAGATGTAAAAAAAACAAAGAAGAATAAAAGCTAACAGGAGAAGGTGAAAGAAGTAGTTTCTGGTTTAGTTTTGCTCCAGAGGTTGTTTAGTTCGTGTGTCAAAGTGGTTGGAGACGGTGGCAGCTTTCAGCAGCTTTTCCTGCAGCTGTTTGTCAGTGTGAACAACTTTGATCCTGCTTACTTTGGAGCTGGAACCAAACTCACCGTTTTAGGTAAGACAAAAATAATAATAAAAATAAAAAATTGTAGCTCCTGATTGGGCCTAAATGTGAAATATTCATTTTCTGATCAAATAATACGTCATCTTCTTGATCGGTCATTGTTAAGAAGTCAGGGAGTTGGTTAAAAGATGTCAGATTTATGATTTGTCCCAAAAGAACGACGTTAGAATCAAAGTGAATTGTTGTTAAAAAGAAAAGAAAAAGGGTAACAAGAATAAAATTATAATGTCCGTGTTCTGGTTCATGTTGGGTTTTCTGCCTGTGACTGAGTTCTGTGCTCCGATTCTTATCCTGCTTATTTTGGAGAGGGAACCAAACTCACAGTTCTTGGTGAGAAGAAAATACTAATAAAAGAGAAACTCAGTCATGATTTCTGATAGCGTTTCAGATTTTGACCATGCAGATCAGAGTAAGTCTTTTTATGTCGTCTTTTTTAACAAACAGAACCTGGAGTGAATATCACTGAACCAACGGTGAAAATCCTTCGACCTTCGCCCCATGAGTGCAGAGACCAGAAGAACGAAAAGGGCATAAGGAGGAAGACCCTGGTGTGTGTGGCGTCTGGTTTCTACCCGGATCATGTCAGCGTGTTCTGGCAGTTCAACGGCCTGAACATCACTGATGGCGTGGCGACTGACGCCAACGCCACGAAGAAAAAAAACTCAAGATTTTACTCCATCACCAGCAGGCTGAGGATGGACGCCGAGAACTGGCTCAAGCTTGGCAATGAATTCAGTTGTCACGTGATATTCTTTAATGGAACGGGCTATGCAGACTACACAGAATCCATTTACAGTATGTTACTTTCAGAAAACAATCCTCCTTTAGTGACTTTTTATGCTTCAGGTTTAGTAATCGTATCACCTTCTTTTTCTGTCTTTCAGCAAATGAAACGGACAAAGGAATGACACGAGGTAAAAAATCAAACTAACAAACAAAAAAAACACCATGTATTTTTATGCTCAAACAGGTGAATCTGGAGCCTCCGCAGCTCTAATGTTTCTCGATCTGCCCAACAGAGAAATACCTGAAAATCACCCAGAACGCCAAACTCTCCTTCAGCGCCCTGATCCTGAAGAGCTGCCTCTACGCCGCCTTGGTCTGCTTTCTGGTCTGGAAGCTTCAGGTCTGCAGCTTTATCCTCTCCATTTATATTAAAGAGATGAATGTCAGGAGCTCAGTATCAATGTGGGATTAAATATGTTTTTTTTTTTGTTTGTTTGTTTTTTTGTTCTCGTTGTTTTGCAGAGTTCACCAAGAAATCAGAAGAAGTGAGCGCCGAACTGACGCCTGAGCAAAGTAACAATCTTCAGGAGAAACTCTTTAAGTAAACTCTGTAAATAAAATCTCCGGAGCACAGAACACACAGTTTCTCTCTGTGTTTGTGCTTTATGTGATTTGATGTGGTGTGCTGTATGATTCGCTTCTAAATATTGTGATTAGTCTGAAAAACAGAGATTGTCATCATATTGTCAACATTTTTATTTTTATTTTTTAATAATCTTTTGGCAAAAAAAAAACCTACCAACTCTTCTTGACAAAAATGACTTGGGCCATAATTTTACCACTGTGATGATGAAGTGCTCTGTAAAGATTCCTCGGCTTGACTTTAGAAGAGCTGAAAAATCTTCTAAATCCACTTAACATCCACATATATTCTTGTCAAGCTGTAAAAGTGCTTATGTTTCATCTCACTGGTTTTTGTGAAGCTTTTTTTCAAATTTTATTTTACAACTTTCTCAATAAAGATGTATAAACTACGTATTAGAATTAGCATCTTTGTCATTGTTTTCTGCGTTTTCCACACTTCTCAGCACTTATTACAATTTCAGATGTGTTTTCTGGAAACTCTTATTTTTTTCAATCACAAAGTTGAAACAACTCAACACCGATTTGAGTCATAGGGTTTTCCATGAGTTTTTTTTTTTTTCCATTTTCAATCTTTTAAAATGTTTAAAAAAAACAAAAAAGCTGAATTTAAATTACATGGAATGATTTTGGCTTTACTTTCATAGTAGTATTTATTTATTTATTTAATCCTCTTTACGTGAACAAACAGAGATGGTTGTCACAGTTTCCATCCTCTGGCTCTTTGTCAGTGAGCGTTCTGCGTGTGAGAACAGGAAGTCGGGGAACAGGAAGTCGGGGGTTCTGATCCGAGCAGAGGAGCAGGTCAGAGCTTGCTGCAGAGCTTGCTGCAGAGCAGCAGGATGCGGTCGCATGGCAGCGCCGCCTCTCTGCTGAGAAGCGACCGAGGCGAAACCTTTGGCCTTCACCGCAGCATCCGGCTCTGCCACCTCACCTGCATCACCCCCCCTAACCCCACCGCTCCTCATCCGAGCACAAACAGCTGCTGCCGCCTCCATTTCTGTGTCAACTGAAGCTAAAAACCAAACGTGCGTCTGACAACACGCAACAGCTGCTTACTGTGATCTGGAGCAGAACGTTTGCAGTTATGAGTATTTATGTTTTTAAGCTCCATTTATTTTTTGGTCTCAAAAAGTACCTGCTCAAAAACCAAAAAAATAATAATAATAATAATAAAGAAGGAATGTTTATAGCAATGGTAACTTTTTGCACTAGTTACCTTCTTCGCATATATAAAAACAATTTACAGAAAGACAAAATGAGAAGTTAACTTTAATGCAAAGTTCTTCGTTTTGTTCAATTTCTCTGAAAATATTTTTTGTTCACTCAGTTAGACAAACAGGAAACGGCAACTGTGAAGCAAAACCAGCCTGAGTGTTGATAACATCTGTGTTTTGAACATATTTCTGCTTCTCCTTAAACACACACACACACACACACACACACACACACACACACACACACACACACACACACACACACACACGCACACACACACACACACGCGCGCGCACACACACACACACACACACACACACACACACACACACACACACACATTCTGTAATAAGTATATGAAAGGATGCACACAGACAAATTCCCAAATTAAAATTTTTTAATTCTAATGTTGTCATAAATCCGCAAGTAAAAAAGTTTTTATTTAATGTGGCAACATGGAAATGTCTTTACTGGTGTAAAAACAGCTGCTGCTAAAAATCCCTGACTGGTACCTTTGTGAGAAATAAGTTATCCATTTAAACTAAAATTGTCTTCATGTTTTCTGAAAATCAGACTTTGTTCTCAATCAACTTATCAGGTTGAACAAATTTTAAGCGAAATAAACAAAAATCCAACAAGTCAATTTAGTCATTTTATTGATCCAAACAGAGAAGCTGGTCTTTTTCTTTTTTTTTTTTTTTTTTTTTTTTTTTTGTTAAATGTCAGAATTGTCAGTGGTTTATCGCTGCTACACTTTTGTGAAAAGTGAAGAAATCTTCAGGGTAGTCAGACAAATCCCTCAGCTTTTGCTCATTCAGCCAATTTAAAACTACCTGTGAAAAACAATGTGATGTCAGTCGATGTTCAGAAAACTGTTGGGAAGTTAGTCGCCATTTCTGAGCCGATCCAACATTTGGTTTCTGGCTTTAAGCTTAATAATACATGAGATCATTTTATAGGGTTGTGACACATTTTTACCTTTGGCTACCAACAAGTTTAGGGACACAGTCATTTCAGCCAGCAGTTGGAAATATTTGTCATGTTTAGCGACCCCTTGCGGTACAAACTGTGTGTTGCGTCACATAGTTGGTTCTCAAACTTCAAATCAGTTAAATTTTTAAACCCCCCCAAAAATAAATAATAATAACTAAGAGGAGATTAAGTTGAGACTTAAAGAGCATTAAACGCTGTTAACTAAATATAACTGTATTATTTAATATATTCATATAAAAAAAAACATAATTCCACTTTTGCTATGAAGTAGAGAGTCCTAATGTGAATTTTGGGTATATATATAAATTAAAAACATTGCTGTACATCATAGTAAATCAACCCATTTTTCAGTCTCATATGTATGTTTAAAAGGGCTTTAAGATAAAAGTACAACTCTCTGACTCCACTCTGGTACGTTATTACTGTATTCAAAATATAACCTAAAGTAAAGTAAGAAATCATAAAATCCACATGTTCATGTTCTGACTAACAGATGGTGAGATTCATCAACAGGCATCTCGATCGCGTTGATATTGGAATTTTATGAAAACACGATGTCAAAGAGCTGGGACTGCTGATGTAACTGACCTGCATCCTATAAAAGATCATTTTTCTAGAGCTAAATAAAAAAAAAATCATGATCAGAAACAGGTGAGAGCGCCATCTGCTGGCTGAACCGGCAATTTAGCTGTCAGTCAATCACAGCTAAAAATCTCTGAACTTTGATTATTTTATTTTTATTTTTTAAGGCACTTTCGTAGATATAAAAAGTGACACAGTAGAATTTGCTGCACCTGAAGGACAGATGTGACCTGCGCCTAAATATCATGCAAACCAGTCGTCACTGTTGTCAATCTTAATACTGTTGTGATCTGGAAAGAAACGTGTGTGATTTTCTGATTTGAAAAAAATCTCAACATTTTGAGGTCAAAATATTAAATCTGAAATTGTGAGTTTGGTGATCAAACAAGTCATGTAGTGTGTATTTTCTACGTGTTGCATGTGAAACATGTTGGTTCTGTGCTCTGTAGAGGGCTCTCCATTACCAAGTTCCCAATGCAATAAATGGCACACACACACACACACACACACACACACACACACACACACACACACACACACACACACACACACACACACACACACACACAATTGTGTCATTCAGTGACACAGTGATGTCATACATGACTCTCCCTCCTGCAGCTCATAACTACTAAACACTCTGATCACCACAAAACATGGAGGTCAGAGCTTCATGCGGCTTCTTCATTTTTTCGGTCTTTCTGCTCTGGCTGCCAGGTAAATAAAAATCATCCATTAAATTAGGTTTCAAGCTTGGATCAGAGCTCTGTGTTTACGCTGTTTTTTGTTTTTTTTTAGGTTACATTTTGTCGAAGAAAAAAATATAATAGAAAGCAAGAAAAATTTAATTAAGATTGCGTATTAGGGCTGTTTTAGATTTACATCCCCCCCAAAAAAACAACAACTCAGAAATACTGAAATTGTTTTCAGATTTTTATATGGCTATTCATATATTCATACATTCAAAAGTCAAATTTGCTGGAGAAAGAAAAAAGGAGGACTTTTTGCATTTTGAAAAGTCATTTTTTGACTTTTGGAGATTTCAAAAGTTGAAATTTTGTGACTTTTCAAACTCAAATTCCAAGTGTTTTTCAAGCTAATTTTCAAAATCATTTATTGAACCCCCCCAATCTTCACTGGCCCTAATGGGCCCCCGTAGCTCCTTCACGTTGACTCTGTTTGTCCGCCCAGGCCGCCCCGCCAGCGGCCAGCCGGTGTCCCAGACTCCGACGCTGTGGACGAACCGGGGCGCGGACGCCACGATGCAGTGCAGCCACACGAAGGGCAGCACGTTCCGCTTCATGTACTGGTACCAGCAGCTGCCGGGTCGGAACATGAAGCTCGTGGTTTTCACCACGGCGTACAGCACGCCGGAGCACGAGCCGGACTTCGCAGAGGACAAGTTTCCAGCGCAGAAGAAGAATGCGGAGACGGGATCCCTGACGGTGAAGAATGCGACGCCTGAAGACGCGGGAGTGTATTTCTGCTCCGTCAGTGAGACACAGTGACGCGGCCGGTTAAAGAGCCGAACAAAACCCAGAGAACGGAACCACATTGGTTTGAGCTGACGGTAGAGGGCGCTAAAGACCAGGCTGCACCTCACCGATACCTTCCAGGTAAAAGTTACTGAAATGGGTTTATTTTGACTCTATATGCTATCAAATATGCATTACTGCTAATAACATTCAACGTGACAAAATTGACCAAGTTGATTAGATTATGAATGTCTTTTGCAAGATTGTAACCTGTGCTTTATTTATTTATTTATTTATTTTATTTTTTCCAGATTTTGCTTCATTTGGTGCTGGAGTTATTTCTTTTTTAAGAATGAAATTCATAACATAAGTTGTATTGCTGAACAAATAAAATTTCACCTTCAGGATGCAACGGGCTAAAAAGCATGTCTTGTGATTTTATTGTGAAACATCTTCACAATAAAATGAAGGTTTTTCTTCACTCATTGCAAAATATGCAGAGACCATGTCGTGGGTCACATGACATGGAGTCACCTTGGAGCAGATGTCGCCATGATGATCCCGTTTTGTGTCTCCTCCCCTTGATCCTCTGACATGAGTTCAGCGTGTTCAGTCACAGCCGAGACAGAGAGGAAGACGAAGACGTCATGATCAGTGTCATCGTTCTGCTGCTGCTGCTCTGCCTCTGGGGTGGAGCGCTTTATTTCCTTGCCGTTGTATGAATCAAATTAATACTTTTGTTCAACTATACATAACTTAATCTGTTTTTCTTTTAATTCAGATGCGTCTCTCAGCGAAGACGTACACCAGGATCCTCCATGGATGCTGAAAGTTCCTCAGAGTTCTGCAACAATCAGCTGCAGCTATTCAATCATCGGATACAATAACATTCTGTGGTACAAGAACCCAACCAGTCACTCCGCCCTCAAGTTAATTGGTCATCTCTACTACGCCAGTGTAATTCTCGAGGATGAATTCAAAGATCGCTTCAACATAAGTGGAGACGACACCAAGGAATCTGAGCTCCGTGTGGATAAACTGCAGCCAGAAGACAGCAGCGTGTATTACTGTGCAGCTAGTCGGCACAGTGACTCAGTTTGTGTCTGTCTGCTACAAAAACCCTCTGTGATAATCCAGCACACAAACACACACAGCTGCAGCAGAGAGCACTGAAATACAGCAGCAAATCAAAGACGGCAGCAAAATAACCCAAAACAAAAAAACTCTTCCTGTGCCAACTGTTGGGGCACAAAGTTGGACCAGTAGATTTAATAATCCTGTTCCTGTTCAGATCATAATCTTAAGCAACGTGAAGCTCAGAGCTGCGTGAAGCATTAAGTTTCAAACATGACACTGCTGGTTGACTGAGTATCATCACGCAAAGATGATTTTTTATTTTTTTGCTACAAGTTAGTAGTAGGGGTTAGCATCCACCATATCGTTTATTATTTATTGCGATAATAATTTGGATTTATTGTTATGATGAATTCCAATTAATTTTTAACCCCCCGCAACCCTCTATTGCTGGGATTGTTACTGTCAGTGTTTTCTCCACTGTTTATAAGAATATCATAAATTTTTCAAATATGATTAAATGCTGCTGCTGTGCACATCAAAGTGGTACAAATCACACTTCTTCATGTCACTGGCGTGATAAAGAAATGTTTTACAATGGGAATGTTTTTGTTTTTGTGGGGCTGTTACTGCTGTGCCATGTAGTCACAGCCATACCTGTATGCAGAATATCCTCCCCCCCCCAAAAAAAGCATTTCTGTCTTGTGACTGAAAATGGGAGGAGCTGAACGCAAACGTCTGCTCGCCGTCTGACAGTAACCAAACCACCATCTCTAGTGACGCCAGAGCTCCATCCCTCTGGACTCTGTCGGCTCACAGCACGGTCATGATCCCAGCTGCTCTCATCAAGCTCTCTGCTGCTCTGCTCTGGCTTGGAGGTACGTCGCGGACGTCACCGTCCGCCGTCACGTCGCCGCTTGTCTTGATTTTTGTTGGGATTGTCTGTAACATGATGCCACATCTGACCGCTGCAGGTAGAACTAGCGGCAGTGATATCACTCAGACTCCTCTGCTGTGGGCCTACCAGGGTCAGTCCGCCACCATCAACTGCAGTCACTCCAAAAATTTTGACTTCGACCAGATGTACTGGTACCAGCAGGTGCCGGATCAGAACATGAAGCAGATAGTTTTCACCACGGCGTACAGCGCTGCCAAGTATGAAGAGGGCTTCACCAAGGAGAAGTTTGAAGTGGAGAAGAAGGACCCTTACACCGGGTCTCTGACGGTGAAGCAGCTGCAGCCTGAAGACGGAGGAGTGTATTTCTGTTCTGTCAGTAAACACAGTGATGCAGCCGGTTGAAGGGCTGCACAAAAACCCAGAGACAGCGACAGAAAACTTCTTTAATTTAACCTGTAGATGGAGCTAAAGAGCAGAGTAGACTGTTTATGTCATAAAATTGGGCTGTTTTGTCAATAAAGAAAAAAGAAGAGAAAAGATACATGGAGAACAATAAATCTACACACTGATACAACAAGATGTTGGATTTGAATCAATGAATAAATCACTTCTATTGGGGTGATGTTTGAGTAAAGATTATAACTTTAAAACCACAAACAAACCTCATAGTAGGTGGTGATTATATTACTTGAAATACAATGAAACTAAAGTAATGAAATTCTGAATGATTATCAGAATTGTTTTTCTTATCTGGACATGAGTTCCGTTTATTTTTATGAATAAATGAATTGTTTCTGTATTGTGAAAGGTGCATGTTTGCATGTTACTCTATTGACTTTTAACCCACAAGTATATCTTATAGAGTTGAATGATTTAAGTTCATTCTACTTTGCCGGGTTGCTTAAGTTCTTCTGTTCCACAAAACTGGAACCAAAAACGGCTTGTGTTCTGTGTCACATTTTAGTTTTACACAAACCATCTCAACAAACAACTATCAGTTCCTTAAAATTCATCCACTTGCAGAAGAAAAGGTTTGGATCAGAACATTTTCTGAAATACCCAGCCACTTGACACTTTTTAAAAAATTTATTATAAAAGAATAAGCTCAGATAGACGCTGTATGAATGCATGTGGCCAGAATGTGAGGTGATCTTGATGTTTGTAGCTCAGTTTGTGTCTCCTCCCCTCGGTTTTAACCTCTAACATGAGTTCAGATCGTCAGTCACTGAAGAGACGAAGAGGAAGATAAAGACATCATGATCCTCATCATCACTTTGCTGCTGCTGCTCTGCTTCTCTGGTGGGTTTGACTCTAAATTTAGTCAAATTTAACTCTCTGTCTTACTTTGACCCATTTTTGTATTTCATCGCAGATCTGACACTGAGTAAAGATGTGCATCAGCATCCACCGTCAATACTAGGAAGTCCACAGAGTTCTGCAACAATCACCTGCAAACATTCCATCAGTGGATATGATACTACACTGTGGTACCAGAACCCCACGGCTGGTTCTGATCTTAAATTAATTGGCTATATTCTTTATACCAATCCAGTCGTGGAGAAAGAATTCACAGATCGCTTCAGAATAAGTGGAGACGGATCAAAGGAATCTGAGCTGGAAGTGAAGAAACTGCAGGCAGAAGACAGCAGCATGTTTTACTGTGCAGCTAGTAAACACAGTGACTCAATTTGTGTCTCCCTGCTACAAAAACCCTCTGTGATAATCCAGCACACAAACACACACTGAAGAGGAACACAGCTGCTGCAGAGAGCAGCAAACTACAGCAGGAAATCATCAGATATCAGCATTAAACTGTCTCTACCAGTGACAACCCCAAGAGGAGGACATGGGGGGCCGTGGGCCCTCTAGAAAAATATTGAAGAAAATATTTAGACATTTTCTTAAATTAAGAAATAAATGTAAAACCCAATAAATAAATATTTAAAACTTATAAATAAAAATAAGTTTTAAAAACCTGATTATTTAATACAAATAAATGATCGTTAATGTATATTTATTTAAGTTGTTTTTCTTAGCTTTGCTCCTCAATATTGTTACTGGTCTGGTCTTCTATAAAAGCTTTCTGGAGGTCCACTTCCTGTGTTGATCTCCTGCAGGAAGTCGATGTCTTGTTGAACATGATGCCAGATGGTATTGACTCGCCTCCTTCTTTTCATGTACACAGCTTTACTCAGACTGGCAGCATCACCGCAGCTTTGGATTCGTCTGAACCAGGATCATGTTCAAACTCTTCATTGTTTTGGTCTCTCTGCACTTCTGCTCTACAGGTATATTTAAATCACTAACCAGTGTTTGAAGCAGATTTTCTAGATCTGAATGTGCTTTTTGTTTATTTTTTGTCAGCAGACCAATCAAAAAACAACGTTCATCAGACTCCAGCTTCGTTGATCAAAGAACCAGGAGAATCAGTCCAGATAAGCTGCAATCATTCAAACACCAATTTCTATATGATCCAGTGGTACAAACAGCCTCCTGGGAAAACTGACATGACTCTCCTCGGTTACGTTTATTATTCTGCACCAACTGTTGAAATGCAGTTCCAAAACCTGTACAATGTGTCGGGTAGCGGCCAGAGTCTGTCATCTCTCGTCATTCCAAAGCTGAGGCAATCTGAGGACAGCGCCGTGTATTTCTGTGCTGCCAGTGATGCACAGCACTGCATGAAGCCTCAGACTCCAACAAAAACCCTCATTGATACCAGAGGAGCCATCATTCACCTGCTGATGGCAGCAAGAGATACTGGAAAACCTCAGAGGAGAGACTGATCTGTGGAGCTGTTCTGTCCACTAGGAGGCGATGTTTCTCACATAATGCTCTCAATCTGAAGCAGCTAAAATCCCTGCATGAAGTCTTCATGGATGAAGAAAGACTTACACATGACTTCTGTTTGTTGGTCTCTCAGTTTTCCTCAGGTATCAATGTGTGGTTGGTTATGATGTAATTCTGCGTCTCACATAGTGGCTCCTGGAGATTTGCACCAGATCTCCCTGTGACCTTCAAGGACAAAGATGATGGATTGAGAGATTTTAAAATAATGTGCAAAGGAAAAACTCATTAGTTTTAAAATATCTGTTGAGCTGTTGTGCACAATTTCACAATTGCTTTTGTGATTTTTTTTTCTAAAAACGCATTAAAGAGGCAGAGGACGTTAAATAAAACATCTACATAACGTGTCATATTTAGGGGTAATTAATTGATTCCTCATCAGAATAATCGATTACTAAAATAATCATGGTTGCTCCCATAACTAAATCCTCCCAGTGGGCGGAGTCACATCCTGCAGTGACTCTCAGATCTCATGCATGTTCAGTCTGAGAACATGACTCCTATCAGACACAGTTTGGTTCTTTTTGCTCTGTGGATTAAAGGTCGGTTCATGTAATATGAGAATCTGTCTCTGATTAAACTGCTGAGAATTTCAGCTCATTCAATATGTGCTTTATATGTGCAGGTATGACAGATGGCAGTGTCGTCAATCAGACTTCTCTGCTGTGGGTCAACCAGAGTCAGTCCACCACCATGACCTGCAGTCACAATAAAGACGCTTCTTACTTCCAGATGTACTGGTACCAGCAGCTGCCGGGTCAGAACATGAAGCTAATAGTTTTCACAACAACTTCTCCTCCGTTCCAGTATGAAGAAGGCTTCAGTAAGGAGAAGTTTGTAGCGGACAGGAAGGACGCGATGAGCGGATCTCTGATGGTGAAGCAGCTGCAGCCTGACGACAGCGGAGTGTATTTCTGTTCTGTCAGTCAACACAGTGATGAGGCCGAGTGACAGAGCTGCACAAAAACCCAGCTGCTGCAGACACAGTGAAGTTACTCGTCATCAGCAGCAGGGGGCGCTCTCAATTCAAACTGCGCCATCTCAGCATGTTTACAAAGTGCTGAGTATTTAATCTTTGATAAATATTCTTCTAAAAATGAAAAAAAAAAGAAGTTTGTTTATACAATAGCAGTGATTATTTCAACAGAAAAATGTGAAATACTCGTCTTTTTATGTTGTTCAGTCGGGTAATGTCATTTTTTGGGTCTGTGTTTGAACAATTATTCAACCATTAAATTACAACCATTCCAATAATTGATTAATCAACAATTAATTAAATTCCTCGTTTCCGCCCTAAACCACATGCTTTTGAAATGATCCTGGTTTGTGTCTCCTCCCCTCTCATAGTTGATCCTCTAACATGAGTTCAGCTCGTCAGTCGCTGCAGAGACAGAGAGGAAGATAAAGACATGATGAGCATCATCACTCTGCTGCTGCTGCTCTGCTTCTCATGTAGGTTAAACACTATTCCATCTACAAGATTCAAACTTTGTTAATATTTATTAAAATAGCTGTTTTTTCCCCCTCAACACAGATCTTTCACTGAGCAAGGATGTGCATCAGGATCCACCATCGATGTTGTCGAGTCCTCAGAGTCCTGCAACAATCAGCTGCAGCCATTCAATCAGTGGATACTATGTGATTCTGTGGTACCAGAAGCCGATTGGTGGCTCCGCTCTTACATTAATTGGTTATATTGCAAACACAAGCCCAACACTGGAGAAAGAATTCACAGATCGCTTCAGAATAAGTGGAGACGGATCAAAGAAATCGGAGCTGGAAGTGCAGAAACTGCAGCCAGAAGACAGCAGCATGTTTTATTGTGCAGCTAGTAAACACAGTGACTCAATTTGTGTCTCCCTGCTACAAAAACCCTCTGTGATAATCCAGCACACAAACACACACTGAAGAGGAACACAGCTGCTGCAGAGAGCAGCAAACTACAGCAGGAAATCATCAGATATCAGCATTAAACTGTCTCTACCAGTGGTGACCCCAAAAGGAGGGCAAGGGGGGCCTTGGGCTCTTTAGAAAAATCTTGAACCCTCAATGGAATCCTGTTCAGGTCATAGAAAGACATATTTCTATGTCTTTCTGTAGATTTTCTTTAATTGAGACATGAATATAAAACTCAATAAATAAATCAGCTAATTTATATTTATTGTTTAAGTTGTTTTTCTGAGCTGTGATCTTCCATATTGTTACTGGTCTGGTCTTCTATAAAGGATTTTCTAGAGGTCCATCTCCTGTGTTGATCTCCTGCAGGAAGTCGATGTCTTGTTGATCATGACGCCACATGGTATTGACCCCGCCTCCTTCTTTTCATGTACACAGCTTTACTCAGACTGGCAGCATCACTGCAGCTGTAGATTTGTCTGACCAGGATCATGTTCAAACTCTTCATTGTTTTGGTCTCTCTGCACTTCTGCTCTACAGGTATATTTAAATCACTAACCAGTGTTTGAAGTAGATTCTCTGAATCTGAATGTGTGTTTTTTGTTTTTTGTTGTCAGCAGACCAATCAAAAAACAGCGTTCATCAGACTCCAACTGCGTTGATCAAAGAACCAGGAGAATCAGTCCAGATAAGCTGCAATCATTCAAACACCAACTTTGACATGATCCAGTGGTACAAACAGCCTCCTGGGAAAAGCGACATGACTCTCCTCGGTTTCGCTCGTTTCAGTTCACAAACTGTTGAAAAGCAGTTTCTAAACCTCTACAATGTGACGGGTAGTGGCAGTAGTCTGTCATCTCTCGTCATTCCAAAGCTGAGGCAGTCTGAGGACAGCGCCGTGTATTTCTGTGCTGCCAGTGATGCACAGCACTGCATGAAGCCTCAGACTCCAACAAAAACCCTCATTGATACCAGAGGAGCCATCATTCACCTGCTGATGGCAGCAAGAGATACTGGAAAACCTCAGAAGAGAGACTGATCTGAGGAGCTGTACCGTCCACTAGGAGGCGATGTTTCTCACAAAATGCCCTCATTCCGTAGCAGTTCTTGTTCTTTCTGTTCATACAGTCAACCAATACAAATGATTCCACAGAATGTACATTGAGTTATTAGAACATAACTCCACAAATAAGTTTAATGAATTTTACATACAGACAAAAATAGGCGGAAAAACATTTATTTTGCCCTTTGAAGCAACTTGTTAAATTTTATACTCAGACAGTCAAATTTGTTGTGATGTGCTACACAGCAATCAACAGTTGCTGTGTAGCTAAAAAAACAAGGACATTTTGCTCTGTGGATTTTCTCCATCTTTGATTTTTGTGTTTGACTCGCCATTCAAGACTCAAACATCATTCAACTCCCCTGACTGGGGATTATAAAGTGTCTTCTGCAATGTGCTACTTCAGACTGGCAAATTATAAATGCATATCATTATTATTTTTTTTAAGTTTTATCATGCAAAATTCTAATAACACTCCAGAAGTGTGTGACAAAACATCAGGTTGCAGTTTGCCGACCTCCTCTTAGAAGTACAAAAACTTCTTTTTTTTCTTCCATTATTTTGGATCTGTTGTGACTCCGCCCTCCTACAGGGTATCTGCTTCATTTGCAGATCAGATTTTTTTTTCTAAGACAAGACGCTCCAAGCACAACAGCAGAATGATCACAGAGCTGTTCACACTTTCTCTCAAGGTCGCGCTGGTCTTAGGTAATCATATATTTTTTCACTTCCCCCCTTCCCCATACACTTTATCATTGCGTGTCACTTTTCTCTACAGGATCTTCTCTCAGTGATCAGGTTCATCAGACTCCGTTCAACGTTCTGGCAAAGAGAGGAGAAGCAGCCACAATCAGCTGCTCTCATGACATCCAGAGCTACAATGTAATCCTCTGGTACAAGAGACTGGAGGACAAACAGCTGCAGCTGCTGGGGTACATGTACATCGACAACAAAAATCCTGAACCTGGAACAGATGTGAAGATGGAATTAGGAGGAAATGCAAATACAGGACAGACCTGCACTTTGACAATCAAAGAGCTGAGTGAGAAAAGCAGTGCAGTTTACTTCTGTGCTGCTAGCTACCACAGTGCTGAATATCACTGCTGCTCGGTGCAAAAACCTCACATCCTGCTGCACCTGCGTCAACTCTCCACTTTCAGTCATTTTATCTGGGACTATTTTGTCCAAATAGGATGTTTGTTATGGAGGCGACATTTTACCATACTGGACAGAAGCCTAGCTTGTGTTTGTTAGAATGGCTTTGGAGGACGGCTGGACAAAAAATTCAGATATAACTCAATGGACAGTAATATCAATAGATAATACATCTGATAGGACCTTCAATAATTTCACTAAACTCCCATCCAGAGGGTCAGATAAGTATTTTAATAATTAATAATTATTAGTTTGTATTTAGAAAACTTAATACCAATGCGTGCCATTTTATCTAAAGATGTTTTTGTATGTGTTGCACATTCATTCACAGCTGGTTAAAACCACAACTCACGTTGTGTTAATTCAATTGATCATAAAGTATCTATACTTTACATAAAATTTTGTTGACTTTGTTGACAGTAGATTTAATCGACTAAAACGACATTATAAAGCTGGACCAATTATTTTGATGGCTAAATCGTGACTAAAACTAAATATTTTAGTTGCCTTCAAGAGACACTAGAGGGCAGCATATGGCTACAGGCTAAAAAGTGTTCAGTGAGTTGATTGGTTTAGACGACAAGAGGAAGTGTGATGTTAACAACTGTTCATGTTCCTTGCGTGAAGGTTAGACAGTCACTTCAACTGGACTGATAATCCAGAAAACTCAACAACATGATCGTCGTCTTCTGCTTAATGCTCAACATGATTCACGTTTTTGGTAAAATCACCTTTTGGTTCATTTAAAACCTCGTTTTTCTAATTCTACTCCTTTAATCATTCTAGGTGAAGGAGCGTTTTCACTTCATTCAATTTCCACTCATGACATTTCCCATGTTTCAACAGGCTCTTCTCTCAGCGATCTGGTCCATCAGACTCCAGCCGAGATGGTCCATGAGCCCGGAGGAAACGCCATCATCAGCTGCAGACACACCATCGACAACTACGATGTGATCCTCTGGTACAAACACTCGACGGGCGGCCGGATGCAGCTCCTGGGATACAACAACGCTGCAAACGGATACCCAGAGCCGGACGTTGATGTGAAAATCAGTGGCAGCGCAAGCAAAGACCAGATCAGCACTCTGACAGTGGAAGACCTGAGCGTGAGCAGCAGCGCCGTTTATTTCTGCGCCGCTAGATACCACAGTGCTTCATATTAATGCTCCTCAGCACAAAAACCTCGAGATTAATCTTTTCTGATGGCATGTCTCCTATTTGCAGCTGCGCCACTGCCTCTCAAAAGATGGCGGCGTGTCATCTGAGGAACCAAAGCTCCTCCTCCTTCATGATGATCTGATAAAAGCAACAGCTGATACTGCAAAAATCATCAGTCCACTCAGATCCACTGGCAGCCCATTTAAAAGATGGACACTGAGAATTATCTTTGCAATTGAAGTCGCTCTTCCACATTCCATGATCAGTGTGGGTTTTGTCAACAGATTGGGGGCAAAATGGCAGAGTTCTGCGAATGTTTAAATAAGAAGCAGCTGACCTGCCATACTTAAAGTCCTGTGAGTTGTTTCCTGTAGTATTGGGTGTTTTACAGAAGGTTGCAGCCAACAGATCGCTGAGATACTTTGAAATAAACAATGAAACACCGAAGAGTTTGGCTTTGTCCATATTTTCTGCAAAGATTTCAAATTTCTTCTTTACTGAATATAATTCAAATGATCATTTGAGCAGAGGAAAGCAGTTAGTTCATTAATTTTAGTCTTAGGTGACAAAACAATAGCGTTCCTTTGAAACAATAGGTGTACCCCAAGGCTTAGTTCTCAATCCACTGTTTTTATGACTATCGTGTTTCGTTGTTCATCAACGTGTGAAGGTTTTGGGCTGAAAATACCAAAAGACTTTAAATATGCGTTGTTCCCCATTTACAGAAAACTGCAAATAGAAAGAATTTCAGCATAATAAAAAAAATTCTAATTGTCAATAAGGGACCTGTGAATTTCTGATGCTTCAATCAAATTTACTTTGTCAGGCACTTTCTATTGCAATGCACTTCTCATGCAAGTGAATGCACAGTAATATATCACATTATTCTTTAAAAGAAAAGTGAATTCATTTTTTTATTTTATTTTAAAGAGCACAACAATAACGTCTGTCTGAGAAAAAAAAGAAATAATTATTATTTTAAATTTAACTCCATTCAGAAAAAATGTGAATAAATTAGGAAATGTATTCCTAATTTCCTCAGATTTTTATTATAATTTTTATTTTTGCTGTTTTTAACTTTACAGAACGTCCAGTTCATCAGCTTCACTGTGAAGCTTTATTTTTGTCCACTAGGTGGCAGTGTTTTCTATCACACAGTTATGATAACAGGTTATAGTTTACAGCTGAATTTAACCTGAATTTTTAACACTAAGGATAATATTTGCTCTCTAAGAATTGACAGAATGCCTTTCACCTCTAAAGGTGAGTCTTTTTTTTTTTATTAATTTTTTTTTATAAATCACTGGTGTGATACTTTATGCTAAGAAGTGGAGCTACAGTGACTCCACCCACCTGGATTACTTCATACGCAGCCAGAGCAACAAAACCAAAGACAATCTGACTGGGACAAGATGATCCTCTTCATCCTCTGCTGCTTAAGCTTCCACATCACACTTGTTTCTGGTATGAAAAGTCATTCAGAATGTCCTCTGGTCTGTAATTCAAAAGGATTAAAACTCCTCACACTTGATTTCGTGTCCCCTCACAGGTTCCTCTCCAAGTGACCAAATCGTCCAGATTCCAGCCGACATGTTCAAAAACCCTGGAGAGATGGCTAAGATCAGCTGCTCTCACAGCATCCCAGACTACGACCGCATCCTCTGGTACAAACAGTCGGAGTTTGATGGGATGAAGCTCCTGGGATACATGCTGGGAGACGACGGATATCCAGAGAAGGAGCTCGATGTGAAAATAGACGGCAGCGCAAACAGAGACAAAAACAGCACTTTAACCGTCACAGAGCTCGGCCCAGACAGCAGCGCAGTTTACTTCTGTGCTGCTCGCTACCACAGTGCTGAATATCACTGCTGCTCTGTGCAAAAACCTCCTCATAGGTGCAGCTGTGTGAACTCTGAGGTTCTGATCCTTTCAGATTTTTCATTATAGATTAGTTTTATTTTGTTGGGAGTCTTTGTCTAATTCAGTTAGTTCTAGTTAGTTTTTAGAATTTGTTTGCTTGTTAAATATTACTCAGTTTAGTTTTTATTAGTCATACCAGTAGTTTCAGTTTTCTCATACTTTTTATTTATTTCAGTTGTTGCCATTTTGTTAGTTTTAGTTAACTATGGTAATCTTGGTCAGCTCCTTCCATAACAAAAAGCAGCATCTTATAGGAGAAAATCATAATAATATGTAGGGGGCGCTGTGACTCCGCCCACATAGGGCATGTCAGTGATGCTGATTAATGGTTTTACGAGAATCGGAGCCACAGAAACATTGAACCCCTTCAGTGTCTACAGTCGACATTACAGTCAACCTACAAGCAGCAGCATGATGTTAATCCTGCTGGTCATGATGGCTCAGATCCTTGTTGTGGTTTCAGGTAAACAGTTTTGTTCCTGCAGTCATTTGCTCTGTTCTCATTTCCGTATTAGACGTGTTTCTGATGATAAATAATATTTGATCAGTTCCTGTGTAATCAGTGTTCATGTTCTTCGTAGGATCTTCTCTCAGCGATCAGGTTCATCAGACTCCGTTCAACATTGTGGCAAAGCGAGGAGAAGCAGCCAGAATCAGCTGCTCTCACGATATAAAGAACTACGAAGTGATCCTCTGGTACAAGAGACTAGAGGACAAACAGCTGCAGCTGCTGGGGTACAGATTTAAAGAAAACACAAATCCTGAACCTGGAACCGATGTTAAGCTGGATATGGATGGGAGTGGAGATCAAGGACAGACCTGCACTTTAACAATCAAAGAGCTGAGTGAGAAAAGCAGTGCAGTTTACTACTGTGCTGCTAGTTACCACAGTGCTGAATATCACTGCTGCTCTGTGCAAAAACCTCCTTCCATCCTGCTGCACCTGTGTGAACTCTCCACTTTGAATCATTTTATTAGAGTCTTTCTGCGAGGAGTTTGCATATTCTCAAAGTGGAAGAATGGAGCTTCCTCCCACTGTCCAAAAACATCATTTAGGTCCACTGGTCTCTAATGGTCGACGTGCATTTTGTAGATACTGATTGCAGACAACGTAGGTATTTAAAACATCTCAAAAGGTTGCTCCGACAGGAAATGCCTTGCCTTTTTCAGCGTTCTAGCATTCGTCACAGATTTAGTTGGTTTCGTTTTACACATATGTGATGATTGTCTTTTCTTTTATCACATAAAATATGATAATATCATAAAATATCACATAAAATGTCTTTATGTGATATTTATACTAGATGTGGGTGGATCGATCCAAAATATCAGCAAGTACCTACTGATACCAAGTAGGTATCAGTATCAGATCGATTCTAATATGGTAAGATTGATACTTCAGCTTTATATTCCATCTTGAAATGCTATTTTATTATTGCACTATAGATTCTCATTTCTACCCAAGAAAAATGTTTTGATTTTCTCTCAGGAGATTTTTTTTCACTGTTTATAATGTTAATATGTTATTAAAGTAATGCAATTTTATGCCATATATATTACATAAGAGTGTATAGACTTGACTTATTAATTTGTTGAAACAACTTCTGATTTAATTTTAATCTTCTGTCGTCTTTAAAATGAGTGTTAGCTCGATTTAACAATAGTGGCCCAAATCTATGTTGTGGGGATCTTTTTATGTTTAAAACAATCTTTTTCAGGCGAACTCTGATTTTTTTTTTTTTCTGTTGAATTTAAATCAGAACTCTGGTTTGGACATTAGAAAAGCAATTTTCTTTTTCTTTTTATTGCATGAAGTTGATTTATGTGGATCATGCTGGAAAGTAATTTCTCTCGACGTTTTTGGTGCCAGAACGTGACGCTGTCGCCACCATGATGAACAGAAGGACAGACGGTCCGCGTTCTTATTTTCAATAGGTGGCAGCACAGCCTCACTAAGGAGATGCTGGGATTCCAGTGACGTTCAGAAGGAGAGCAGCACTTAAACACAGCCCACTTTGAAACTTTCAGCCGCTTTCCTCAGAGTCACAGAGCGATGTGAGGTGGATTGAGCTCACGCACCTACACTGCTGTGAGATCCACTCTGACAATGATCCTCCTACTTTATATAAGCTGTTGCTTATTTTTCCTTCCAGGTGAAATATGTTTTCTGTAATTTTGCAGGATGCCTAATTGAAGTTTTTCTCTCTCTCTCGGTCGCACGCCAAATGCAACTTTCTCGCTGTTTAATCTTTTTCCAGGTTCTTCGCTCGGCGACAGAGTCACTCAGCTACCGGCAAACGTTCTGAAAAACTCTGGAGAAGCTACTGTAATAACATGTTCACATCAAGTTACCAACTATGATCGGATTCTCTGGTACAAACAAACCGAGGGCCACCAGATGCAGCTCCTGGGGTACATGAACGTGAACGACGGCTATCCAGAAACTGGAGTGAAAGTGAAGATAGACGGAGGAGCAACCGAAGGGAAAACCTGCAGCTTAACGATAGAGGGAGTCGACACGAGCAGCAGCGGCATTTACTTCTGCGCTGCTAGTCGGCACAGTGCTGCACGTCTCTGCTTCTCAGTGCAAAAACCTCCAAACAGCAGATTTCTTTCATCTGATGCCAGCAGCTATCAGATTATTGCACCTGCAACTTCAGCCGTCAACAGGTGTTTAGACTATATGTAAAAATATATATTCCAATGTTTAGTACATTAGACATAATAATAGAGATCAAATGAATCAGTTTTTCTACGTTTTAGTGTTTTTTAAATCTTACATACCAGCTTGCTTTTACCCCAAATTATTTGAGATAAAAATTGAATTAAAGACTCAACTCTCAGTGCAGGAGTCTGAAATCTGGTTTTGTGTTAAAAGTCAAATCACCATCAAAGTGGTGAAACATGAGGGAGAAGATAAACCGACTGATTAAAAACTAATCACTAAGTTTATTGTAAAAAATTATTTCATTACAACTCTCAAAAATGCATAATGTGATGATCAATATCCTCCATAATGTTTGCTTCTCTTCATTTACCTCTAGCCAAGTTCATTTTGCTCAGGTTCTTCTGATTTTTAACCCTCCAACCTTTTTAAAAAAACAAACCTTTTTCAGATAGTATAATCTTGTCCACAAGGGGGCGGTGTTTCCCAACCAGTTTCACTCCATGGATAATCAACACATTGCAAGAAACAGGTGAGAGTTTGACTGAATAAATAATGAAACTTATCACAAACAAAATGAAATGATCTTCATCATTTGCAAACATGTCACAAAATTACATTAAATAACCAACAGGCACATGTCAGTGTTTAACATTAAGACAGTCACGGTTCCACTTAAAATGATCTGCAGACTATTTGCTTTATTGTTGACAGTTTCACAAAGAACTTAATCAATATTTTTACACAGTGCAAGAACGTTTTCAGAGATTATTCATGGCAGATGCTGCATCGCTACCATATGATGGAAAAGCACAAAACCATTAACAAACAGAAAACTCAACTGAATTAATATTTTCAATATTTTTTGCCTGTTTAAAGTTTTGTATTTGTCTAATTCAGAGTTTATGGAGTGTCTTTTACCCTTCCGGCTGATCGGCTCAGATGTCGTCTCAGTTTTATCAATTTGGCAGAAGCTTGAGGCGAAGCGACCACGCCCACTTTCCTGGCTTCATATGCAGAGAGGAAAACAGAAGCAGAACCGTTTTTCAAAGTGAGATAAGATGATGCTGTTCATTCTCTGCTGGATAAGCTCAAACATCTTACTCATTTCAGGTAAAAAATGACAGGAAGAGTCAATTAAAACCATGTATTTTCTTTCTAAAGTAATGTTGCCAGTTTCTTTCATTAGTTTTGCTTCTTTAGATTGCCTTTCAGAGTTAAAATTCGGCTCATCAGAATGACATTGTCGGCTGTTTCTGTTGTCTGCTTCTTCAGGTTCCTCCCAGAGCGACCAGGTCGTCCAGACTCCAGTCGAAATGTTCCAGAAAACCGGAGAAGCGGCCAGAATCAGCTGTTCTCACAGCATCCAGACCTCCAACCAGATCCTCTGGTACAAACAGACAGAGCATCAGATGCAGCTGCTGGGATACACTACAGGAACCAGTCCGCTTCCAGAGAAGGGAATGAACGTGGAGATGGCGGGGAGCGCGAATGCAAACCAGAACTGCACTCTGATAATCAAAGAGCTGAACGTGAGCAGCAGTGCTGTTTACTTCTGCGCTGCTAGTCAGCACAGTGCTGCGGTTCACTGCTGCCCAGTGCAAAAACCCGACATCAGAGTTTCTGTAATCAGTATCGCGGCTCATCTCATCCTGCACCCGCGAGAACACGGCGCGATTCGCCTCACTGGGTTTTATGCTGCAGTTCATTCAAAGGTTTTCAATTTTGATTAAGAGTTTAATCAGAGAGTGAGATTAGAAAACAGCAAAGATAAAGTCTGACCAAGAAAACTAAAGTCAATGTGGAATCATGAGTATCAGGATCAGTTTTATAAGTAAATTCACGCTGATAGAGAAAGAGAAGAGATTTATATATTTTAATAAAAATTTCTAACAGCTCAATTCAATTTCAAATTAAACAACACTTTGATTCCAAAGAGAAATAAAATAAAGGTAACACAAGAGTCTTTAAAGAGTTAATGTAGATGTGGGTTGGCAGGACAGATCTCCTGTAGCAGTCTGTGTTGCGGCAAATTTGAAAAATCTTCTCATGAAAGTATAATTTTAAAACTCCAGCAGAGAGGCTACTCTGTTTCCTGTAAAATATGTATGAAAGTAACACTAAAGATTATATATAACCTATATTATAACTCTAACCCCAGGCTTTGGCCCCCATAATGATAAACATAGTACTTGCTAGAAAATTATCCTTAAACTGTATCGAAAACAAAGCCACACACACAGACACACTTTCATCCCTGTACTATTGATTTCCACTTCCTAACCATATCCTTACTGTAAGGATATGGTTTAAATCTTACTGATACAGAACTAAAAAGAAAAAAAAGTAAAGATCACCTTCCACAAACATCCTCTCTTTGTTGGCAAGAATGAAGAATATTCAAACACAGAAAAAGAGAGAGAAAGATACAGAGAGAGTATTGGAAGAGAAGGAAGTACTTCACACACGTCACTGTTTTCCTCCTGTGGGAGTTTCTACAGACTCTCATACTGAACAGACCAGCATATGATGAGTGTAGAAACACAATATCATCTGCATATAAGAGGACCCCCAATGAAATCAGTCACCAAACAAAGATAAACCACCAAATCACTGTCATTCTAAGTTTAAGAAAAGACAATGATCATCATCTTCTGGTTAATGGCCAAAGTTGTTCCAGCTTTAGGTAAGATTGTCGACTTTGTTCATATAAAAAGGCGTTTTTATGCACTTTATCTTTATTTTAAGACCACGCTGAACAACCTGGTTGAAGTGGTTTCTTTAAAGGAAATTGTTTACATAATTTAACAGTAATATTCTACATTTGGACCGTTTCAACAGGAGCTTCTCTCAGCGATCAGGTCCATCAGACTCCGGCTGAGATGTTCCTCAAACCAGGCGAGGCGGCCGTCATCAACTGTTTACACTCTATCGATGGCTACGATCGGATCCTCTGGTACAAACACTCAAGCCGCAGCCAGATGCAGTTCCTGGGATACATGAACGTGATGTTTGGAACTCCAGAGCCGGGAGTCAACGTGAGAATCAATGGCTCCTCAAACAAACACGAGCTCTGCACTCTGGAGGACCTGAACGTGAGCAGCAGCGCCGTTTATTTCTGCGCTGCTAAATACCACAGTGCTTCATATTAATGCTCCCCGGCACAAAAACCTCGAGATTAATCTTTTTGCAGCTGCGTTGTTTCCTTTCATGAGGTGGCGTTGTGTCGTCACAGACTGCCTCGGCGCTGAGGAGGAACCGAAGCTCCTCCTTCTTGAAGATGGTTTGATAAACCCAAAATCAGTAGCGTGTTCAAACAGAGGAACCGCAAAACAATAAAGAAATGTTGATCGCTGTCGTCCTGAGCATTTATTTCAACTGGGTTCTGCTCCCAGGTGATTTCACGATTTTAACTTCTACACCTCTATACGATCAATTGATTCCAACAGTGCATTTCAGTATCAAGTTTCTTCTTTTTCAACTTTTCCAGGTTCCTCTCGGAGCCAGCAGGTGTTTCAGACTCCTGCCAACATCTTCAGGAGATCAGGAGGGACGGCCAACATCAGCTGTTCGCACAATGTTCAAAACTACAACCTGATCCTCTGGTATAAGCAACAATCCAGTGGACTGCTCCTGCTGGGATACGTCTTCTACACGAGCACCTACCCAGAGAAAGGGCTGGACGTAAAGATGGCCGGGAGCGCAGACACAAACCAGGAGTGCATGCTGACAGTAGAAAGGCTCGACTCTAACAGCAGCGGGTTTTACTTCTGCGCTGCCAGTCGCCACAGTAACACAATCCACAGACCAGTCAGTACAAAAACCTCTCAACCAGGCCTGCATGTGTGTCTCCAGACTCAAACCACAGAAACCCAGAATAACTGTAACTTGGTGTTTCATCTCAGATTGACGAGTTATTTCCCTGGAGGTTCTCTTATGTGCAGATGAAAGTGGTTTTAGGATGTTTTTTTTAAAGAAAATAAATAAGCATATTATGTGCTGGTTGAGTTCAATATGTTTAGTTTTTGAGTCCTAGAGTCAGAAGCAGCATTCAGCATCTATGCCCCACAAATCTGTAACAAACTTCCAGAAAACTGCAAAACAAACAAACAAACAAAACTTTAAACCAAGGCTTTAACACACTTGTTGCTTTTGAGTCATGATGAATAGAACATTGGTCAACATATATTTGATCTATATTTTCTTAATTTTGACATTGACATTTGACCAGATGTAACATTTATTGCTCGTTTCAAAACTGGTGATTGTATTTCATGGTGTAAAGGACTTAAACTGCCTTTTTGCTCAAATGTTAAACACATATAACTTTGACTTGACTTGTTGATGGGTGATTGGTTTCCTTATGTGACAGAGGAGGAGCCACAGTAAGTCCTCTCACTCCGTCTCAGACTGGAACCAGTCTTCTAGGTTTGTTGTGATCCAGACCGTTTGAGCTATTAGGATCAAACTGACCGAGAAAAGTAAACATCATGATCCTCATCGTCTGCTTCATCTGTCACGTTTTGCTTGTTTCAGGTAGTTGTATTTCTGCTTCCAATCCTTATGATTTTATGTGTACATTTACAGTTTTATCAATGAAAAACTAAATAAAATCAACAGGTTCTTCTCTAAGTGACCAAGTCCACCAGACTCCTTCTGAAAAGTTCTGCAAAACCGGAGATAAACCCCAAATCAGCTGCAGGCATGAAATTCAGGACTACACCCGGATCTTCTGGTACAAACAGTCGACGGACCACCAGATGCAGCTCCTGGGGTACATGAACGTCAACGACGGCAAGCCAGAGACAGGAGTGAGTGTGGAGATAACGGGGGAAGCAACTAAAGGGAAAACCTGCATCTTAACGATAGAGGGAGTCGACACGAGCAGCAGCGGCGTTTACTTCTGTGCTGCTAGTCGGCACAGTGCTGCACGTCTCTGCTTCTCAGTGCAAAAACCTCCAAACAGCAGGTTTCTTTCATCTGAGGCCAGCAGCTTACTGATTGTTACAGCTGCTTCATCACCTCCAGCTAACACTGTTAAAGCTAATAAAGGCCAGAAGCGTGTAGAGGAGCAAAAACAATTGTTCTCAAGTACAAGTAGCACTACTTCAACCTAATTTTACTCAAATAAAAGTGAAAAGTTGCAAGAAATCCGAGTAAGAGTTTAAAGAAAAAATGTTTGGTAACAGTTGAAAGTATTTGATTTGATATTTGAAAAATTGCATCCTCAAATATAAAGTTATGGGAACGTTTTGGTGTTACAATGCTCACACACTATTCCGACCTACGACCGGGTCCTGTGGTACAAACAGTCGACCCAGTTCCAGTTCCTGGGACACACGTACAAAAACATGTATAATCCCGAAGCCGGGCTGGGTGTGAAGCTGGGTGGGAACGCGGAAAAAGACCAGAACTGCACCTTAACGCTCGAAGTTCTCCACCCAAACAGCAGCGGGGTTTACTTCTGTGCCGCTCGCTACCACAGTGCTACACCTTACTGCTCCTCAGTGCAAAAACCTCCCCTTTGTTTCTATTATTATTATGGCTCACGCTGTCACATAGCTCAGTCTAATGAGCTGTCTCTCTCTCTAAAAGGGGAGGATCTTCTTGAAGCAACACAGTGTTTAACCTCCCTCAGAAATTCAGTGCAACATTTTTAGACCACACCAATGGGAGCCAACAGACGTGATTCAAAAATGATATCTCAAGTTATGATAACATTTCTACTCTTTCTATCAAAGAAGCGAGGTATCACCCCAAAGCATCAGATCGGGCTTTTTTGTTTGTTGATTCAAACACTTGACGAGTTGCTGAATGTCCTTCTGTCTCCTCACAGTTCTCTGCCAGGACGTCGCTCAGGACCCAACAATCAGCTGGAGCTTTATGTCCAAGTCCGCAGAGATGAAATGCAGCCACAAAAAAGATATCTCTTATAACCAGATGTACTGGTACCGGCAGCGGCCGGGGGAGGCCATGACTCTCGTCGTGTACACAATGTTCGGTGGGAAGGCAGACTACGGAGAGAACCTGCAGAGCAAATACTCGGCAGTCAAAGACACAGCAGAGACCGGAGCTCTGACTGTGAAGGACCTGCAGCCTGAAGACAGCGGCGTTTATTTCTGTGCCGTCGGCAAAACACAGTGATGTGAGGAAACACAACAGCTGAACAAAAACCCGACTGCCAATAAAACAGAGATCATCAGAAACCGACGTTGTGCACTGTTGTGACTCTCCAGTAGGTGGCAGTGAGGCTCAATAAATGAGCAGCCTGAACTATACTAAAGACAATTACCTTTACAAACACAGACTCTCAATAGAAAGGGCTTAAGGTGGATTTGAACCACCATTTTCAGTTTTATCATTGTAAAATGTGTCATAAAAAAAAACATTTCAATGTACTTTGTTCAAGAACTGTCAGCATTATGATTTGAATTTTGATGAACTTTGATTGACTCCTTTGACTTGGTGATGCGGGACTCATCACTTCCGCTTCCTGTTGAGCTGCAGGCCGACTCCCCGTCACGTCATTCATCATCACCTCTGAAACTCCATCATCAGCTGCACCCTCAACAGTTCAGTCTGCTGCAAGAATCATCCAAACAACAAATGTTCACTTGAGCAAGAAAAATGAACCCAATCTTTACCTTGTTTTTCCTTGCAGGTAATTATTATTATTATTATTATTTTTACCCCAGAACAGCAAGTATTAAGGATTTGTTTCCCCGACCAGAATAATCAGCATCTTCTCTCCCACTCCCAGGTCTCAGTTTGGGGCTTGAGGTCCATCAGTCTCACTTTGATCTCTTCAAAAGAACCGGTGATAAAGTTCACATTTTCTGCACCCATAAAAAAACCGACTACAGAGTGATGCTCTGGTATCAACGGTCGCCTGGAGACACGGCCATGAAGCTCATTGGATATTTGCACTACGACAAGCCGTCTATGGAAGACGGGTATAAAGAGAACTTTGGGATCTCTGGAGATCTGGGAGGGGATACAGCGAAGAACGGATCCCTGACGATCCAAACCGTGAATCAGAGTCACACTGCTGTTTACTACTGTGCTGCAAGAGAAGCACAATGACAGAAATGCTCTCTGCACCTTAACAAAAACTGTGCTGTGTCTTTATATCACCAGTGGTTATTGTAGAAAACTGACACCTGTTTGTGGTTGTAAAGAAAACTCCTGAAAAATGTGTGAAAGCAGAAGATTTAGATTTCCTATTCAGAGAGAAAATAAAAACAGCAGAACAGAAATAAAAACAGCTTTAGAAAAGAATCAGCATTGTTTGCACATGAATCAGGAGCCTCCCAACCACAATCACACACTATAACTCAACTATCCCTTCAAAATAAAAGTTTGCACACCTGAATCCCTGCATTCTCTAGCATTGATTATGATTCTACAATTTCAAAGAAGCTTCAAAATTTGTGTATTTCGTAAAGCTGCAATTTTTTCAAGACACACAAGTCACATGATCAACAACCAGACATTACTGCTGGCAGAAACGACAAAGAAGACAACAGAAAGTGGTCGGATAATGATGATAATGACTTGTCGCCTGAACAGACTTCTGTACGCGTCATCTTAACTATGTTTCTTATTTAATGCAAAGACCAGAGTGGGAAATTGTTTGTTTGTTTTTTTAGATCAGCAGAATGTCGACAAAGTTTTGCACACATTTGTAATGGAGACGCAGCCGGAGTTGCCAGTCAGACTCTCACCTCTACTGTCGTCCAATGGCTGCTGGAGACAGGCATCCTCCAACTCTGCAAGGACAAGCAGGTACAGACCATAAATGCATCTCTCTCTGGAGTTTGACTGGTTGGAAATTCCTTACGGTCCAGATTAACTGACTGGAGCCTGTTTTCTAAAAATCCTGAGCATCTGAGATTAAACTTTAAACAGAAATCTGCTCGCAAGCTGAGCTTTGAGTCTTTTGACTTTAAGGGGTGGCGTTTCAACGTCACTTCCATTTCCTCTTGAGGATGATTGTCTCTGTCGAAATCTTTTGGCTGCACACCCGACAGTCGACCCGAGTGCTGCGGGACGTTTCTAAGAAGTTCCTTGACACTGAGGAGGAGACATGATCCCGATTTTTGTCTTCTCATGTCTTGCAAGTAATTTTGCTTCAGAACACCGTGGTCTTAAATGATTGTTTCCTTTGGAGGTGAAATCAGTTGTTATATCTCTCCAACTTCTCTCCTGTGCTCAGGTCTCAGTTTGGGGCTGGAGGTCCATCAGTCCCACTCTGAACTCATCAAAACAGCTGGTGATAAAGTTCACATTTTCTGCACCCATGAAAAAACCGACTACAGACAGATTCTCTGGTATCAACGGAGACCTGCAGAGACGGCCTTGAAGCTCATCGGATATTTGTACTTCAAAGATGCGACTATGGAAGAAGAGTATAAACAGGGCTTTGGGATCTTTGGAGATCTGGGAGGGGATACGGCAAAGAACGGATCCCTGACGATCCAAACCGTGAATCAGAGTCACACTGCCGTTTACTACTGTGCTGCAAGAGAAGCACAATGACAGAAATGCTTTCTGCACCTTAACAAAAACTGTGCTGTGTTTTATCATCTGTGGTTTTTATAGACAAATGATTAAACGTCGTTCCAGCACCTGCTCCTGTGGTTGGGAAGACGGAGGATTCAATACACAGACTGAATATCTGAGTCGTGTTGTTGGAATTAAACATTTTTACCACCGACTGAAAACCTGCTGTTGCCCGTTGCGCACACAAATACATACAAACATTTATATACAACAACATCACTGTATTTATGTGACTTTAAAAAAATAATTTTGCGAATGAAAGCTTTATGTTCAATAAGGATTTGAAACAAATGTCAGAAGCAGTTTTTAGTATAAACAAATGTCCATTTTTCTCAAACACGTCTAGAAATAATATAAACCAAATAACGGCGTTTTTTCATACAACATTCCAGCCACAGCTTATGTATTTATTTGCTTCAATTTTGTGCATCACCACAGCTCCTCCTGATTCTGTTCTCTTCTCATCCAGTTTCTTTCCATTTCATACTTTTTTCATTGTTTTTTCTTTTACAATGTCTAATTATTATGGTTGTTACCTTTGACCTTTGTTTCATTTTCTGTTTACACGTGTTTACGCCAGCAGGGGGCGCTCTAAACCTCAAGTTTTCGTACAAAGGCTTTTGATAAAAATATGGAACACTATTTAAAGTAACACTTCGTTCATTATAAAGTGGGAACCATAAAAGCGTCTGCTCCTGGTCTGTCATGTGACTCTGATGTCATTTCCTCAAGTCTCTTCCTGTTTCTCATCCCTCTCATAATCATTTCAGCTAAATCACTTTAAGAAAAGGAGCAAAATGATTTCATTTTTAATTCTCTGTTCCCTCACAGGTATTGTGAACAATACATTTCCTTTTAAAAACAAGTTCTTGTACCTCTTATGGTTCCCTGCTGACCATTCGTGCTCCTTCTCCACTTGTATCTACTCAGCTTGATTCTACTTGGTCACCAGGTTTGAATTGGGCTGAAAACGTAGCAGCAGAAGACCAGGTTCTGATCGACTGGAAGGCGGAGTCACTGTGTGATGTATTTGATGTATTTGGTGTATTTTGGAGTTCAGTCCAACACAAAAAGCTCATCACTTCCTGTCTCTCCTGTCAAGGTAAAGACACAGCTGGTTTCTGGCATTCAACATGAAGCCATCGCTTGTCTTCATCACCATCGCCTTCTGGATTGAAGGTATAGCTTGTTTATTAATCAAAGTTTGTTTTACAGTTTTAACCTAGCAAGGTGAATTTGTAGATTTGCAAGTGCCGTCGATTGAATTCACTCCTAAAAATCAATCTTTTCTCAGGAGTCTACCTCAGCAAAGACAAGCAGGTGTCTCAGTTCCCGGCGGACGTTCTGGTCCAATCGAACGACAACGTCAGCCTGACCTTCACTCATTCAATCCAGAGCTACGACACGATCCTCTGGTACCAGCGCTCACCGGGAGACACTGCCCTGAAGCTGATCGGCTACATCTATTATACAAACGTCAATATGGAGTCGGAATTTAAACAGCACTTTCAGATCAGCGGAGATGGAGAGAAGATGGCTCATCTTCAACTCCTGAACACGAGACACCCTGAAGATAGCGGAGAATATTTCGGGGCTGCACGTCAACACACAGTATTAAAAGAGAGAGACTCTGCCGTACAAAAAACCTCCAGAGTAATCCAGACAGCAACCACAGCCCAGCAGGAAACCAGAGGCATGTGACAGCAAATGAAAGCTGGAGGGGAAAAAAAACAACAAAAACCTCATGCCTTGAGTATTAATAATACCCTAAAATCAGTAAATAAAAAGCTACATTTGTTCATTGTTATTGGGGCCTGCCTCTTAGAAAATAGATGGTAAAACTCACTTTCCTGTCCAAACACAATGGTTGAAATGCTCTGTGTCATTAATGTACGACTGATTTACTCACTGAAACTCTGCAACTTAATGGGTTTTTTTTTCGATTTAAGCTGCGAATATCTCTTTTAGTAGTTAGTAACTCACACACTCTAAAACACAGACACACGCAATAATAATAATAATAATAATAATAATAGTCGTTACATTGACTCAACACTTCAACTGCAATCAAAGACATTCAAAACACAAACAAATGAAAATAATTTGTAGGTTTCTAGTGGATTGAAAAGATGAAAAGATGAGCTTCTCCTCTTCATCTCTGTTGACCACACTTCAAAATGTATCTATATGAGATTTGTTTGAATTTCAGCTGTTAAAGCTGCACATTTCCACTCCAAAATGTTGATTAAACTGCACCAAAACAAAAGGAATCCAAATTATCGCCAATATTATTGGTTAAAATCCAACAGTCGACTTCATCGGTGGCATGTTGCTTCACGAAACTTCATTTTCATTTTGCTTGGAAGAAAAGATTCAAATTTTGTAGGAGAAGAAAACTTGCAAAAGTGCATTAAGTAAATGTTTCAGTTCATGCTGGTTAAGATGAAGTATTTGTTGAAGTACTGAGCTGATATTTTGACAGGGACAGATTTTACTTCCTGTCACGTGGTCACATGACTTCTTGTTCAGTCGATCTCTGCAGCTGCTGCACTCAGATCAGGTCAGGGCCGCTCATCGGTGACATGCTTCTCAGGGGGGTTTTTCTGTCCCTGTTGGTGTCCTCCGGTGGGTGGCAGGTTTGGATTTCACTGAAGAATTGAAATACATTTATACATTTCTATATCTGAACATGGCAGCACATTGAAACTCTCCTCTCCGTATGCTGCAGGTTTCTCTGTTACGGTGCTCCAGTCTGCAGATCAGGTCGTTTCCTCGAATGCTGATGCGACGTTAGAGTGCAGCGTGGGCGCCGGGTACTCCATGATCAGCTACACCATGCTCTGGTACCGACAGAACCGCCCCGGGGCCGAAATCCAGCTCCTTCTCACAGAATATGAATCGACGGCCGGGCGCTACCGTTCGTCACATGAAGCCGCGAATAACAAATTTTCTCTCAGCATTCCGGGCCTGACAGTGAACGACAGCAGCACCTACTACTGCGCTGCCAGGCACAGTGAGGCACTCAGACCAAACACTCGTACAAATACATGACTGACTGCGACAGAGGCAGGAAGGAGCTGTGGCTCCACTCATCAGGTTTCCCACATCAGGATGTGATAAAGGATGATCTTTTCCTCACCACGTTGTAAACTAACTTCAAGCTTTGTTGTATATTTTTAGGGAGAAGTGTTGCATGACACAGTATTAGCCAACCTTCACTTGGCGTACAGATAACCTCATATTTCGCTTTTTTTATGTTTTTTTTTTTTTTTTGTTTAAAATTTTGTCACACTTACGTGTTTCAGATCATCAAAAAAACATCAATGACCTGACTAAATACACAAAGCAGTTCTCACGTTATTATGTAATTTAAGTCCTGACAAATTTTCCACTTCCAACACAATATCAATGCTGCCACCTTTGAGAGTCGACCGATACTGATATGGACCCGATGTGATATCAGCATCTGGCCTTGAGTCAGAATCAGACATACTTTTATCAGTGATTTTGTGGTCTGGATTGCTTTAATCAAGTGATATTACTCAGAGGACAATAGTTAATAGTAGGTATGAAAACGATGAAGTGCTTGTAACTGAGATTTTAATGCAGCCTGATATAATTAAATCCTCTTTTTTTTTTTGGCTGATATCGGACCAATTTCCGATAACGGATCGGGACAATCATTCATAAATGAATGTTTTGAATGTCTGTTTATCTTCTCGGATGCCAGTGCTGTCCGATGAAATCCCAGCTCTGAACATTTTGGACTGGGATTGCAAGATCAAGGTATATTCTCAAATAATCAAATAGCTGCAGAAGATCAAACTTCTGTTCTGGAGATGTAACAACTATCTCATGTTGTGAATCCAGATTGTCACGCTATTTCTGACTTCTTAACACCCCCAATTAATGAAGATAGCAAATTGATTTTAGTGTAACGAAAGTCTCTGAACCAACATCCCAGAGATTGTGGTGAAAAGCTTTCGCTGCAGTTGCAGCTCGTTGGCCACCAGGTGTCTCCAGCTGAGCAGTTGAGATCAATAAAGTCTCTCTGGGAGGGAATAAGAAGAGTCAGAGCAGCAGAGGCTGAAGCTGAAGCAGTCGCATCCAATTTTGTATCTATAATGAATCCAGCAAACAATTTGGTCTTGGTCACAGTGATGATCTGCGCGGGTAAGAACATCTAACAGCTCAAAGAGTCTGTGATTTTTCAAAGTAATGATGATTTTTGTTTCTTTGTTTTTGCAGGCGTTTCCATTGGTCTTATAATTGATCAACCTCCATCTTTATTGCCCAAAGTCGGGCAACAGGCTGTGAACTTGAAATGTGAACAAGACGACAGTCAGCACCTGAACATGTACTGGTACAGGCAACTAAGCAGCAGCAGCAGCATGGAGTTGGTGGCATACTCCGTCGGTAAAGACATTTCAACTATCGAAGCTCCGTTTAAGGACACCAAGTACTCCATGTCCCGTCCGTCGACGCTCAGCTCCACGCTGCAGATCAACAGGGTCGATCCTGGAGACTCGGCTGTGTATTACTGCGCTTCCAGCAAAGCACAGAGCTTCAAAAAGCATCGAGAGCAATGCAAAAACCTCAGCAGAACATTTCTATTAATGTGGATTCAGAATAGGAAGGGCAAAAAAAAACATGTTCCTTGATGCACAGCGTCATGTTTCTGCAGCACCACAAAGCAGATCAGATAAGTCAGCAGGCGTCAACTCCAAGGTTCAGTAATCTCCTGAGACGTCCTTTCATTTTTCATTTGCTTTGATTGTTTCCTCAGTTTGACAGGAGATTAAGATCAATAGATTATCTCACAGTGCCCTCTTCTGGCTTTATGTGTAATTACAGCAAAGCACCAAGACTAGAATGCCATATTGAAACAATTTCTCATTCGATTTGATTCAAAAATACTTTTTTAATCCCAAAGAGGAATTAAATGTGGCTATAACTCATAGTACTTTAAGATACTTCAAAGAGTAGATTGTGATGGCTGCTGGCAGTCCTGTAGCAGTCTGTGCCACAGGGAATCTTTTCTATATGCCATATTTTCCGGACTATAGAGCACACCTCACGATGAGCCGCACACACAAAGTTTTTAAAAATAGAAGAACTCATTTCAACTTTCAACGTTGAGAAAGTTTTGTTCGGACTCTGAAAACATTGTTTCTGTTTCATTGTCATCGTTCCAATTTTATATTTTGTTAACATAAGAACCTTAAACTCAATACACACATCAGTGGATGTTCTCTCTTTCTCTGCTGACTGATTGGCTGCAGAGTCGTGACCAGCTGACGTGTCACTTCCTGTTTATACCTCCAAACAAACAAAAGCAGCCAGCAGCTTCCTGTCCTCTGCTCTGCCTTCTTTTCTTAGTCGACCCAGAAATAGCAGCAGGCAGCTTGGAGCGGCTCCAGCGTCAAGTGGGCCCGACCTCCACAGCTGCTCCCACAGAGACTCACAGATGGAGGCTGAGATACAGAGAGGGGCTGGGGGGGGGGGAGACGGAGGAGGCAGGTTTTTGTGTGATGCTTTTTCACCGTGGGGACAGGGGGCCACGGTGATACAATCCCATAGAGCCGTCGTACAAAAAACCTCCTGCCATTAACATCCATCATGTGGACGGCTGAGTGGATCTCAGAGAGCAGCAGCGGGAAGCAGGTGGAGGGCAGGGTGGAGGCTCAGCCAGGCCTTAAGAAACACTTTGATATGTAGAAAGTGAAGCAGAAACAGCTTTTATTAGCAGATGTTTGAGTTTACACATGGAGCCATTGGATCGTGTGATCCTCAGGGTCAGAAATCACAACTTCTTTAAACCTTATGAAGCTCATCCTGCAGGTTTGACCTTCCTGATGATCTGGGCTTTTACAGCCAGTCTGAAGGAGAAGATTCTGGAAAGTTTGGAGACTTTTTGGTCCAGGAGAGATTCAGTGTGACACTGGAAACGAAGCTTACTTTGGAAAAGGAACCAAACTCACAGTTTTAGGTAAGTTGGATTCTTACATGTTCAGGTTTAGATCAAATTTAAAGTGAACACAAAGGTCAGGTGGGAATAAAGAAAAGTCTTAGATTTTAAAAGTTCAGATGTATTAACCTGAAGTTGAAGCACTGTGACCTACACCGATCCTGCTTACTTTGGAAAAGGAACCAAACTCACAGTTTTAGGTAAGTTTAACTTCTGACATGTTCAGTTCTCTTTGTTATGGTGAAACTGAACAGTTCAGTAAAGAATGAATCTGTCCAGTTTAAGTTCTGACATATTGAGCTGAACTCAGAGCACTGTGACCAACAGAGATCCTGCTTACTTTGGCCAAGGAACCAAACTGACAGTTTTAGGTAAATGTTTCACTTCATCACAGAGTTTCAATGAATAATACTTTGACTAGACCCTCGGGATGCTTTATTAAGTTAAATGTGAGAGGCAAACAGGTTCATGTTCAGTATCTCTTCACTGTGACAACGCCAACGAAGCTTACTTTGGAAAAGGAACCAAACTAACAGTTTTAGGTGAGTAAAAGATGCATGAAAAGCAACTAAAATCCAAATTTTTCTACAACGTTAGCATAGTGACAGTGTTGTTAGTCATAGTTCAAGTCCAACTCGGCACTTTTTGACATCAAGCCGAAGCTCTGTGCCAACAACGAAGCTTATTTCGGACAGGGAACCAAACTGACTGTTCTGGGTGAGTGAAACGTTACTTTTCAAAACAAAGATCAGAAAGTAGTAATAGAAGAAATATATGTCTCAGATTGAAGGGAGGTTTAAATGTTAGTCGGTGAGATAAACAGTTGAATCCGTTTCCAAAGTGACATCCTGCACTGATCTGCTTCACTGTGACTCTGGTTACAACGAAGCTTTCTTTGGAGCAGGAACCAAGTTAACGGTTCTGGGTAAATATGATTTGAAACTTTGTGTTTTTGTTGTTCAAATTACATTATTTGACAGAACAAAGTTAGAAGAGATGGAATAAAGAGAAGCATGCTGCTCGCTGGATGGTTTGTATCCAGTTGATAAAAATGAGGTCGTCGTAGCTTTAGATAAAAGCTCGAGGTTAAGAGACCTGAGCGGTTTCGGGTACCGACGCTCAACACTGTGACTCTGGTTATGAAGCTTTCTTCGGCGCAGGAACCAAGTTAACCGTTTTAGGTAAGAACCATCCTGGACAAGGTCAATTAAAAGGTGAAAACTTAAGAATCACAGTGAGTATAGAAATCTGTTTGGCTGGAAGTAATAGGAATGAAAAGAATCTGCTGATCCGGCGCTGAGGAAAGTTTCAGCTCTGCTTTTTGCCATGAAGCTTGAACACTGTGTCAGTACGAAGCTTACTTTGGTCAGGGAACCAGACTGACTGTTCTCGGTGAGTGAAACTCCTCAAATCCTAAAAAGATGTTTTCATGCAAAACCAACATTATTCAGACCAGTTGTTTGATGCAAAGCAAAAAGCTACGTTTGTTTCATGAAGGAGAGTATAAAGCTATGAATTCACACAGCTGATGAGTTTTTAGCACAGAGGAACAAAATGAACCGTTTAGGTAAAAAAAACATGTTAAAGTTTATTCAGAGATGCTTAGAAATGAAATTGTTGCTCCTAATTCTCAGAATCCCCCCCCCCAAAAAATGCAACTTATATTAAATCAGAGTCTTCAGATGAGAGAAATATAAGTTTTGGAGGGATTTATAGAGTTGGCAGGAAGAGGTTTTGTTAGGGTTAGGGAAGCTTGGGGTCTAACTGGGTCTAAACTCACTGCTTTAAGGAAGAAACTCAAATGTATTGGTAAAAAAAATAAATAATTATAATTCAGTGGCAAATAGTTCCAAAGGCACTTAGAAAATACTCTGATCTAAAGGGAAAAATAGATTTTGGTGATAAAGAGTTTGTTTGGGTGTAAAAGAGGTTAAAGACTGCAGGTTTTTCCTGCAGCCGTTTATCAGTGTGAACTACTACGATCCTGCTTACTTTGGAGCTGGAACTAAACTCACTGTTTTAGGTAAGAGAAATGACCAAAAGATGGATGTAAAGTGTGCAAATGATATCAAATTGTTTGACTTTTAATTCTTCCTTTTTGTATTTCTGTATGGGTAGAAAATAATTCAGTTCAGTGCAGAAAGAGAGAAAGAGAGAGAGGTTTTCTCATTTAATAAAACGGCATCCGTTTCAGTTTTGATGTATTTAAAGTTTCAAAGATGTGAAGGGATACGTCAAAACAAAACCTGAAAATAAAACATCGAAGGGAGACAAATTCTGCCTCTGTCAATGTTCTGGTTCATGTATCGTTTGTTGGGTTTTCTGCCTGTGACTGAGTTCTGTGCTCCGATTCTTATCCTGCTTATTTTGGAGAGGGAACCAAACTCACAGTTCTTGGTGAGAAGAAAATACTAATAAAAAAGAAACTCAGTCATGATTTCTGATAGTGCTTCAGATTTTGACCATGCAGATCAGAGTAACTCTTTTTATGTCGTCTTTTTTTAATAAACAGAAGATGGAATGAAAGTCACTAAACCAAAGGTGAAAATCCTTCGACCTTCGCCCGATGAGTGCAGAGACCAGAAGAAGGAAGAGGGCAAAAGGAGGAAGACCCTGGTGTGTGTGGCGTCTGGTTTCTACCCGGATCATGTCAGCGTGTTCTGGCAGCGCAACAACCAGAACATCACTGATGGCGTGGCGACTGACGCCAACGCCACCAAGAATGAAACCTCAGGATTGTACTCCATCACCAGCAGGCTGAGGATGGACGCCAAGACCTGGTTCAATCCTGACAATGAATTCAGTTGTTACGTCGCATTCTTTAATGGAACGGGCTACACAAACTACACAGATTCCATTTACAGTATGTTATTTTCAGAAAACAATCCTCCTTTAGTAACTTTTTATGCTTCAGGTTTAGTAATCGTCATTTTCTTTCTTTTTTGTCTTTCAGCAAATGAATCGGACACGGGGATGACACGAGGTAAAAAATACAAATCACTTTAAGTATGTTTATGCTTGCCAACAGGTTGGTCATTCGCCTTCACAGCTCTAACGTTTCCTCATCTCCCTGCAGAGAGATACTTGAAAATCACCCAGAACGCCAAACTCTCCTACAGCGCCCTGATCCTGAAGAGCTGCCTCTACGCCGCCTTGGTCTGCTTTCTGGTCTGGAAGCTTCAGGTCTGCAGCTTTATCTGAACTTCCCAGCTACAACCTGAAATGATCTGTTCCTGGTGTTATTTTGAAACGGATGCAGCCAGGTTAGATTAGCAGCAGGACAGACGTGGAAGCAGCTGTGGGAAAGTGACAGCAAAGGCAACAAGAAGAACAAAAACAGCACAAGTATAACTAACTGCTGATGAGAGTAAAATAAACACTATTTCAGTGTATTCATGTAAAGCTGTTGTATGATTTGATTTGTATAAACGGTCAAAATAAATTAATGACATAAAGAGAACAGTGGAACCACCAGGTTGGTGGAAGGGCAGCAGTATCAGTACAGTTTACCATAGAGCTGATAACTAGAAAAAACTGGCAAAATTTGGAGCTTCAAATATATTTTATATCTCAAATCAGGTAAAAAAATAAATAAACTTTTAAAAGAAAATCTAAAGAGAATCAAGACTTTTATTTCGAAGTCGACGGCCATTTTGACTCTCGCTGTAGGAACTCATCTTGTGACGCAGATTCTGAAATTCTAATCTGAGTTTTTTGGTTTTGGTGTGATACTGTGATCATTTTTTTTCCTGTTTGTTTTTGCAGAGTTCACCAAAAAAACAGAAGCAGTGAGAGCCGACATCTTCAGGAGAAACATCTTCTTTCTTTTTCTATTGTTATTTTTAGCTTCTGTAAATGAAACGCGTGAAAATGGCAGGTGGAGACGTCCAACCTGACCCAAACAATCTGAATATTAAAAACATGCAGGTTTTCTTGTTGAAAGGCAAATAGTCTCTCTGTGTTTTGTTCAGCGCTTCCCATGTGATCTTTTCATGTATTTACTCAATAAAGACACGCAAGCAAATTTTTTCGTTTTTGCAATGATTTCATTCTCTCTCTTCTCATCACTTGTTCCAAAGACGGTGTTGTTATTTTGTCTGTTTTCCGAGAAATCTTTTTTTTTTTCTTGGCATGAACCTGAAACTGAGTCATAATAAGATTCTTAGTTAAAAAACAAAAAACGTTATCAGCTTTTTGACTACTTAAGGACAAATATCTTACATTATCTTCAGGTTACATATAAATATTCCAGTTTTTTTTTTTTTTTTGCATATGGTGAGATGGTTGCTATGGTTTCCGTTCTTTGTCAGAGAGAGCGCTCTGCATGTGAGAACAGGAAGTCAGGGTTCTGATGTGAGCTGCTGCAGAGCGACAGGATGCGGTGGCAGAGCAGCCGCTGAGAAACAAGCCTCGCAACCTTCGACCTTTACCGCAACCTCCGGCTTTATGACTGCACCTGCACCGCCTACGCACACACACACACACACCCACACACACACACACACACGCGCGCGCGCGCGCGCACACACACACACACACGCACACACACACACACACACACACACACACTCACTCACGCTGTGTGTGTTGGAGCAAACAGCTGGCACAGGCTGCATTTCTGTCTCAACTGAAGCTCAAAACCAAACGTGTCTCTATATGTGTCACAGCAGCTGCTGCTTAAGGTGATCTGGGGTGAAACCTTGAAATGAGTTCATTTATCTTACATGTAATTTGTAAATATATATATATATATATATATATATATATATATTTTTTTTTTTTTTCTTCTTTTTTTTTTTTTCACTGTGTGTGCAGAATGCCTACTAGAAAAAAAAGTTACCAGTAATTTTTCGGTGGAGTTTTGGTGTTTTACCATATATTTAGAACTGTTGTTTTGTTTTATTTATTTACTCTTCTTTTTTTTAACAGTGCATCTTCTTTGAATCATCCTCAAACATTTAAATTTTAATTATTCTCGCTCCGAGTCAAACTGAGAAGGAAATATCTGTTACTTGAACAAAAACACATTTGTTCGGAAAAAAGAAACAACAGGAAACACGTGTGAGGCAGCAACAGACTCAGGTTTTCTGTGACATCTGTTGTCTGATTATACTCCTCCTACTAAGAGCTGTCGCAACATACCCCTCCACATAAAAACATCATATGGTAAAAAGAATTTTGAAAAACAACCAATACATGTTACATTTTTGTTCATTAAATTACAGATTCCATTGCAAAATATCATTTTTGTTCAAATACCATGCGAAATAATTCATCGCCCTTTAACCTTTTCACTTTTTGTCACATAATATGAAGTGTAACATTTGTAAAACATGCACAGCATACACAAAAATCTTTTTTTTGGACTGGCTCAGTTGCTCTGATCAGATGAAATTAAAATTTGATCTTTGCTTTGCATACAAACCCCTGATACATCACAGAAACTAACTGAAAAGTTTCTTCCACACTGACAGGAAAGCCGGTTCGAAAATGTTGCAGGATGCAAAAGCACTGAGAAAAACGGCTGGACAGTGACTTTAAAACAACAACATCTATGTGTTTGAATTTCTCAGTCGAAGTCCAAGTTTGGGAACCGATGTTTATAGATCACCAACCGTCTCTGAGAAAAATGGGTTAAAGTTACAGTGGGCGTAAAGAGAAGCCTTGCAGCTGCGACTGCAGGAAAGTGTGGAGCTGCAAACCGTTTGCTAAGGATGGATGCTAATCATGTTTTTTGTACAAAACCTTTTAAATCATATATCATTTTTCTTTCCATTTCACTGTAATGTCTTATTTTGTGTCGGCCTGTTGCGTAAACTCCTGTAAAATACAAAATCTAATGGTTTTAATATTTCTGCAAGCTAGTATAGATAATAATTATAAATCATTATGTAGTTTGATAGACATCATCATGCATTAAAAGACATTTTTCAGCATGTGACTAACATACATTTTAAATAGTTACGAGCCTCAATTGTAATTCTGAGCTCTTATAACATCGCTGCTGTCTGTCACATCTGATTAAAATAATACAGTTATATAGTTAAGAGTTTAATTAATCCCAAGCTTACACAACAGATTGAAATTTTAATAGTTCCAAATGAGCTGAAGGACTTTGAATTGAATTTCCCTTTGGGATCAATAAAAGAGTTTTGAATTTGAACCCTGTTGCGGCTTCAGAAATGAGACGTTTCACATGTTGGACACGGAGCAAACTACAATAAATCATGAAAGTTTGGTGAAACTAATGCCGATTTGTTCAAAACAACAGCAACAAAAAGACAGTCTTATGAAACATCGGCGTGGCTTAAATAAATTCACTTACTAATGGCTCAAAAAGATCACATTTGTTTCATAAATCTATTTTTAATTAACGCATGTGATACATTCCCTCCTAGCGGCTTAACATGGTATAAAAGCAGCAAATCCATCAGTTTGATCAGGTGACACATCATAATAAAACCATTGGAACAATCTTTGAAAATACTATTAAACCTCACTTTTGCAGAACGGCACTTTAACTGGACGGATGTTGCTTGTGTAAAATAATCAGATCAGCTTTCAGGAAGAAAACAACAAAAACAAAACAGGAAATAAAGTGAACTGGTGTTCCATGCATTCTGATTTTCTCTACTTCCTTGAATCAGCGTCCATTGAGAACAACCGGCGTCCTCTGCTGGACAGCCTGCAATACTGCTGTCAATCAGAGCAGCAAATCTCTGAACTTGAACAGATTTTAGGTGAAGCTTATTTGATTTAGATGTGAACAAACTCACAAAAAGGGAATTCAATGCATCAGCAGATAATAAAGTATCTGCAAGCACCAAGAATACTATTTTATTATGTGGTTGTTTACCAATGAAAGCTCTGCTGCTTTCTATCACGTGTTTTCATTTCAGCTGTATTCAACCTCTAAATCCAAAATTGAAAAAAACAGTCTGGGACCAAAAGTGCTTTTTGTTTTTTGTTTTTTTCGCTTCAACGTTATTCTTCGATGTTTCGCAGTTTAAAAAAAATACACATTTTGACATTTATTTTCCCTTGTGATAAGGGTAACAAACCTGTTAGTATTTTTCTAAAAATTAATATTAAGGAATTATTCATTTAAATTGAGCTTCTATATCTTGCTGATGAATTTCTTGTGGATTAATTTAGTTTTATTCCAAGTGTATTGATATCTGCATTAGAATAAAGGAGGGGAAAAATACTCGGTGAGCTTTTGTTTGTTAAGTTTGCAACGTCATTTCTTGTCTTAAAGTTCTCAATGGCCTGGAAATACTCACTGAATCTATCAGAGTGAGAGTTTTATTTCGATGGAAGCTTGGGAAATTCTTTGGTACTCTACTCCTGACAGGTACCTTTTTGCAAATTCTGGAAGCAAAGGCAGCAAAGCGCACCTGCCCTTTGACCTCTTTGGAAGAAAGTGCTCTTTTGAAATACATGGAGGGGGTTTAATGTCGTGTAGCGTGTGGTCAAATGCAGCAGTCTGGATTCGGGATAAGCCTGTGTTACCAGAGCAGGCCTCCCATGCCACTCCCCCACTCGGCTCCTTCAGACTAGCCAGAAGCAATTAGCAAACACTTGGTTGCTTAGTGGAACAGAGGATCTGCTGAGCTCAGTAGAGGAGCTATTTCTCTATAAAACACTGGTATAAACGCTGTTGAAGGGTTAATAGAGGAGCCATGTTGTGATGACTTCCTAAAGGTGGAGTTTCAGAAAGAGAGGGAGCTTCTTAAAGAGACAGAGGCCCAACTTCAAAGCAATAATAATGAAGCCAAATTTCTTTTAAGTCATACGTGATATAAATATATATATATAATTTTTTGTAAATGAAGGTAATAGTTACTTGATCATGCTTTAAAATTGCATTCTTTGAACAATAAATAATACTGCCCCTTTAAAGGACTTTAACTTGCCCACAAATCCTGCTTAGTTGTGTAATGCCTATATATGCAACTTATTTTTACTCTGAGTCTGAAAAAACTCTCAAAACAAATTTTTAGATGATAGCTAAAAGTCAACTTTCTCTATTTATCTGCACATCATTGAACTGACACAAATGTCATTAGAATGGATGGAAGATTCAGCACTGAAGAGTCACAGCAAACCACAAATCCACATCACACAGAGCTGCAAGGTGAATGCCTCGGGGTCCGCCTCCCTGCAGCTCATAACTGCAGCTCCACACCATGATCAGGCAGCAAGACATCCTCGTCTCGTTTTCCGTCTTTCTCCTGTGGACATCAGGTGATTAAAAAGAAACTTGGATTAAAAATAAATTCAGTTTCGATCCACATTTTTGCGAGATGTTTCAGTTCTGTTCAACCCAGGTGGTGTCGGTGGGAGCGATGTTTCCCAAAACCCGATGCTGTGGAAGTCTGTGGGTCAAGATGCAACGATGGAGTGCAGCCACACCAAGGGTGCTAGCTATTACCAGATGTATTGGTACCGACAGCTGCCTGGAGAAACAATGAAACTCGTCGTGTTCACGTCGACGGCTTCGAAAGATCACGACTTCGGGGATTTCAGTAAAGACAAATTCTCAGCATCCAAGACTGAAGCCGAGAGAGGATCGTTCACAGTGAAGAGCCTGAAGGCAGAAGACAAAGGCTTGTACTTTTGCGCTGTGAGTCAACACAGTGATGGAACCGCATGGGAGAGATGAGCAAAAACCTCTGAGCTCTTCTCACCTCAGCTGGAACCACACAGTCTGAGCGACACACTCCTGTATCCGATGGTTCACATCTCCAGAGAAGATCTCGCATTACACTCTGAGTTTAAGTCACCCTAAAAGAGTCATCTGGTTTTTTACTCATACTGTCTCCGTCTCATTGGAAACGTCTGCTGAATGTGAGATGTTTCTTTTATTATTATTACTTCTATAAACTCAATCAATGAACAAAGTGAATTTGGTGAGAAGTCCAGAAAAATGAGGATGGTAAATTGTGTTTTGAAGTGCGGAAATTTACATAATCACTAAATGGATATAAAGAGTTGACTTTATATTTAGACAGTATTATTAAAAAAACAAAAACATGTTAAAATCATGTCTGATTCTGAACTTATCAAACATGCAAATTCGAAATTTCAAGTTTTAATAATAATAAAACATTTTCCATGGGATCTTCCTCAATTCTATATGAATACACTTCAAGTCTCTATACTTACTTTAAATATAATTGGGTAAACATTAAGACTCAGGATAAAAATAAACTGACTTGGAGGTCGTCTGTTTGGAGACGTAACATATTACGTACGTACATAGGTATTATGTATTTTCTAGCCACATAAAACCATTTTGTAGCACTACCAAGCAGCTATGTTGCTTTCATTTGTTATAAAAATGCCACTATATTAAAACATGACCAAAAAAAATTATTTAGCCAATTAATGCTTTGAAATTGGGCCTCTGTCTCTTTAAGAAGCTCCTGTTCTTTCTGAAACTCCGCCTTCAGCACACAGCCCATCGCAACCTGTAAAATGCGTGGAGCATCTCGGTTTGTCTCCTTGGTGTGGAGACAAACAGGAAGTTGTAGACGCCATGAGAAGAAACCTCAGCAGCATCGCTCTGCTGCTGCTCTGCTGCTGCCGTAGGTTGGACTCCACAAACGTTTACATAGAAAAGTATATTTTCACATCCATTTTTCTAAATTTTCTTTTTCTTTTCAACACAGATTGTTCTCTGAGCGGTGATGTCCAGCAGGATCCACCAGCAATATTGGGAACTCTTCAGGGTCCTGCAACAATCACCTGCAGCCACTCAGTCAGCTCTTACAACGTGATTCTCTGGTACCAGAAGCCGACGAGCGGCTCTGCCCTGAAGTTAGTCGGTCATACTTTGTACGACAGATCAACGATGGAGGCTGAATTCGATGGTTTTCCGGGCGGAAACCTTGGTTGTATTTGTTTTTCTAAATGCAAAAATGCAAAATCAGAGCAGCTTGACTTTTGGAAAGAGGAGGCGTGGAGGCTCCTCCCATTTTAGTTTAGTTCTGTGGTTACAACAGAGCTTCAGGGCAAAGTGGCCCCAACCAGAACCAGCAATGTTCCTCCTCTGCTGCATCAGCCTGCAGGCCGTACTGGTTTCAGGTAAACTGCTGATTTTGAGGATGAATTTTGACTTTTTTTTCCTTTTTAAAGAATAAAAGTTTTTTTTTATTTGAACTCTTGCTTCCTGGTCGTTTCTTGTTTCTCGTCGCCTCTTCCACAGGTTCCTCCCTGAGCGACAAAATCACCCAAACTCCAGACCACGCTTTCAAAGACCACGGCGAAACACTTGCCATCAGCTGTTCCCACAGCATTGAGAGCTACGACCAAATCCTCTGGTACAGACAGACGGACGGCCGCGAGCTGCGGCTGCTGGGATACATGTACGGAACCTCTTCGTTCCCAGAAAAGGAGCTGAACGTGTCAATAGACGGGGACGCCAACAGAGACAAAACATGCACCATAACCATTACGGGACTGGGCCCAGACAGCAGCGCGGTTTACTTCTGTGCCGCCCGCTACCACAGTGCTGCATGTCTCTGCTCCTCAACGCATAAACCTCCTCATGCTCCCTGCGCAGCTGTTTTACCTCCTTTGATGAGGCGAGGCCGCGTGTCACCACTAATGTGAACCTGAGTGAAGTCGCCCCCTCCCCCCCCCCCCTTCTTCAAATCAGACAAAGTTGGTGTCAAACATTTGTGCTACGTTTGTGCAGCAACATTTTTTTGTCTGTAGCTGCTTTGGCTTTGAAGATATTAATTAAAGTTCAAAGGTCAAAAGGTCAACCAGCCCCCCCTCTTTCATAAAATCAAACAAAGCAGGTGTCAATCAACTCGGCTACGTTTGTGCTTTGTTCCAGCACAAACGTAAATGTAGCACAAATGTTTGACACCAATTTTGTTTGATTTCATCAAAGTGTGTAAGGGAGGGGCTAGTTGACCTTTGATGACCTCTAGAAACGTTTCTTTATATCTTCAAAATGAAGACAAATACAAATACGATAATATTCAGGTCTGGTCTAACGCCCTCCTAGCGGATTTTCTTTTTTTTTTTTTTGCTGTTGCCTCAAAGGAAAAGACGTAGAGCAACTGGTTGAGCTGCTGAGAACGCGGCAGAACAATAACCAACAGAATGAGAGCCAAACTCCTGATAACCGCTTTCAGCGCTGTGCAGGTCGGCCAGACTCCGTGGACGATTCTGGCGAAGCGAGGAGAGGCAGCCAGCATCAGCTGCTCTCACAGGATCCAGAACTACAACGTGATCCTCTGGGACAGGAGACTGGAGGACAAACAGCTGCAGCTGCTGGGGTATGGGTGTTTGGGCGAAAGCTTTCCAGAACCTGGAGTGGACGTGGAGATGCAGGGGAGCGCCGACAGAGACCAGACCTGCACTTTGATGATGAAGAGGCTGAACGAGAGCAGCAGTGGGTTTTACCTCTGTGCTGCACAGCCACGGATCATCAGCGCAAAAACCTCACCGTCTGTCGAACCGAGCAAACCGTCCTGCAAGTTAGTTGAAATTTGCACGGATAGGTTTTAATTTACACGTAGGTTGAGTGGAACACAACTACGCAGGTTATGATGCAGAACTCTTGTGAGTAAAACGTTTCCTTTGCTGCTCGGTTCATGTTTGACGGATTTCCGCCAGGACCGACTCGTTTTGATGGAGCTCTAGTTCCTCTCTCTAAAAGGGGAGGATCTTCTGTGAGGCGACACGTTATTTGTCCTCCCAGAAATATTCAGCACGTCTCTGATGGACCACAACATGACAGATTCTAAACTCTGAACATTGAAAATAAAAACGATGTGGCAAGTTTTCATCGTCCTTCTACTCCCTCCACTGAGGATTCAAGGTAAATTAAGAGGGATTTAATTGATTTTTTTTTTTAGAATTTAGTCTTTTAATAAAGAAATTTAGTGTAAATTAACTTGATTTTATTTTAAGTAAAATATTTTTTCTTCTTCTTCTCTTGACAGTTCACTGCCAGGACGTCATCCAGGATCCCGTCATCAACTGGAGGCTGAAGGCCGAATCGGCTGAGATGAAATGCAGCCACAAAAAAGACATTTCTTATACCCAGATGTACTGGTACCGGCAGCGGCCAGGGGAGGCCATGACCCTCGTCGTGTACACGCCGTTCAGTGGGCAGCCAGACTACGGAGAGAACCTACAGAGCAAATACTCGGCAGTCAAAGACACCATAGAGACCGGAGCTCTGACTGTGAAGGACCTGCAGCCTGAAGACAGCGGCGTTTATTTCTGTGCTGTCAGCAAAACACATTGATGTGAGGAAACACAACAGCTGAACAAAAACCCGATTGCCAATAAGACAGAGTTCATCAGAAACCCACGTCTGCACTTGTAAAAGTCTCCACTAGGGGGAGCTGGGAATCAAAAAATGATCAGTGATTCGTCGTCTCTAAAGTTTGGTCACAGATTGTGTTTGAGTTTCGCTTCAGGTAGAAACAGAAACCAGTTTTAGAAATTGGTTTTACAAAACCCACTGGAGGGTTTTACAGAATCTATAACATGATCTGATCGCTTCAAACAGAAAAGCAACTGTTGGTCCTACTGCTGCTCAGATGATGATTATTATCGGATATTACTGTCGATCAATAATCTTTTAGCAGCTGGTTAATCCGCTCTGCTAGCTACCCTGCTGCTTTATTGTGGTTAATGCACGTACAGGTGTTGACCAGTCAGTCTTGGTCAGTGCTGCACAGTTAGTGGTTTTTTCTTTGTTGGTGGTTTTGGCGCCCCGCAGTGTAAGAGCACCCTGGGCAGGGAGCCGTGTTACTCACTTAGCCCAGTGATTTACACAGGAGGTCCATTGCTGTAGGAAACCTTAATTTAAAAATGTTATTTTAAAATAAATTTATTAATAAATTATTTAAAATATTTTATTTTTCTTTCGGATAAATGAAGTATTTTTTTATTTAGTGCTTTTTATTTAATTCGATTTAATTAATAGGGATCGATGCAATAAACACTAGTGATATAAATTGTGAAGTGGATGTAAATTTTTTATGGGTTGAAAAAAAAATGTACACATAAAAATCTGAAAAGTGTGGCTTGCATTTGTAATCAGGTAATGAATTGAAGGAGAGCTGTTTGCTGCAAAAACAGTGACAAGCTTTATACGTATAGCGACTTCACTTGTTTTTACTTTACAAAAACAAGTGAGGCTCTGAGGTTGTTCACATCTCAGCTCATGCTCGGTCAGGACTTTGACTAGGCCATACCAACACTTGAACATGCTGTGATCCAAATCATCTCATTGTGGCTCAGTAGCTGCACCTGAGGCTGGAAGGTGAACCTTTGCTTTGGTTTCAAGTCTTTTGACGTCTCTAAGCTGTTTTCTTCCAGTAAAGTCACCAGCTGTTCACACAGAAACAAAAAATCCATGTTTCTGTGTGAAAAAACAGGTTTTCTGCCATCCAAGTATTTGCAGTCTAAAAAAGTTCAGTTCGGGTCTCACCTGACCAGATCGCATTCATTTATATTTCACTCTGTCCCCCACATGGTTTTTTGGTTAACTTTTAGTTGGACGTCCTGTGGCTTTTTTCATCTTTCAGTATCACTTTTTGTTGTTCCATCATGAAATCCCAATTTCAAACATTAAAATCTGCCATTTTAATGGAAGGAAAGAAAAAAAATCAAGGCTTAAAATGAACTATTTGAACAGAAAGCAGCTGAAACTCAAATGAAACCTTCGATTTCAGACATCTGCGTTGAGGCTTTGCATTTCTTCGTCACTTCCCTTTCCTCTGCAGGGCTCAGTTAAATCCTCGTCACCATCAGCAGCACATTCACGTTCATCGCTGGTTCGATTCCAGCTGCAAAAACCTAAACGGTGTCTGTTTGTCTGTCTGTCTGTCTGTCTGCCCTGCGCTGGTGGATTGTCAGCAAATGCTTAACTTACAGAGGTACAATGAATCCTATCTTCATCCTTTCTTACCTCGCAGGTAAACAAAAATTATCACAATGTAGGTGAGTTAACATTTTACGACGTTTCACTAAACATCGTCTCTAACTTTTAGGCGTCAGTCTGTGTGTTGAGGTCAATCAGTCTCCCTCCAGTCTCATCACCCGCGCCGGTTATAAAGTGCAGATCTTCTGCACCTATGATAAGACCGACTACAGGGTGACGCTGTGGTATCAGCGCCCAGCTGGAGACACGGCCATGAACCTGCTGGGGTACCTGAGCTACAAAGACGCCGTCATGGAGGAGACGCACAAGACGGACTTCAACATCTCTGGAGATCTGAGCGTGAACACGTTGAAAAACGCCTCTCTTATGATCAGTGCTGCAGAGGAGAAGCACAGTGCTTTCTACTTCTGTGCAGCAAGTAAAGCACAATGACAAAGAGACACGTCTGAATGGTACAAAAACCGTTCAATGGTTTTATCATCCGTGGTTTCCAGTCTTCCGTGCAGCCTGTTTGTGGTGGATGTGTGCATGAGGGTGTTTTCTAAGGCAACAGTTGTTTTTTTTTTCTTTTTAGCATTTGGTCCTATTTAAATAATCAGGAAGACAACCAGGCAGAGGTCCTTAAGCAATTTTCATTTACAAGGTTTTGTGAAAGCTTCCATCCTAGAAACAAAGGCTCGTCTTCACCATCTCACTCTATAAATGCAGCAAAAAAAGAAGAAAAGAAATAGAATATTCACAATAAAGAAGTGGATCAATTTCCAAAATCTTGGGATTGTGTGCATATTACTCAATCTATAAAACTATACATGAAAAAAAAAAATTCTACAGCCCAAAAAAATCATTCAGTGCAATTACAGCACTCAACAGCAGAGGGATTTCTATGACTTGTTTTTGATTTTTATTTTGTGCATATATCTACTGAATGTTTCAGAACACTGTCACAAAAAACATCTCTTACTTTTTCATCTCTGTCAGTCCAGATACCAACAAACTGGCAATCTAGATAGATAGATAGATAGATAGATAGATAGATAGATAGATAGATAGATAGATAGATAGATAGATAGATAGATAGACATTAAGGAGACATTAAGAAGGTAAAAGGTTTCATTCTCCAGTGTAATATAATCTTTAATCATTCACCGCAGAGCTTTCCCCATGATGATTCAAAGATATCGTACATGTTATCCCTGTTGACGGGTCGAGCACTAGAGTGGGCCGAAGCCAGGTTTACATCCGCCTTGAATTATGGATGTACGTTTCCTGAGTTCCTAAGGGAGTTGAAACAAGTTTTTTGTCAGGAGACTGAAAAGACTTCAGCCTCCCGTGATTTGCATGGTTTGAAGCAGGGCCAGAGGAGTGTGGCTGATTTTGCCATTGATTTCAGAATCAAAGCCGCAGCTTCTGGTTGGAATGCCCCTGCACTTAAAAGTGCATTTTTCCATGCGCGAATTAAAGATGAACTGGCAACTCTAGATGAACCTGAGACTCTAGACGAATTCATCAACCTAACCATAAAATTGGATAACCGAATCCGCTCCAGGGCGAGGGAGCGGTCCAGCCGGGTTTTTTCCCCAGGTGTTTCCCAACACAGTAACCGGTCCGAAGTTCAGGATTCCCCTACCTCTGCCCCTGAACCTGAACCTATGCAACTGGGACACACACGCCTAACCCCAGAGGAACGCCAGAAGCGGATGCGTTCCCGGCTCTGTCTCTACTGTGGTGAGCCTAACCATGTTATCGCTAACTGTCCCATTCGTTTAAACCCGCAGGTCCGGCAGTAAAGACGGGGGAACTGTCGGCGTTATCATCACAGTCAACTAAATCCCGTCTCATCATTCCAGTCACCCTCCTTAGCAATAACGAATCTTTTCCCCTGTCAGCACTCATTGACTCGGGATGCGAACAAAACCTCATAAACTCAGAAATAGTCCAGCAACTGGGCATCAAGGTTGAACCTCTGCCTACCCCTCTCCGTGTTTCAGCCCTGGACGGAGGGAACCTACCACAAATCACCCACCGTACGAAGTCCATACGCCTATTGATCTCAGGTAATCACACCGAAGAGATTGCATTTTTTGTTTTCCCTGCTACCAGTTCCTCCTTAGTTCTGGGATTCGACTGGTTACACGCACACAACCCTCATATCAATTGGGCTGAAGCCAAGATCGAGTCCTGGTCCACAAGGTGTCATTCCACCTGTCTTCTCTCCGCCGTTCCGGGCAGGACCTCCCTGACTGAACAGGCAGAGGTCGATCCACCTGACATATCCTCCATTCCCAGTGAGTACCATGATTTATCTACGGTTTTCAGCAAAGACAAGGCGTTATCTCTACCACCCCACAGGCCGTATGACTGCAGCATTGACCTTTTGCCAGGAGCTCCATTACCCAACAGCAGGTTATACAACATTTCCAGAAGTGAGCGACAGACAATGGAGGACTACATAAACAAATCTCTCGCTGCCGGCATAATCTGCACGTCCTCTTCCCCATTAGGTGCAGGGTTTTTTTTTGTGGAAAAAAAAGATGGGTCCCTACGGCCCTGCATAGATTACAGGGGACTAAATCAAATCACAATAAAGAACAAATATCCATTACCACTGTTGTCCTCAGCTTTCGAGCCTGTGCAAGACGCAACCATTTTCACGAAGCTAGACCTCAGAAACGCTTATCATCTTCTCCGTATTAGAGAAGGTGATGAGTGGAAAACGGCATTTAAGACTCCTATGGGGCACTATGAGTATTTGGTGATGCCTTTTGGTCTCTCTAATGCCCCTGCCTTTTTTCAGACACTTGTGAACGATGTCCTCAGAGATTTCATTAACGTTTTTGTGTTTGTCTACCTAGACGACATTCTGATCTACTCCAAGTCCCTCGTTGAACACAGAAGACACGTCCGTTTGGTTCTCCAGCGGTTGCTTGAAAACAAACTATACGTAAAAGCCGAAAAATGTGAGTTTCACCGTCGATCAGTAACTTTCCTGGGATACGTACTGGAGGGCGGACAGGTAAGAGCGTCAGAGGACAAGATAAAAGCAGTACTGGACTGGCCCAAGCCTGAGACCCGTAAACAACTACAACGATTCTTGGGGTTCGCTAACTTCTATCGAAGATTCATACGCAACTATAGCCAAACTGCATCTCCCCTAACGGCTCTGACCTCCACCAAGAGGGTATTTGCCTGGACCCCTCAAGCAGAGGCTGCCTTCGCGGAACTCAAGTCCCGGTTTGCTCATGCACCCATACTCGTCCAGCCCGATCCCAAGAAGCAGTTTGTGGTGGAAGTTGATGCCTCCGACACAGGGGTCGGAGCTGTCCTCTCCCAGACCACCGACCATGACCATAAGCTTCATCCCTGTGCCTTTTTCTCCCGCAGACTCTCACCGGCGGAAAGAAATTACAACGTTGGGGACAGAGAGCTCCTGGCGATCAAGTTAGCCTTGGAAGAATGGCGACATTGGCTTGAGGGAGCTGAACAACCCATTCTGGTTTGGACAGATCACAAAAACTTATCCTATCTCCAATCCGCTAGGAGGTCCAACCCACGCCAGTCGCGTTGGTCTTTATTTTTTTCTCGCTTTAACCTGTCTATTTCATATCGCCCAGGCTCCAAGAATGTCAAGCCTGATGCGCTCTCTCGAGTTTATTCCTCAGATGACTCTGAAGAAGATCCGGCTCCTATCCTTCCCCCCACCTGCACAGTGGGAGTGGTCACCTGGGAGATCGAGGACCTTATTCGCCAAGCACAGCAAAAGGAACCTGCCCTGAACACTGTCCATCAGGTAAAATGTACGTACCCTTATCGGTTCGATCCCGTTTCCTCCAGTGGATACACGCTTCAAAGTTTTCTGGCCACCCTGGCATCAGTCGCACCATTGGGCTAATAAATCGGAGGTTCTGGTGGGAATCGGTACACAAGGACGTGAAGGAGTACGTCTCGGCCTGTGTGGTCTGCTCCCGCAATAAGTCGTCGAACCATCATCCTGCAGGCCTCCTTCAGCCACTACCCATACCCCGACGACCCTGGTCCCACATCGCGGTCGACTTTGTCACTGGACTACCTACCTCTAAAGGTATGACTACCATTCTCACCATCGTCGATCGCTTCTCCAAGGCTTGTCATCTTGTTCCTCTCCGTAGATTGCCTACTGCCACCCAGACTGCCATGCTTCTGATTAAACATGTGTTTAAACTCCATGGCATTCCTCAGGAGATCCTCTCAGATCGTGGTCCCCAGTTTGTCTCTCAGGTTTGGCGCCAATTCTGTTCTGCCTTGGAGGCCAAGGTGATGCTCACTTCTGGTTACCATCCTCAAACCAACGGACAGACAGAGCGCATGAATCAAGAACTAGAAGCTACCCTGCGGTGCCTGACCTCCACCAATCCTGACGACTGGGCCCAGTACCTTCCCTGGGTTGAGTATGCGCACAACAGTCACATCTCTGCAGCCACAGGTCTTTCTCCTTTTGAAATAGTGCTGGGTTACCAGCCACCACTCCTGCCCTCTGATGAAACGACAATCTCTGTTACCTCTGTTCAACACCACATTCGTAAAAGTCGAAAGATCTGGAAAGACACCATAGATGCGCTCACCAACACCACTGCACGCAATAAACGCCTGGCGGACCGCAGGAGGACTCCTGCTCCTAATTACACCATAGGTCAAAAGGTGTGGTTGTCTACACGCGACATCCCCTCAAGGCGATGTCCAAAAAGTTGTCTCCCAAGTTCATAGGCCCTTTCGAGGTGTCGTCAGTTATCAGCCCATCTGCCGTACGTCTTCGTCTTCCTCCGTCCCTGCGCATTCACCCAACCTTTCATGTGTCCCAGATTAAGCCTGTCCTTTCTAGTGACCTTTGCCCTCCGGCCGAACCCCCTCCTCCGCCCGTATCGTCGATGGCCATCCGGCCTTCTCCGTCCGCCGGGTCGTCGCCTCCCGGCGGCGGGGTCGGGGTTTCCAGTACCTCGTTGACTGGGAGGGTTATGGTCCAGAGGAACGCTCCTGGGTGCCTGGATCGTTTATTTTGGATCCCTCCCATTAGAGACTTTTGGGACTCCCAGCCCTCCTCTTCTGCTCGGCCGCCGGGTGGCGTCCATTGAGGGGGGGGTACTGTCAGGGTCTGTGTTTTTGTTTCTTTTAGTTTTTCCTTTTTTTTTGTTGTGTCTCCCTGGAGCACCTGCTGCTTCTCATGGCATCCACCAGGTGCCGCTAGGATGCAGAGCCCCTGGAGTTGTGCCATGTCAACCCCGTCGACACACCTGCAGCTTGTTCGGAGGGCTCAGCCTGGGTGTTTATAGGAGCGGCGGAACGACTCCTCTCCGCCTGAGTGTTTTGTTTTACCTCGGTAACGATCGTTACATGATAGGCCCCCCGAGATCTACGTCGATTTAACCTCTGTTTTCTCACATTAGGTGAACCCGCCGTCCCTGTTGATTCCCTGAGTGGGCCGTCTGCCCCGGAACCCTTAGCCTCCAGATTTACTCGGTCGCCTCGGACGCCTCTCCAGGAAAGCAGGACTCCCTGACCGAGCTTGGATCCACCTGGAGGTGCCTTGGCCTGGGCCTTGACGAATCTCGTTCTGATCGCTCTACCTGTCCGGCCTCCCACCAGCCCAGTTCTCCAGTGCTCTGCCAGCCGTCATACTCACACCCTCCAAAGTAAGATCCAATCTGTTTATCCGGAGAGTCTCTCCTACCCGCTAACTAACCCGAACCATCTCATTGACAGTCTGACGAACCGGTGACCCGTTCCAGAAACCATCCCTCTTTCCTTTTCCCTCAAACTCAATAAATCATCATTGTTCATTAACCGCTTACCTGATTGTGTCCTTGCATGTGGGTTCGAAACCTTAGAGACACCATGACAAGATCAGCAACGACAGCGTGGAGGAAAAGTTCAGGAAACACTTCAGGTTAGGTGGAGATTTGGTGGCGGCCAAGAAGAACCTCTCTCTTTCCATCGTCGGTCTGAAAGCCGAACACACGGCGACTTACTTCTGCGCTGCAAGGGAAGCACACTGCGCCAAACATCCAGCAGCCCTGAACAAAAACCTCCAACCTCTGGCCTCACGTTATCTCCTCTCTGAATCTAGACGCAGCCCAGCAGCCATAAGTGAAGACAAGGTGACTTCATCATTGAACCATGAGTTCAATGATGAAGCGAGCAACAAACCTTACATTTTGACAAATGCAATCATCTAAATTGTCGCACCAATACACATCAAAGATATTGATCAGTGTTTCACTTAGCACTAATCAAAGCCGGCGCTGAGAAGGTGGATTTTTAGCCTTTACTTACAGGAACTCAGCATTTCGGCTGTTTTCCTGTTTTCTAAAAGTTTGTTCCAGATTTGTGCTTTTCCATGTTTGGTTTTGGTTCTGGGAATGCAGAGTAGAACCAGAACCAGAACCAGAAGCCCTGAGAGTTCTGGAAGGCTTATACAACAACAGCAGGTCTTTAATGTGCTTTATTGCCGAGTCGTTTAGTGACTAATAAACCAGCACGAGTGTCTCAAAGTCTACAGGGAGCCGGTGTCAGGACAGCAGAAGTGGGTCGAAGCCTGATCAGAATGTTTCATAGCTTTATATTCCTCATGTTGAAAAAATCACAAACAGTATGCGAGTTTAGGACATGAGACTTCAAGTAATGGGAGATTTTGTGAATGAATAATTCACATCCTGTAGCGACAGGTGATCATGTGACTTCCTGGTTTGTTTCTCATAAGAGTCGTTGTTCCATCGCCTCCTCCATTCACCCGAACCCAGGCCGTTGCTGTCATGTTTGCGACTGTCTTTTATCTGTCACTGTTGATGCACTCAGGTAGATTTCTGAAAAACGTGCAAATGGCAAGGATTGCCGAGATCCAAGCATTTATTTCGAGTTTGTTTACGTCGGTTTGTCTGTGAATAGAACAATCTGAAACTTTGCTCTGCACATCCTCTGCAGGTTTCTCCGTTGTAGTCCTTCAGTCTCTACATCGAATCTCTTCGCCGGGAGACGATGTGACGTTCGAGTGCAGGTTGGGAGCAGGCGACAGCATGAGCAGCCAAACCATGCTCTGGTACCGGCAGAGGAGCCCCGGGGCCCAAGTGGAGTTCATCCTCAAAGAGTACGAAGAAACTGTGGGACGCTACCGGTCTTCCATCGAACCGCAGAAAAATCTGTTCTCTCTTCAAATCCCAAAGTTGTTCCCGAATGACAGCAGCACCTACTACTGTGCCGCTAGTCACAGTGATGCATGCAGATCAGACAGTCATACAAATAAGGAGACGGTCTGTGGTACGCAGGCAGGAAGGAGCCGTGGCTTCTCTGACTAGCAGAGAAAGTGACAAAAATGGTGAAAATAGCTAATTTCACCTGAATGGAAGTTGAACTGCAGTTTCACATGGACTTTAGATATCTATATAACAGGAAGAAGGCTTTTTGCTATTGTAGGCTACATGAATAAGTGTCTTGGGGGATGGGGGGGCTGGGTGATACGTTCTTATTATGAGTGCAGGACCAGGAAAAAAAATCTGTGTAACACTATCAGTGTTTTAGTCAAGACCCAGACCAGCAATAAAATGTGAAATCTGATCAAAATAACTTCTCAAATTGATCAGAAAGATCCACATTCCCATAAAAACGCCCAAATGTTAAGCTCAGTCAATTTAACCAAAATGATCATCGACTCAAACTCTTCCATGTTCTGCTTCACTTCCACCTCTGAGCAACAATCCGCTCGGTTTGGACGCGCCGCAATCACACAGCGCCGTTTGACGGCCAATAGGAACGCAGAGATCTGCTGAGGAAAGCTATTACCATGGAAACGGATCTGGGTACCAAAGTATTCAGTTCCCATCAGTCGCTAAAGTCTTGTAGTATTGATGGGACTTAAGGCTCTTTGAAAGAAACCTGCAAGGTTCTGTTCACTTCAACTGGATCCAGTTCTGAAATGACAGACAGAACGAGTCATTTTAATCCCAAATATAGATTTTTAAATGTTTTTTTTGGATGTTTTTTTGTGGTTGAAGTTCACAAAAAAGTTGAATCATCTGTAAAATAAAGAAAGAAAAAAAAGTGTATGTTCTTGCAGATACAAATTATGTTCATAATCAGTTTTTCATTTGTCCCTCAGGTTATTGTGATAAAATAATGTTGTTCGTGTCAAATCATTTTCAAGTAATAGGATTGTAATAGTATAATTACACAAGAAAACATCCCAAAAGATCAATATATTTAAATTCTAACAAACATTCAACACCATTGCAGTGTTTTTACACTGCTGTGTGTTTTGATGACATTTCAATCCGATCTGCAACACAGTGGCAAAATAAAAAAGGAAAATGCAACAAATAGTAGAAAAAAGTGAACCAGAGTTAAATATAACAATTTAGGCAACGTGAGACGACCAGCACAAATTGGGTGTGGGTATTTTTTAATCACTTATTTTATGTTAAATGTTTCAATTTGTAGAAATTAATTTTTAATTTGATGTTTATAGAAATAATCTAGTATTTTTGTAAAAAATAAAATAAAAAAAATAAATAAAAAATTATGATAATAAAATAATAATTATTGATTTGTAAAAGCAATAGAGAGGGGGTGAACTTTTTTATTGACCCTGCAAAAGTTTCATTTTGTCAACTTTTTAACAGAACCCCACTTCACAGATCTCAGTACTGTCTCTTTAAGACGGCCTCCAGCAGCTGCAGAGAGAAACTCTCTCAGATCTTTGAGAGGAGAGGAGGAGGTCAGATCATCTTCTGTTACCTTCTTATTTCACAAGTCAAAGCAGCAAAATTAGTGCAGAAATGAACTTGATTTTGATTGCAGTTTTATTTTTCCCTGGTAAGAAAATCACTCTAGGAGAAAGGAATTTAATTTAATTAAAAAACAAAAAACATTTCATTGTGTTTTTTTTTATATTTTGTTGGGGTTTTTTTTATTTTGTTTTCTAGATTTCTCCATGTCTGCTGTGAACTTCCAGAAGCTTCCATCTGTGCTGGTCAGAGGCGGCGATCAGAGCGTCACCCTGCGGTGCGACCAGGACAACAGTCAGAACTACTACATGTTCTGGTACAGACACCCGGCAGGCAGTGGGAAAATGGAGCTGGTCGCATTTTCTGCAGGTCAAGACACCGCGTCCATCGAAGCTCCTTTCAACAAGACCAAATACACCATGACCCGTCCAGAAGTGCTCAGAACCTCCCTGCAGATCCACTCTCCTGAGGCTGCAGACTCTGCTGTGTACTACTGCGCCTCCAGTCTGGCACAGTGCTACAGGCTGCCTCAGCCGCCTGACAACAACCTCAGGAGGAGGCAGCGACGAGGCTACGGAGGGAGAACACTGGCAAAAACATCAACATAGCGGTGTGACACGAGGTATATTTTGAAGACTACTGGCCTGAGGCAAAGCAAACTTTTAGAAACCCATAGAATCATGTATGGGTGTCGCAGTTAACGGTTAACATCCTCGCTTTTCATAAAGTTCTGCTGTAAACCTGCTTTCCTTTGTGTCACCTCCGTCTCCCATGAACCCATGTGTGCGTATAATAAACCCGACAGCCGTGTGTGTGGGTGTGTGTGTGTGTGTGTGTGTGTGTGTGTGTGTGTGTGTGTGTGTGTGTGGGGGTGTGTGTGTGTGTGTGTGTGTGTGTGTGTGTGTGTGTGTGTGGGCCTTCACACCTCCTCACATATGGAACAGCAAGAAGGTCAAAAAGATGTGACATTTCATGTGTCTTTCATATGCAAAGAAAGTTACTAAATAGAAATCAACTGCAATGGAAGTTTTCCTCCAATTAGTGTTAGATGGAAAAGAACCAATCACAGCCAAGAGGTCAAAGTGTTCCAGGAAATGACAGTAATTACAAAACTATAGGTCCAAAGTGGTCGACCCTGTTTGACCCCTCTTTCCATGAATGTAGCCAATTCACAATTAATTATTAATTTTTCTTTTTACATATCAAATCTTCTTAAAACATATTTTCTTAGGTACAAGACAAAGTGTTTTTGTTTAATTACCAAAGTTGTGAAAAAATAAAATCAGTATTTAAAACAGCAACTGTCAAAGGCCCTGTTCATATTTTTTAAATCAGCAATGATTTACATATTCATTTTCTACCAAGACTACTTTATTAAAATATTGTCTATTTAGATTATTCAATTTATTCAGATTATCTATTTATTCCTTTAATGCATAATAACACATTTGTTGTGTTGAGCAATAAATGTGGCTCTGGTCTCCTCTCAATTTGACATTTTTGGCCCTAAAGGGAAAAACTTTGGACGCCGCTGCAGCAGAATTTAAGAAAACACAAGAAAACACGTTATTAGTTCAGTTTTGCAGCCTAATAATATGTAGATGAGTTTTTCCAAAAAACTGCATTTCAGGTGACTTATCTACATGTCTTGAGCTGCTACAGGATGAGGAAGTTAAAATTCTCATCTTACACTGACCTCTACTGGCCACGTGTGAAAAATACAAGTGGATCGATTCACAAAAACTCAACTTCCAGTGGAGTTACATTTTCAACATCTACTGATAGAAAGATGGATTCCATCAGGATGAATGAAGTTAAATATGCAAAGTGTATTCAGGTTTTTGTCCTCAGACTTTAGCGCTTCTGGGCGTTTTGTTTATTTTGCACACTTCAAATAAAATGATGCCAGCGAAGTAACAATTGATGTGACTGAAACAGATTTTAAGAAGTTCGGCCTTCAGTGAAAACTTATCCACAGCTCAGGTGGGAGAATCCGTTGCTGTGACAACTGTCCACTCTACATAAAAGGCCTTGACAGAAGAATGGCAATAAAATAAAAACACATGTGAAGTTTTTGTATCTTGCCACAAGTTTTGCCACAAGTTTATGAATTCGGCCCTGGTAGGAAACGTTGTGGAGGAAGAACCCCAAACATGCTTATGTGGCTTTTTCTCGTGTCTGAATGGCCCAGTCAAAGTTCGGAGACTAATCCAACTGGGAGTTCTGACTGAGTTTGAGCTATTTTAGAAAAGACAAACAAACTTTCTGTCGACACTGATCAGTGTCTACACATCGACTTAACAGGTTAAAGGCTCTTATCGAAGAACTAATTTCAACTTTCAACATAGTTTCTGTTTCATTGTCATCGTTCCAATTTTATCTTTTGTTAACATAAGAACCTTAAACTCAATACACACATCAGTGGATGTTCTCTCTTTCTCTGCTGACTGATTGGCTGCAGAGTCGTGACCAACTGACGTGTCACTTCCTGTTTATACCTCCAAACAAACAAAAGCAGCCAGCAGCTTCCTGTCCTCTGCTCTGCCTTCTTTTCTTAGTCGACCCAGAAATAGCAGCAGGCAGCTTGGAGCGGCTCCAGCGTCAAGTGGGCCCGACCTCCACAGCTGCTCCCACAGAGACTCACAGATGGAGGCTGAGATACAGAGAGGCTGGCTGGGGGGATGGGGAGAGACGGAGGAGGCAGGTTTTTGTGTGATGCTTTTTCACCGTGGGGACAGGGGGCCACGGTGATACAATCCCATAGAGCCGCCGTACAAAAACCTCCTGCCACTAACATCCATCATGTGGACGGCTGAGTGGATGTCAGAGAGCAGCAGCGGGAAGCAGGTGGAGGTGGGCAGGGTGGAGGCTCAGCCAGGCCTTAAGAAACTCTTTAATATGTAGAAAGTGAAGCAGAAACAGCTTTTATTAGCAGATGTTTGAGTTTACACATGGAGCCATTGGGTCGTGTGATCCTCAGGGTCAGAAATCACAACTTCTTTAAACCTTATGAAGCTCATCCTGCAGGTTTGACCTTCCTGATGATCTGGGCTTTTACAGCCAGTCTGAAGGAGAAGATTCTGGAAAGTTTAGAGACTTTTTGGTCCAGGAGAGATTCAGTGTGACACTGGAACCGAAGCTTACTTTGGAAAAGGAACCAAACTCACAGTTTTAGGTAAGTTGGATTCTTACATGTTCAGGTTTAGATCTGATTTAAAGTGAACACAAAGGTCAGGTGGGAATAAAGAAAAAGTCTTACATTTTAAAAGTTCAGATGTATTAACCTGAAGTTGAAGCACTGTGACCAACACACCTGCTTACTTTGGAAAAGGAACCAAACTCACAGTTTTAGGTAAGTTTAAACTTCTGACATGTTCAGGTTTAGGTCGAATTCAAGCTAAAGTAATTCTTAAATTGAAGTAAAATAAAATTGTTTTGAGATAAAATGTTCTGACATATTGAGTCAAACTCAAAACACTGTGAACTCTGGAAATCCTGCTTACTTTGGCCAAGGAACCAAACTGACAGTTTTAGGTAAATATTTCACTTTATTACAGAGTTTTAATAAGCAATACTTTGATTAGGACGTCTGTACAGACCGATGTGTCTTTGTAAAGTTAATTCTGGTAGAAAAACAGGTTCATGTTCAATATCACTGCACTGTGACAATGCTGAAGCTTACTTTGGCCAAGGAACCAAACTCACAGTTTTAGGTAAGTTTAACTTTTCACATGTTCAGCTCATCTGATCCAATTTAAACTAAACTAATTCTTGGATTTGAGTAAAATTTGGTGACATGAAACGTTTTGGCTTATTGAGCTGAAGTCAAATCACTGTGAACTACGGAGATCCTGCTTACTTTGGAAAAGGAACCAAACTCACAGTTTTGGGTAAATATTTCGCTTCAATACTCAAATCTAACAGATTGCACTCAACAACGCCTCGAGGTTGACGTTGTGTTAGAGTCATTTTCACGTAAATATTACGGTCGAAGAGTTATCTGTCGAGTATTGCTGCACTGTGACAACCTCAACGAAGCTTACTTTGGAAAAGGAACCAAACTCACAGTTTTAGGTGAGTACGGTTTGCAAAAACGAACCAAATTTGAAGCCGTAATGATGCTTGAATAAGCAGCTAGAAAGCAGGCGTTTCCAGTCAAAGTCGGCACTTTTTGATACGAAGCTGAAGCTGTGTGATGACAGAGAAGCTTATTTCGGCCAGGGAACTAAGCTGACTGTTCTGGGTGAGTAAAAGTCCATAGAAAGTCAATTTGAGAGACAAACTGATGCAGCAGATCTTCTGGCTACAATCTGCAACCTTTTAACTATCTCTGATGAAAAATCGACTAATAATAGGACAAGTAAAGCAAATATAAAGCTGCACGTTGTCGTGTTTTGCACATCGGATGTGTTCACTGTGCCACTGGTGGTTATGAAGCTTACTTCGGAGGAGGAACAAAGTTAACAGTTTTAGGTGAGAAATACAAAAATATAAATGTTACTCGGACATGTCTTTAAAAAAAACTTTAAAAATGAGAGCATACGTAAAACAGATTTCCAGTGAAAGTTGAGCCGCTCGCTGCCTGAGCTCAGTGCTTTTTGCTCTGAACTTTAACCTCTGTGCCAACTATGAAGCTTACTTCGGCCAGGGAACAAAACTGACTGTTTTAGGTGAGTAAAACTCTGAAATTTGATCCTCATGAAAGCAGTGAAAGCTGTTTCACTAAGTTGAAAAGTTCAGCTTTATTTTAAATAAAATACAAGTTTAAAAAAAAAAGAAAAAGAAAGGTCAAACGTTTGCGTTGCGGCGAATATGAAGAGCAGTTTAAGACTGAAAAACAGCCAGGAGTAATATAAAATGCAATGTGGCAAAGACAGAAGAGGCTGAAGTTGTTTTGGGCACCGATGGTGCTCACTGTGACTCTGGTGCTGGAGCTGAAGCTTACTTCGGAGCAGGGACCAAGTTAACGGTTTTAGGTAAGAAATCCGCTTGAAAAACAAACACAGGTTCAACTTTAACCAATTAACCAAAACTGTCAGAAATAAGGTCATTTCGCGACACTAAAAGGAACATTTCTGTGAGTCTGAGGTTTTGTGTGAAATGTTTGCTGGTTTTAAAAGAAAAATTGAACTCGGTGAAAACTGACATAACAGGAGAGCAGGTTGTCTGGCTGCTTTGAGCTCTGATCCTGCTCACTATGCTCAGTACGTCTGAAGCTTACTTTGGTGGAGGAACCAAACTGACTGTTTTAAAAATCTAAATCTAAATGAATAACTAATATGATCTGGTTTACAGCTAAAAGATCCTCCCAAAAAAATGGTGTGAAAGGTGTCACAGTGCTTGTGCCTGGTCAAATAACTTTGACAAAAATGTTGCCAAAAATTCAAAAACACGTTGAGATGGTGACCGAAAACGTTTTAAACGTCCCAGGAAAATAAGTGAAGCTGGGAAGGTTTAGTAGCAGCGGACAGTTTGTGTTGCAGTCTGGAGTCTCTGTGCTCCTTCGGCAGCGAAGCTTACTTTGGAGCTGGAACCAAACTCACCGTTTTAGGTAAGAAAAAAACTAAAGTAGAAGCTGGAAGGAGCATGAGAGCATCGATTGAGCTTTTTCTGAACCGTAGAAGACATAATGTGTGAGGGACGTCTCAAATGTTCGCCGGTCAAAGTTAAACCAGGTTTGGCTCAAAGCCCAGATTATCAGTCTGTCAGTGGGTTAAACACTGTGACTCCCAGTCTGAAGCTTACTTTGGAGCTGGAACCAAACTCACTGTTTTAGGTAAGAAACTCAAAAAAATATTCACAATAAATCAACATGAAAGATCAGATGTAATGGACAATTGGTTTGGATGTTATATATATATACAAAAAAGTATTTCATCTTTAGCTCTAGTATAAATGTAAAAAAAGGAATAAAAGCTAACAGGAGAAGGTGAAAGAAGTAGTTTCTGGTTTAGTTTTGCTCCAGACGTTGTTTAGTTCGTGTGTCAAAGTGGTTGGAGACGGTGGCAGCTTTCAGCAGCTTTTCCTGCAGCTGTTTGTCAGTGTGAACAACTACAATCCCGCTTACTTTGGAGCTGGAACCAAACTCACCGTTTTAGGTAAGACCGCGAAACGGGACAAATCTGTCCATATTGGAGCGTTTTAGCCAGCAGTCTGTCTACTTCGCCAACAACTTTCTAATTTAAAAGGCTGCCTCTAGCTTTCAATAGCAGCAGCTTTTCCTGCAGCCGTCTGTCAGTGTGAACCAGTACGACCCTGCTTACTTTGGCAGAGGCACCAGACTCACCGTTTTGGGTAAGAAAAGAAGAAAAACCCAGATTGTTTGGAATGAAATGAACACCCAGTGTTAACGGGAAAGGAAAGAAATAGCTCAGGTGAAATCTACGTTTGATTCTTTACAGGAAGTATTTGATTGAGCGTCTGAAAAAGTGCAGAAACCCAAAGTCTGGACTCGAGATGAGTCGTTTTCAGTGCAGTCGCCTCAGTAGTGAGTTTGTGTGACTGAAGGCTTCAGGTTTAGTGGAATAAGGCCAGTAAAATGAGACGGTTGGCTCCCAGCAGCTTTTCCTGCAGCTGTTTGTTGGTGTGAGCAGCTACGATCCTGCTTACTTTGGCAGAGGCACCAAACTCACAGTCCTGGGTAAGAAAACAAAAACTCTTGAGAATCATTGCACCGTAAAATTCACTTTGAGGGAAACTACTGGGCAGAAAATGAGCCGCAGCTCAGAGGCTTGTGGAGTTTCTGCTTCATGTTTTCAAACATATCGTCACAAAAGAGGTTGTGAACCAAAACTTTGGACTTTTAAAATAACTGATTCAGTGGGTTTTTCTCTTGCTGCTCTGCATGGGTTCAGCTGAGGTTAAAACCAGTCCAGGTTGGCGTTGAGCTCGTCGAGTTCAGCAGCTTTTCCTGCAGCTGCTTCTCAGTGTGACCAACTACGAACCTGCTTACTTTGGCAGAGGCACCAAACTCACAGTCTTAGGTGAGAAAACAAAAAAAATCAACGGCTTATTTCTTTACAAAAATGTACTTTTAGAAAACTACTGCGAGGCGCACTGCTTTGAGGTCGAGTAATTTCTTAGAATGAAGATCAGCTAATATCTGATCTTGGGAACTGAAGTTGAGAAACAAAAAAAACTTTTTTTTTTTCAACTTTTAGTGACTATAACCTATACAGCAGGTCACTATCACCAATTAAGATGGAGTTATTGTGTTGTTGAAACATTATGATACAGAGAACTGCAGGTCTGAGCTCGGGTTTTGTTGTTGCGACTGAGCGTTGTGCTCCGGCTCGTACCCTGCTGAGTTTGGAGAAGGAACCAAGCTGACAGTCCTGGGTAAGAGCATCTAAAAAAATAATAATAATAATAACAAATAAGTTTATGGTAACCACGGATTTAATGTGCTGACGGCGTAAATATTATAATTGCTTGCTTGCTTTTATCTCCGCACAGCCAAACATTCTCACTTTTTAACTTTAGGGTGAAAAAACTTTACCAAGTAATTTTGGTCCAGTTTCTGGTGAAAATATCTTTTGTTTTCTCTCAGTTCAGATGTACTAAATTATGACAAACATTTCAGTAAGATTTAAGAGATTGTTTTAAGTTCCTTAATATTAATTTTTTTAAAAAAAGTGTGTTAGTTCCATTTATGACAAGACATTTTTGCCCATAAGTAAAATAATCTGGACTTTTCCGTAGACATTTTTTAAACTTAAAACAAACTCCTATTTTCAGCTTAAAAGCTACTTGTGAGCCAGTTTTGTCTTATTCAAGTGCACCAAAATGTTTGCACCAACAACTAGACCGGCAATAGTCTGTAAAATTCTGTGTCCATAAAATATATTATATGTTTCCTTTAAAGATTTAGAATAGACATAAATATTGGACATCAAAGTCAAAACATTCAGAAAGTAACGTCAAGTTTCCGATCAGAACGCCGGAATGTAAAAACTAGGACGAGTCATATAGAATGTTTTTGCTGCTTATTAATTGATGTTACATTTAGTAGGATAAATGTAAGTACTAGAAAAGACTGTCTTTGTTTTCAGTTTCAGTGTAAAAGTCTATTTATGTGAAACTCTGGGCAGATGAGGTTGATTTAAGGGAAAGATGAGAAAAGAAAAACCTGATAATTAAAGTAAAACATGTTCGGTTCAGCCACACTTTGTGCAATAATCACACAAAGCAACGATGCATCAAATTCATTTTAATTTCATCCGCCATCAAGACCACAAATGTCCTCAAAGGGTTGAATGTATTAATAAAACCTGTTAAAATGTCCAAATATTACAGCTTTCTCTCCAAGCAGGACATATTTCTGAAAATTAATTGATGGAATTTGAGACGATGCTAATAAACGCTGATTTGATTTGAGTGATGAAATTCTATTTTTGCACACAACCTATATTCAAGTTGGACTTATGAAGCCATCAGTGGTTTTTGGGGCCACATAAACAACTGTTGGTCTTGAGATTGTCACATGTTGTGAAGTACATTAATCAACTATAATCTTTTTCTGGTCCAAACTTTGTGCAACTTTTCACACTTATTCTAAACACACAAGGCCAGAGGAGACGGTCGAAACTGATTATTGTCTTAGGAACAAGAACTTCTTGGTGGGATTCCCTGGTTAGGTCCATGACCAGTGCAGGTTTTGCACGTTATAAACTAGATTCTTGAAGGTTTGTTAACAATTAAATTTGATAACATCAAAGAAACGTCCAAACATCCCCATGTCCAGATGGACAGATTCAGGTGACGGAGTTTTGACTCAATGAATTGTTTTTTCTCTTCTTTTAGAAGATGACCTTTACGTCACTCCCCCGACTGTGAGAATTCTGCCACCTTCAAAAGAAATACGTAAAGACAAAGAAGGGAATGTGAAGGGCAGGACCCTGGTCTGTATGGCGTCTGGTTTCTACCCAGATCATGTCAACATGACCTGGGAGAGCGACAATATTGGTAAGGTGTCGACTGACGCCGCCGCCACCAGAGAAGACAAATATTACAAAATCACCAGCCGGCTGACGGTTTCCAACAAAGACTGGATTGAGGCGAAGACTAAATTTAAATGCATCGTCAACTTCTTTGATGGCACCAAACACATCATTAAAGATGATGTTTTTACAAGTACGTTCATTTCTTAAACAAGTATCCTAAACTGCTCCTTGTAGCTGCTCTCCTAATGACTTTGCTTTATTCCTGCAGTAAAACCTCCACTCATCCCTGACATGACTCGAGGTAAACAGCAACATTTCACTCTTAGAAGCACAGAAAACAGCTGGCAGAACATTGATGGCTTAGAATGTTTTCTTTTTCCTCACACTGTAAACACTTGATCTCCCTACAGGGAAATACGTGAAGATCACTCAGAACGCCAAACTGTCCTACACCGTCCTGATCGTGAAGAGCTGCCTCTACGCCGCCTTGGTCTGCTTTCTGGTCTGGAAGCTGAAGGTCGGTCCAGAAAACGTCCCTGTTGGTTCTGATTATCTGTCCTGTGATCTTCTGATGCTGAGGGAGGATATTTTATTTTATTTTTCTGTCTTTTTCAGGGGAAACGTGAAAAGCCGACCAAGTGAGAGCAGAGCTGATGCTGAGAATCTTCCTCCTTGTACATAACGAACCTGATCTGCTGTTAATCTGCACAGATTGAATAATCTCTGGCTGTTTCATGTTATCCTACAGAATCAATCAAACATATTCTGAGTCTGGTTTCTACTGAAAATATCTTAGGAAACTTCAATACTGACTGCGTTGTCTGCATAAAGTAGGTTCATGTTTATTAACCCAGTTAATTTTTGATTGTTGATTCTATGTTGAAGTAACTTACAAATAATTTTTCATCGAGTTATAAGATCATTTTAAATCAATAATCCTTTATTGGTGATAAACTAGCTCCATTGGCAGATTATTTAACTTTTAAGAAAACATTTTCTCCATGTTATAAGTCAGAATCTTTTCATCAATATTACGACTTAAAACTAACTTACATTTGACTTTTCTCCCTGAAAAGATATTTGCAATAGAAACCAGATCAAAATGTAAGATTGCAGTTTTGTATTTTCTCAGTGCATTGTTGTATTTTTTCAGATACTTTCTGGATATAAATGTGTGTGCTTGTATTTCTTCATACGATCTTCAATAAAAGTGTTTTAAATCACGCCTGACGTCATGGCCGCTCATTGTTTCTCCCCGCGCTTCGTTTGGGAAACGACTCAAAAGTCTTTTTCTGACAGCCAAACTTGTTTCTCTGTGCACACGAAAACCACAAAGTTGCACGACTGAGCGCTTTCAATCAGCCGTGAGAGCAGAAAGTTTGACTGAAAACGAGAACGTGACGCTGACAGCAACCGTCGCTTTGCTCCTCCATCACTTCTTCCAGAGCCGGCGTCAGGTATTTTTAGTTGCTTTCTAAAAAGCCAGCTCATTTTCATCCCCGCATCTGCGCGAAACATCTCGCTCTCGGGTCGAGACGCCGAAGCTGAGAGGAAGAGCGCGAGAACAGGAAGTCGACGTTGAGCAGAGAAGCAGGATGCGGTCGCGTGGCGGCCTGCAGCGCCGCCTCTCTCTGCTGAGAAACGACCTTCAACCTTTACCGCCGCATCCGGCTCTGCCATCACACCTGCGTCTGTGCAAAAACAACACCTCCGCACACACACACCCAACACACACACACACACCACACACACACACACACACACACACACACACCCACACACACACACACACACACACACAGCTGGTAAACGCTCAGTTTCTGTGTCAACTGAAGCTAAAAACTGTTTAAATGACAAACAGCAGCTGTTTGCTGTGATCTGGAGCTGAAAGAGTTTTTTTCTGTTTTGTTTTGTTTTTGCAGAGATCGAGTGAAATGAGTTTAGTTGTGTGGAAAAAGTGTCATTTCTCAAAAAATTTCTTCTGTTTCTGCTGCTCTGTCAGACGCTGCAAAAAACTAAACTTTGAGCCAGCGTTTGTTTCCTTATTATTTTTAATCCAGCTTCCAGTGCAAATATTTTGGTTCACATGAAATGAGACAAAACTAAGTTGATGATTCTTTTAACGCTGAGGATTCAGATTGGCCTGTTCTAACAAGGGAAACAGTTTTAAGTGAAGTACTTTTTCTTTGCTATTAAGAAATATTTGACTTAAAAAAAAAGTTCCTATATGTTGCTGAAAAGTCACTTGAATGTTAGTTTTGTTTTATTTCAAGTTTAAAGATATTTGCACTGGAAACTGGACCAAATTACTTGGCAAGGTTGTGTTGTTGTTTTTTTTGCACTACACCTACATTGTTTCAGATCATCATACTCGATGTGAAATGTCTTAACTAGCCTGGCTCTGTGTGGAAATATAAAAGCTCCTGTGAAGTCATGAAGCAACTAATTAGGGACATTTTGAGTCACTTCCATCTGATTTCTGCCAGACATGCAGAATAATATATTATTAATAATATCTTTTGGGAGGATCAGCAACCTTAAAAAAGATTCAAAGGGGAAAAAAATTATTTAAAAAAAAATGAAATAATAAAATAAAAACACCAGATCCGTGTGGAAAAGGTCACAAAAAAACAACAAAAAAAAAATCAGGCCACAAAAAATAAATAAATAAAAGAGAAAAGCTATAAGGAATGAAATGATTTTTCACATCCGAGTGTTGGTTTCCATGGGATTTGTCATGTAAACTACCCAACAACAGATTCCCTGTAATTTACCTCAGACAGTAAATGATTTGTGTTACTTCACAGCATTTAACATGAGTTTAAATGCCCAGAGAACACGCTTAGCTTTGTTCGGCCGTGTTTCTTTAAAACATGTCAGAGACAAACAGAAAACATCTGTTTGACATGTTTTAGCAACAGAAACACGAAACACCTGGGAATGTGGAGCACAAGCTCTCGAACCGCTCGCTTTATCACAGTTTAAATATTGATTCTGTGACTTGGTTTTAAGTTTAAAGATATTTGCACTGGAGACTGGACAAAATTACTTGGCAAGATTGTGTTTTTTTGTTTTGTTTTGTTTTTTTTTTGCACTACACCTACCTCATTTATTGATTTATTGAAAAACCGTGTGTGCAACAACCAATAATAACTGTGATGATCCATCACTTTCTCTGGAAGAGACGCTGGCAGAGAACTCGGCTGAATAAAGCCGAGTTTCCAGAGAAACCCGCATTCTGTCGTTACACAGAACAAAAACTACAAATAGAAATTCTAAAAAAAGAAAAAAAATTTGACACTATTTGCATGGTTGGTTGGTTTCGGGTTTTTCTGACTTTCATTACACACTAATGAAAAAGAAAACATCTTAGACTCTGTACATTTGGACACAATAAAAAACTGAAGCCCAGTATTACCAGTTGAGTTGGGCAGAGTGCCCCCAGGTGGTGAAAACAGGAACATCTACTCAAGCTACACAGAGGTTAGCAAAATAGGTTTATTTACATAAAAATATACAATAAAAACACTACAGACCAATGAGGAATAAAGAATTTGTACACATTTTGATTACAAAAAAAAAGAAACATAATGAAGTGAACAATAAAATTACATTATATTAGGTTATTAGGTTCTCTAAAAAACAGAGAAAGCATAAGTCCAGTGAGTAGATAGCTTATTTTCAGTGCCTCCTCATCTCCACAGATCATATTATGGGATGTTTCATGTTAAAGTTTCATGGTTGCTTGATGCAGAAGGCAATCTGAGCAAAGTGCTGCCTGTAGAAGTCCCCGTTCGTCGGGTCTTTTCTAAAATAAAAATAATTCTGTGCAGTCCGGTCCCCCCCTTTTGATTCCGTTTGGCAAATGCAGAAGTTCAAAGGTGAAAGGTCAGCGTATCAAAAGACATGCCGACCGGTCCTGCCGTTCTTTGGCGCGTGCCTGGCGCAGCTGGCGCAGCAGAAGCTGGAGTAGTACTGATGGTCGCACAGGCGGGCGTAGACGATGAGTTTGCAGTTGGCGAGTTCAGGCTGGTCCACGCAGCCTGGCGGCACGTCAGCACCTGCAGCAGCACATTCGGTGGGATTATTCTATTATCCACAACATCATTAGATTTAAACAGCTTGATTCTAACAAATAGGTTGAAGTCAGAACTTCTCACCGAAAGGCAACAGCCAAATTTTATGGATAAAAAAAAAAATCACAGCAAGAACAGTTTTCATTTAAATATATTATTCTTTTGTTTGTCTTTTGAGAAACTTTCAACTGACGGGCACTTAGTACGAGGTTTAAAACAGATGAAAAGTAAAATACTTTGTTTTTAAATATTTCTGATTTATTCTGACGTACTATAATCATGTATTTGTTTCAAAAATTTACATAATTTTTGTATTTACTCTTTGATTGACAGGGAAATCAGCATCTACTGGAATATAATCTAAATCAGATCACGGAACATATTAATAGAGTCATTAATTCTCACCTTGCGAGTCTTTTATCACCCTGACTTCAGCCGTGGCGCTCACAGAATAAATCCCTGTGTAGGCGTTACAGGTGTAGGTTCCCTCATCAGAGGTCTTCACGTTATTGATGATCAGGCTGCCGTCCGGCGACACCAGGATGCTGCGGCCGTCCGGACGCACCAGCACTCCGTTCCTGTCAACACAAGCGGAGGCTCAATGCCCTTTTACAGTAAATCCTTGGGGAGATGCTGCCAGAGTCCAGGCTTGAATCTGATAGTGAATTTATGGAGATAGCTTAATATTAGGGTGATGGCCATGAGGCATTTCAACCTAATAAACCCAGAGAGACCCTGAGCGACGGCCTGTTTTAACAAACTCAGAGGAAAAGAACAGAGCAAAGGTTCCAACTATCTGTTAGGGAATCTCTTTTCAGTGAATTATCAAGTTCAGCCTGGACGAGTACGACAGAGTTAGAAAAATTTAGTCTAGAGCCTGAAAAATCTGAGAAATGGCCCTTTAATATGATGTAATGCAAAGTTTCAATACCAGCTTTCAAAACCAAAATGGCTGCCTTACACTGTGCAAAGAACAACAGGTAACCTGCAACTTCCACCCATGACATGACGCCCTGGGTAGTGAGCCACACGGTCAAAACTTGCTACTGCTTAGAAATGATCAATAAAAGTCAACTGTCTATAAACCAGTACACATATATAGACTGGTCAACAATTACAAAAAGGGTTCAATTGCAGCAAAACCGTTGATAATTTGCATTTTTTTAAAAATCAGGTCCACTTAGAAATTCAACTTTTCAGCAGAACAACGGCAACTTTTACCTGGACCAGCCGATGTTGACGTTGTCTCCGGACACGACGCAGGGCAGCAGAGCTGCGCTGCCTTCAGACACCTGGATGTTGTTGGGAGCCGTGGTAATCTTCAAGTCGGCTAAAAATAATAATAAATAGGAAAAAAAACAGAACTTTTCAGATCAACTTCACAAACACATGTCCTAAAAAGGTTGAGAATGTTTGGAGTATCAAATGGCATCTCCTGCCTCCTGGTGGTGCGTGTTTAAAATCCAAACTGCACACATTTGGTGCTTGAGTATGATCAGCAAGTCAGAACTGCATGTGAACATGTGAACATTTTTACCCTGCACCCTGAGCTGCAGTTGCCTCTGCTCCAGCTGCTGCTGGCTGGCAGCTGTACATGTGTAAACCCCGGAGTCGTCAGACCTCAGAGGGCCGATCATCAGCGAGCCGTCAGCATGCTTGTTGATCCTGAAACGACACCGATCAGTCAGAAAATCTGTTTGCTGCCAACTTGTTGAAGCTGGTGAGATTAATAAAAAAGAAATTGGGTTCAATTTCTTTTTATTGAAGAAATAAAAAGAAACGTATTTGATCTGTCAAATACGTTTTGATTTTTTTGTGATTTCTGATGCATTTAGATTGTAACCAAGTCTAAAAATGTGGTTGCAAAAATTAAGTATGACCTTCACCGCCTTTACTTTCAGGTTGTAATATATTCTTTTCCTAATGTATCTATGGCAAGATTCTGTATTTTACTTACGAGTTGGTCCAAGTTTCTGAGGTCAGATAATTCACTGTCATGCAACAGATTTCTTTTATATCAACCCCATAATTAGGATGCTGCCATAATTCCCTTTCTTCATCTGCAAGTCGTAATTTTTTTCATAAAAACAAAAATACATTTAGCTTTTAACTCACTATATTTAGAGTGCAATTTTTTTAGAGGCTGC